GTTCATCCTCCACTATTCCCTTCTTTTCTTTTCTTTCCTTCCTTCCTTTCTCCCTTCTTTCCTTCCTACCTTCCTTCCTTCTTTCCTTCCTACCTTCCTTCCTTCCTCCCTTCCTCTTTACTTGGCCAAAGATTCGTCCTCTGAATCCTCCTTATCGTAAGAAAATTGACAATCTGGATCAGCAATAACATTGTCCTGTATCTGAAAAATCCTCTGTTTCTGAAATCTCTTCCTCTACATCATTATCCCAGTTAAAAATCTGTGATAAAGCCTCCTCAGATGTCATCCTTCTGGAGCTCATTTTTGGTGAGTTTGTCTAGGGCCTAGCATTGCCTAACTAGTTGCAAGGCGGCTTTTGGCAACTGAGAGTAGATGATGGAGATGATCTGTTGCTGAAATCGGTCGATGTGAGCGCTCTTACAACTGGAGATAAACAGTTGATCTCCGGATTCAGTCAGTTGCCCGTGTTCTACTTTTCGGCAACTAGTTGTCCTCAGATCCGGAGATATCACCCGATGTGCACGCTCCGTGGCGCGCACCAACAACATGTGTGTATTGCGTGTATTGCGCCCTCTACAGTTTATGTCAGAAAACACACTGTAGTTGAGGCCAGTTGCTGTCGATGTACGCGCTGTTATTCCCGAGACTGGTCTGCTACTGGGAGTTTCCCGTTTTCGCCAAATTGTCGCTGTGTGCGGGGCAGCAACTCAAAGGCGACGGATATAATCAGTTGCCAGTACGATGTACACTAGGCAAAAGAGATGACATGAGAACACTGACAAGGACAAGTGTGAGAAAGTTCCCTCTCTTCACACACCTGGCTCTGGCTCTCAGAGGTAATCAAAATAAAATGTCAAAGAGACATGTTTTTTTGGATCTGAACAACTATTTACCCACATTAAAGCGTCAGGGTCAAAATGACCCGCAACATCATCTTTGTATACAAACTCTGCACAGACATTCCACTACACATCAAAGTGTCCAGATTTTACACACCAGTTCATGACCCTAGATGAGGAAAATTCACCAAATTTCAGGAAGAAAAAGAAAGGATAACCAGTACTTTGATCAACACAAAAACTGAAATGGGTCAAATTGACCCTTAACATAATACAAGGGTTAAAAATGTAGTGATTAAATGTATTATTGGGTGTGTACAATTTCGAGCACAACTGTATCCTTTAGTTCAGGGGTATTGAATTCGGTTCTCAAAGGGCAGAGCGGCTGCAGTTTTTTCACTCCAACCTCGCAGGAGTACACCAGACTCCACCCATTTGCTCAAGTGAGTCCAGTCTTGACCAGAAGACTTGAGGAAATGGGTGGAGTCTGGTTTTGCTCCTGCTTAGTTGGAATAAAACCCAGCATGCCTCTGCACTTTGAAGACCGAGTTGAATACCCCTGCTTTAGTTCTTCCCTTTGTGACTTTACTAACAGTGTGATGATGGAGCAGCAGTAGTGCCCTAACCCCTGTGTCCTGTGTGTGACTAACAGGCTGTACTGACCCTGAGTGCGCTGCGCCGGTACCTCGCGGGCAGCCAGGCCAACCTGTTCACATGGCAACACCTGGAGCCCACCGGCGGCAACGTCCGCGCCACGCCCTACCCCATCGCCAACGGTGCCACCATAGTGACCACCAACCCTTACCAAGCTCCGCCCTTCACCGAGACCCTGGACCCCAAGAGACTGACCCAGCAGAGACCCATGGCTCCGGCGTTTTAAACTCACGCAGGGTGCAGACGTCTTCATGCTTCGGGTGGGGGAGGGGCGGGTGGCGGCTCGGCTTTGTTAGTTTTGTATCACGCGTGGAGGTCACGAACACAGACACTGACGCTCACCGCTGCTATTGGGTTCCGTCCGTCCTGTCTGAAAAAGAGGCTGCGATACAATAGGAATAAAAAAAGACCAACATTTCACTGTAGAATGTACTTCGATGTTAAGCGCCTAAACAACACGCATATGCAGCAACACACCCCGACATATGCAAAGACAGTGAAGTGCCACATGATTACAATCCGCAATAAAAGACGTCCTCTTCTGGAGTCTTTCTGCCCTGTTCTCAACAATAGAAAATATACTCTTTTAACACTATTTTACTTACATTACACCAGTGTGCATTTTATTACATACTTAAAAGGCTAAAACTTTTCTGGCAGGGGCTTGTAAGTTCCACAATACGGCATGGAACTGCCGTAGGTTGATTGATAGGATTTTTTCAGGGCCGATACCAATAATTAGTTGTTAAGCCGTCAACTATTGAGCTGATATGAATTTGTTGTGAAAGAAACATTTTGACAAACTTCAAAGCTTTGTTTAAATGTCTTAGGCAATTTTTTTTATCAAACAGAAGAAAGAACCAAAAGGAAAAAATAGCTCCCACTATAAAGACACAATGTTTATGTATAAGCAAAGCTGGCTTAGACTAATAATTTGACCATTGAAAAAATAAACAAACTGAAAATAGGAAGATTTTAGTTAACTTGGATCTTAAAATAAATGCATTCTTTAGATTATTGGACTCAAAATTAAAACATGTAATTCGGGCCTGTGGCGTCGCCGACCTCTGTCCATGCAATGAACAGTTTAAGGATGCTCTGTGGGAAAGTATCAGAACATGAAGACCGAAGTTTGGCAGAAAAGTGCACCCAATTTAAATCTTGTGTAATCACCCAGTGGAACAGGAAGGTAGTGCAGGCCACGTCAACGGAGCCTTTTGTGGGAGTTCCTCTAATGCCAAGGAATAATAACACTGCTAATTTTTGCCTAAAGTCCGAATCTAATATTTTTACTCATACTCTTGATCTTCACTCATCTTTTCCCTCTCACATGATCTGACATTATTCTGAATGTGTTTTGGGCTCACCTGGACTCAAGTGTTGAACTATGGACGAGCACCATCATTTAACTGCATGTTTATTTAGTGCAGCTTAGTAGAAGTCAATAAAAGCGGTGTATTTTGAGACTAGTTGAAGTTCGTAGCTTCTTACGGCTTTTGGTTGGTCCACGTTTGAACTTGCCCCAGGACGATGCAGCGGGGGCAGAGGATAAAACAGTTGTATTCTAAATGCTGAAGTGATGACATACAACACTTTACTTCCAGATCCATTCTAAATTGGATGGTCTGCTGTAATTTACATTTTCTACATGTTTCTGTCCTCTTTGTTTTAAGACTCATTGGCACTGACACACCATAGTAAAACTAAACTGTTATTAGTGTAACATTAGCCTATCATCACTTTCCTCAGTTCAGTTTATATGAATGTGTATTATTTGACGACACAGAGCACAAAATAAATCAAAATTTCAGCAGTTGTTGCCACAGCTTTGACCCCGGGAGATGTCACACTTGACAATTCTATTGTGTTGTGTGTGAACTGTTAATTTGTTTAATATTTGTGATATGCTCATGTGGTGATGATACATGAAAATAAAAACATCTTATTCTCTCGCAGAGCTTGTGTATTATTGTTCATGCTTTTGGAGGATGAAAGGCTGTTTGTGATAATGATGGCGGTGGAATATCTTTTGTGTATTAATTATGAAACATCTGCGGCAAACCATGATTAGACTTTGTGGGCAGCTGCAGCAGGCTCGGATTATTTTAGGATTATGTGTGGCTTTTGGACAAAGTGTTCAAAAACAATTTACATTAATTTCAAAGTAGGATCAGATGAGGAGAGCTGCTTCAAACCAACCGTTGGGACAGAATTTGTTTTGAGTTGGAACACATTTTACACAATATTCCTTTAGCTGCCAAATTGGGACTCACTGGACTCCCTGCTGACCACTATTTATTTGATCCATCTGACAATGACTCGAAAATAATAATATACTCTGGACATATAATTCAAAACAGATAAATGACATTTTAACCAAGGAGGAGTGACGCTCTCTGAGATAAGGGTACCCGAGGGCAACCAAGACTCAAAGGTAAAGGTTCTCAAACTGGGGGTCCCAGGCCATGTCTCAAGGGTTCCCAATTGGGTCACTACATTTTTGGTCGCTATGTGAGACAAAACTAACAAAAGACAAGAGTATTGTTGAAAGTCAGACAGGAAGTGATTTTATTAAACACTGTCTAAACATGCCACTGCAGGTGAGCATATGCTATTCAAATCTGCAGCAACATCATATAATGTATATATATATTATATGTATATATATTTGCATCATCCAGAATATCATCTTCATCCACCCTTATTCCCAGCCCCAGACATTCAAAACACCACTGTTATGTTAATAAAATATAATCTTAACCTTTGTCTAAAACTGTTGTCTATCGTTACATCAGCTACTGTAAGCCCTTCTGTACCTCCGCACCTTTTGGCTCTTCTCCTCATGACGATGAGGCCAGACTCCAGACAGCAGGGGGCACTGTAGATCTACGGACCTAACATCGCTCATGCTGTGGTCTGAACTAGCTCTACCCTGAGAAATCTAAGACAGAGAGAAGAGAGGAGTAGGAGAGTACAGACTGACAAATTTGAAAGAAGGGATGGTGAGGTAGAGATGGTCCAAGCCTAGGTCACAATACCTCCAACCTGGAAACTTTGCATCATACTGTGGTCATCGGCTAATCAGTTGTTAATAACATGAAAGATGGCAGGTTGCTGGTGTTCATTTTTTAGGTCAACATATTTAATATAATAGTCAATGGCAGTGATATGGTGCTCAAAAAGATGGAAAAAAAATTCAACAATGTGCTGTTCTAAGTGTTAGTAACTGTAGCCTGATCCTGACAGATCGAACGGCCGAAGTGCCTTTGTTTGACTTGTCTTTGAAGGCTGATTAATACTTGTTTTGACCTAGACTCGGCTGAGAGGGGAGCAGGCAGGTCCAGGCTGATGGGAGTGGTCAGTTCAGGAGGACTAAAGTGAGGACCATGAGAGGAGAAGACATTGTTGTGCATGTGTGCCGCTGCACAGAGGAAGCAGATCTCTGAAAGCACAAACCAGGATGTGATCTGAGATGTCACTGATGTGAGAATAACTAGAGGGAATAGTTCAGTCGTCCACAGAGCCCCCGTCAGGCTTCGGAGAGAGGCTCGTGGCATCGAACGACAGAGTCCGCCGCCTCAGCTCCACACTGGTGTCCGTGAGCTGGGTCGTCATACTAACGAGTTGGTCGCCTGGGGGCGGGCTGACCCTGTGTTTCCTGTTCCTGCCCGACACCGGGGACACTGATTGACTGAGGCATCCTGATAGACGTCTGTTTGTGTCCGCGGAGGGTGCAAGCGCGTGGGCCGAGCTGGTGATGTGGCTGACCTCTGCGTCGGCATCGTCTGCTTGTGAAGAGTGTTGTGGTCCGCTCAGTCTGTTTGGGAGTGGGGGGTCCGAGACCGGAACTGTGAGGGTCTTTGGCCTTACAGCATCAGGCTCCGGAGGTTCCGAAGGCTCTGCTGCCGCTGCAGGCTCTGCTGGCTCTGGGTCCATGGAGTCACTGTGGCTGCGTGTGTGGCTCCTGCTGGAGATGACCCTCTGGGGGTGGGCACACTTGAGCGTGTGCACACTGGAAGAGCGGCGGTGGCGCTGAGGCGACGAGGCCGAGGGCACTGTCAGGTGAGCGTTGGCCAGATCCTCCACAGAACCACTCTGCTCCACAGAGTCACTGCGCACCGCCGCCTGTGGAGGGAACAATAGGCATTCAGGCCATTGTCACACACAAGGCCTTTTCTGGAACCACCACCTATATTTACCTACACGCCCAGTCGTTATTGTAAATAATGTATCATAACACTTCAGATTCTACACAAATTATAGGGCACCACTTTCAATTAGGCGAAGGACTCAATAAACCCCTTACATTTATTATATTTTGTATAATGACATTATCAATAATAAGTAATGGAATTTTAAAAATATAGAAACTGTAAGTGAAGTCAGTGGAATTAATATTGCAGAATATAATTTTAAAAAGTATACCAAAGTATACAGTGCCTTACGAAAGTGTCTATATAGCATAATTTTTATGTTTTAAACAACAAAGATTTCATTTTTGATGTTTTACTTAAAAACACAGTGAAATAACAGAAAAATGGGAAGTGAATGATACATGATTTTGTCATTTGAAAAATAGCTAAGCCAAACATACTTTTTTCTAAGTACCTCTAGTTCACATCTTGCCGTTGTGTTATCTGTTACTTTGTTGTGATCTTTCAGTAAAAATGACAAATAAAGGCTTGTGGTTGTGAAATGACAAAAAGTGAAGTCACTGTATTAATATAATGTATGTGTAGGTTAGTTTGATACAAAATAACTGAACAACAAGGATAATATTTGGTTGTAGATGAAGCTTGCATCTTACCTGTCTCCTCAGCTGACGGCCGGCTGTGTGGAAAGAGGCTGGTCTCTTAAGCCCTGGGCGCTCAGGGATGTAAGAGGGGCTCAGCTTATTCCTGTCCAGACTGTCTTCAGGACTGAGCCAGCGCTGGGGCTTTCTACAGCTGCCCCTGGTGTGTGTGGGACTGTGTTTGAGTGAACCCTGGCGATCGATGCTGTAACTGGACACGAGCTTGGGTCGGTCCCCCCCACTCTCCGCGGCCAGCCTATACCCATCCATGCTGCGGGTGGAGCTGAGGCGGTGGCGGTTGATGCGGCGTGTGGGGCTGAAGCGGTAGCCATCAATGCTGTGTGCCGAATTGAGCCGGTGGCGCTGGATGCGGTGGGCGGGGCTGTAGCGGTGACCCTCCACGCTGTCAGACGGGCCGAGCCGGAAGGAAGAGCTGCGGTCAATGCTCTGGAATGGGCTCAGGCAGATCATGGGCCTGCTGAGGCGCGTTGAACCAAGGGATGCATGGCTGATGGTGGGAAGAGCTCCAGGCACCTGCAGCAACGAACTGGCCCCGCTGGAGGCCAATGACGACACGGAGCCTGCACGCAAGAGCCAGAGAGCAACATATAGAGAGAGCACAATGAATACCGATTTGGGATGCACCAGCCTAACCTGGTCTTACCACAACATTGTACTAATTTCATTTCATAGATGTCGGGAAATAATAATTGACCGGAAATTACGGACGGCTAAGGCCAGGCTACCACCAGCCCATCTACTTACAGTACTTCAGTTCTAATACCGGTGGTGAAACGTTTATTCATCACATGTTGAGCGTGTCATCCTGAAGTTACTCTCGTTGACTGTGGTTCTTATCCCTCAAAGGGAAGACGCCTCATCAGGTTCAAGATGAGTGCCACTGCTTTAAATGATTTTTAATTAAAAAATCCATTAATAAATAAATACATGTATTAAACAATTAAACAATTGCATGATAAAGTCAGTCGCGTTTCTAATAATTCCTCAATTTGAATATCTGCCAATATTTTTTTGCGCATATGCAGGGGTGTCAAACCAGTCCCCAAAGGGTCCTGAAAGGGTCTGTGTGGCTGCAAGTTTAAGTTCAAATCTTCAGGTTAAAACTAAACTCACCTGAGGAAAAGGGAGGAGTCTGGGGTGCTCCTGCTCAGGTTGAGGACTGGTTTAACGCCCCTGCACTAATGCTTATTTAAGCTTCATGACAACTTCCCTCAGTCATTGAAATCAAGCTCTAAAAGCCAGATTACAGATCTTAGTTGTAATCAATGTGCTTTGCTTTTTAAAATTACTCCATTATATCAATTTGCACAAGACAAAGCACAGTCCCTGCCTTCAAAAGCACATTTCTAACCCAGTTATAAGCACTTAAGTGGGCTGTGACGCTGTACCTGGCGACATGCTTAAATGTTACGTAAACATTTACTTTGAGGGGTCCCCAAGCTCACCTTCTGCTCCTGTAAATACCCATGTGGTGATGCCAACACAAATGCATTAGCTCAGAGAGACATTCGTGCTAAATGCTGTGTTTGCTTCTATTAAATAATATTTGGTGAAACTAGGAGGCAGTCTGTTTTAGGGAATTGTACCTTCTGCCAAAGAGACCCTGTGCCAGCCTCTGTCAGTTTGTTTGTTAAAGGAATTACATAAATGCAAATCAGAAGGAAGGCTTTATTCATCACTTTATAAACTGGGTTAAGGATACTTGAACCTGTTTGAATCAATTAATTCGACAGAAAAGTAAAACCTAATGTCATGGTGTGGATTTTTAAATTTGTACTTTGGTTTTATTTTGACATAAGTTTGGTTTTAGTTGTACTTCCTGTCTTGTTCCCCTGTGTTGATTGTCTGCCCCGCCCTGATGTTTCACCTGTGTCTGTGTCTACATGTACCCAGTGCTCCTTTCCTCTTGTTGTTGGTTCATTGTATTGTCTGTCCTTGTCAGTCTGTGTTCCTGGTTCCTGGGTTTTGTTTGGATTTTGGTTTCATCTTGGACTTTTATTTGATTTTTATCATTAAACCATTTTTGTTTTTCGCATCCCTGCATTTTGAGTCCTCCATCACCTCTCCGCATGACACCTAAGACTTGAAAGCTAGAGCGAAAACATGTAAAGTGCTGAAAGCATCTTGTGCTCCGTGAGGGAAGGATGGAGTGTGAGATTGACAGACAGATTGTTGCAGCGTGTACAGTTTTGCAGCCTCGGACCATTGTGGTGGTGCAGTGCCTGTAGTCAAAGACACTGCACCTTTCCAGTCAATCTACATCTCTACCATGGTTGTGAGCTTTGGGTAAAGACTGAAAGGACGACATCATACTGTAGATACAAGCTGATTAAAAGAGTGGCCAGGCACACCATTAGAGATAGGGTGAGCAGAGCCGTTCCTTCTCCACATCAAAAGAAGCCAACTGAGGTGGTTCAGGACGGAGGAAGACTTAGGACATGACCATACTGCCCAGCTGGTCTGTGAACACCTAAATATTAGAACAAGTGTGTGAATGGATGGGGATGTCTGGGCATCTCTGCTTAAACTGTTACCCAGGCAACAGATAAAGCATAAGTTTTTCAGGTTCATATGACCAATATAAAGAACTATCAATTTATTTATTTTATTTCAGAAGTGCTGATACTATACACTATTGCCAATCTGTCAACATTAATATCTTGCTCTAGTTCATGGGTGTCAAAACGTGTTATTTCATTTGGCCCTTGAGGCAACATCAAATTAACATTAGAGCTGGCCCGCCGGTATTATACAGCGGTGGTGCTGCTGTAACATTGCATTCCCCGCTAATACTACAAATCCCATAATGCTCTGCTGATGAATTGGCGCGCCAACCATGCTCTCTCATCATGTTCGGCAGCACTTATCTATATGAGCGACTTTTATCCTCAATGAAGATGATGAAAAAGTCTCACAGGATACGTCTTTGATAATGAAGGTTGCCTCAGCTCAAAGCCTGAACCCCGACATTAATGAATATCCAAGAATAGATGATAGGTATCTGGCTTGGGCACATCAGACCGAACTGATCTGACCAAACTGAGCAGTAAAAAAACTTGCATGGTGGATTTATTCATTATTATTTTATTTTCAAATGTATTAGCCAATGGAAAACGTTTTTATTTTTTATAAATATATATTAAATTTACCTCAGAGGGCTGCAAACAGAAAAGAGGCATTCCATTTGTATTAAAATTTTATTTGATATGCCATTGATATTTTTTTCATTATTATTATTATTATTTGAAACTCAATTTTGCATGTCACTATATAGTTGTATACAGTAAGCCTTGCTTGTTCATTAAACAATGCAAAACTTGTTTGGGTCCCTATTAAAAGGTAATTTGTTCAACCTTGGCCCGCGGCTTTGTTCAGTTTTACATTTTGGGCCACTCTATATTTGAGTTTGACAACCCTGCTCTAGTTGTAGTCCAGTCAGAACAAGAAAACATTTCTGTATCTGACAAGACTTCTTTGATCCAGCAGGAAGGAAATGTGTTACTTTAATTGTAAAACTGCAACAAAAGGAACAGACTAACATCAGTTGCGACCACATGTCAGTCATTTCAGTCATTTATTTACTTTTGAACTTGTCTATGAGCTGTATGATTTGTATATTTGATTATAAATCAGGCTCCCAGAAAGGGTTTTTCTTTGGCCATTTGCTGTCAAAACCATTTTCCTGTACTGTCGTTAATTATTATACATCTACTTATTAAGTAATTGATTTTTCTTTATTCCCTACATTCTGGAACATTCCCAAAGGCCCTAAAAACTGCAGTCATCATGCCCCTCCTAAAATGAGCAGTCTGGATGCCATAGTACTTAACAACTATCGTTCCATCTCAAATTTGCCACTTATGAGGAAAATCCTTAAAAAAGTGGCCAAACCAACAGCTAACCACATTTCTTATATTCAACAACGATTTGGTAAGTTTTTCCAGTCCCACCACAGCACTGATGCCGCTCTTGTCAAGATAATAAACGATATCCGACTGACCACTGACGTAGATAAAGTCTCAATATTACTTAGGTCCTACCAAGAAGACAGGAAGTACTTTATGGGAGTTAGGTCAGTTAATATGCAGTAACAATGTGTCCTATCACAACTATGCAGACGACACTCAGATCTATGTCTCACTGACTGCAGGAGAACATGGACCAGTGGACTCACTCCTTCACTGTATCCAACAGATCAGTGAGTGGATCCTTCAGCTAAACACAGACAAAAGTGAAATGATTGTCTTTGATCCACAGAAACAAAGAGTAAAACAGCTGCAGTACAAACCAAAATGCTGCAACTCGAGTCCTGACTAGAACCAGGAAGTATGATCACATTAGTCCAGTCCTCAGGTCTCAAGTCTCTCCATGGCCTCACAACAAAATACATTGGTGACATGTTAGTCCAAAATGAACCGACTCTGACTCTGAGGAGCACAGGGACTGGCCTCCTGCTAGTGCCCAAACGACTAAACATGGGGAGGCTGCATTTCAAATGTATGCAGTAAATATCAACAATAGTCTCCCTGAAATGTGAGACAGGCTTCTTCTCTGACAGTGTTCAAATCCAGGTTTAAAACAGGATTTTGTGCTTTGCTCTTTAATAGGTATCATGATAATTTCTGATTTTAATGTCTTGTGTGATGGTTTCTATCTTGTTTTTTTAAAGCAATTTGAGATACCTTGTGTTTAAACTTTACTAGACCAGATCATTTTACTACAAAGGACTGAATATTATCCAAAATATGCCGAGGATGCTAGCTGCAACCATAAAAATCTAACTGTTATTCACATGTGATTAATCTTTCATCTCCAAAGAACCTGATTTCAGCCTCTGAATTTTAAACCACACATTTTGCTTCTCTCTTTCGACTATCAGTGGAGGAAATGGTCCATTCACAATCTACTTTAGCCGGGGCGGTATAAAATGCTCCTAATCAATTTGCCATAAACAGCTAAATTACCTGAGTAGCTGTAGCCAGAGTAGGGCTCGTGGCCAATGGGGGGGTACGGGGCACATCGCAGCGGCTGCACGTGGCTGTCGCTGGGGAGAGACAGCATGCGGCCTATGCTCAGCAGGTTTCCATGGGAACGCTCCTCATCTTCCACCTGCACCTGCACATCAGCATTTGGATTGTCACATGACCGTCACCTTTCAGGATCGACGTGAAAAGTAATGGTTTACATGTAAACAAAGTGAATGTTGGTTTAATATGGTTTATAATGGTATAATGACAAACAAAATATCAATCGCAAATTACAAAAAAAAAAATTGCAATCGATAAATTGCCAACACTTGATAGTGTTCTGAGACATGGTGATGCTTTAAACTGCTCCGTTGATTAATTCTGAACTTGAATGTGACATGATTACCTGTGCAGGCGCGTCTCCATTGAGCCCCTGTTCTGGGCCCCCTGATGTGGTGCTGAGTCTGCGGGCGGCCAGCTCCATCTCTCGCTCCTTCTCTTCTCTCTCCTCCATCTCCTCCAGCTGAGCCTCCTTGTTGCTTTCCTCTAGGTGCTTCATGAGCACCGCCACTACCACATTGACCAGGACAAACTGAGCCGTCAGCACAAACGTCACAAAGTATACTGGGGAAATGAGGGGCAGGTAACTTAGACAATGACGGTCTTGTGGACGGCAGTCCCGCAACGTGTCCTGCAATAAAATACATATAATATATATACATTTTTCAAACATAAAGCAATAGGGTTTTGCTATCTTAAATGTATTACAGAATGGCAATACTAATCCCTGTGTTAGAAACATGTGTAAATTCCCACATTACCATTCAAACATAACTTGTTTCCTAATGATCCCCTAAAATCTTGTTAAATTTACAGCTTGGATTTGAGAACACTGCCTGAGGGGCCACTAGATGGCACTTTGAGGCCCGGAACCAGGCTGTAGAGAGGAGAGAAAAGTAAGTAACCTTCATAATCCCATTCCAGTTGTCCCCTGTGGATACTCTAAAAAGCGTGAGGAAGGCCATGCCAAAGTTGTCAAAGGTGGCGTGGCGACTGAGGCCTTCACATGGATTCTCGTCCGAACACTCTGAAAGAAGATCACAGAGAGTCAGGGCCACACTCTGAGAACACAGACTATTGTGAAATCTAGATGTGAGTCTAAACTGACATAATTAATATATGCACCAAAGCAAATGTAAGCCTGTTACATAATCCAACAGAGATCTGACTACAGTGTCAACGGCATGCACGCAGTCACACAAACATGCACGTGCACGCACACACACACTAACCCAATTTTCCAAAGAGCTCAACTCCCAGAGCTGCATAGATGAAGAACAGCAACATGAAGAGCAGACCTAGATTCCCCACCTACAGAGACAGTACAGCACAGATATATACAGAATGAACACAGAAAAACATGAAGTCAACAGACAAGAGCACAGAGAGGCTGGAAAACCCTTTAGTATGTGTCATCATTAAACAAAACCTCATGTTCAAGTATCAACGCTCAGTGCATACTATTACCTGCACTCCGGGAAGGGACTTGTCCACAGCACAAGGTTAATGCAGTTAGAGGGTACAAATGTCAGCTTTAAAGGAGTGCCCGTGGACTAAGTGATATTTATGTCTGTATTAAACCTGTATACAGCTCAAGTCAAGAGATATTAGGCTCTGTATAGATTCATCATGAACAAGGTTTTGTATCACGCTACTGGCATTTACTATAAGTGGTTGCCTTCAAATTGAAAGTTATCGCCATTTTTCTAACAAAAACACAAAAAACCCTGATATTACAAAATACATCAAGAGTGCCACATTGTAGTTTACACATGCTGAAGAATGTTATAAGACATGCTGCATTTAAATCTTGGCTTTAACCTTCAAAAATGGGAATTGGTTGTCAGTATCTTTGGCTTACGGTAGCAGCTTTTACACTTTTGAATGGACAAAGTGGTCATTCAAAGATAATGGATTCTAAACGAAGGTGACCTTTTGCAGCTGATCATAATTCTTGACTTATAAAATTAAAACACATCAAGATCACTTTGACTGTTTCTGCTTAAATGTGTCAAAAATGTGTTTTCTTCTGCTTTGTCCATTGAGTTGTGGGCATTCATTTAAAGGTAACTCATAATTATGATAATCCATGAATTCTCCATATATCACTGATTCAGAAAAGAAGATTGAAGCGAGAGCAATGGCGGCCCACATATATGAAACATGCACAAATCACGCTATTAACTGATTTGGATTTGTAAATGACTACATGTCATGTGCGATATAGAAGCACATGTGTCACTGTCACTTTACTGAGTCACTGTGTCCAAAAACTTCATGCTACATATGTAAACATATGTAAACATACTGCTGATAACATGTACAGACGTAAACATATAGCAACGTATTTGCTTTCACTAGAATACACAGTACTTTATACTTGCCTCTTATTTTGCCAAATGTATAGATTTTATACGTCCTTATTATGGTAAAGATAGAGATTATATACTTGTTTCTTTGATGCTGGGGTAAAGATTTTATTTTATTTCAATTATAGCTATTGTTCACTTATCTTGTGCTGCGTGCTCCTCATTCCAACTGTTTTGCTACTTGTGATGCAACACTGAAATTTACCCGCTGTGGGGCAAATAACGGAGCTTTTAATCTCAATCTTACAGAGAACAACTATAACATAGTCATCTTAAAGACGATGTCCCCTTCAATGTTGCTTTTAATTTTCATCAAGCAGCATGCGTTCAAACCTATTACTCATACATCTCGCCACACATTTCTCAATCTCTGCCTTGTTACAGTCCGGCTGCTTACAAAACCACTGACCATTATTTAAAAATGACAAAGTCGATTGTGGGGACGGCGCGTGCTGCTCTCGTGGTCAGAGCTTTGCAGATGGCTGATTAGATGATATACACGGTTAGAACTGGAGCACTTAACACAGTGCAGGCCTGGGCCACAGCGGTGCTCTGTCACTTCAAAGACAAATGGTGTTATACAAGTTCCAGAGCCAGCCAGGGGCCGCGTGCAAAGACAAAGAGCAGGAAGGTGAGCTCTGGAAGAGAGGTCGCTGCAATCTCTTAGTGGAAAATCTGCTTAGGGAGCGGAATTTGAAAAGACCTGATGTATAAGATGCATATTGTGTAATTGAATAGAATGGAAAGAGTTTGGATTAATCTGCTGTATATGGATCAGGCCAAAGAAACACATTTGCCTTGCCTAATGTAATGTACACATATATACTGTACAATTTTAAAATATATTATTTTAAACTAATGCATATATAGGGATAAAATTTGTATGTATACTATGATTTCGTTCTCTTCTTTCTGCCTTGTAAATGAATTTTGCTTGGAGTTCAAAGCAGTGTTAATAAATGTAATACAATTTAGACATTTAAAGACAGAGAAGTGTCAATTAAATTAGACAAGTAAATAAAAAAAGTTAAAGGAAAGAAAGACCATTTTAAACAATGTGCAGCAGGAGCTTGTCAGACATTGTTCACAACTTTCAGGACACAGCTTGTCATCGCAGTAATATTGCAAGAGCTAGCACACTTCCCATTTCCAGTACACAGTGTTTGTTAGAGACTAAAATGGTCTATGATTAGATACAGGACAGATGAGGCTCTGTCGTCTGTTTTAGACATCAACATTCTTCCCACTCCACTTCCAGCTGATACATTTTAAATACATTTATAAACATAAATATATAGAGGGGGATTAACCGCCGCGGAGGGCGAAAGGTGTATGTTATATATATATATATATATATATATATATATATATATATATATATATATATATAAAATATAAAACGTAGTAGTAAATATAAAAGTATACTATATGTTCAGTTTGTGATGAATATGTCAATCTAGATTTAGTCTGTTCTGTGTTTCTACCTACCCTTGGTTTGCATTATAAGCTGTTCTGGATTTGTTTTGGCCAGACTGGAATGAAATCTTCTTTTTTATAAAGTAATCCTTGAATGAAAAGAACCATTCTGTGAAAAAAATAGTATAAACTGTCAAATTAGCTTTAAGTGGGAAACTAAATGTTTTGGGTTTGGTTGTCTTTGTTATAAATCATTATGGCCCAAAGGTTCCCACTTTACTCTATAGGCTGGGAACCACTGCACACAGCCTTCCCCTTTAACTGCACAAATTGTGCCTTGGCAGTGTAGTCTACATCCTCATTTATCGTACAGTACATCCAGCCGTGTGGGCCGTACTGCTTCTCTTTTCTCAAAGCCTCCCCTGGGGCCCTGGTGAAGTCCTGTGTACCACACTGGCGTCCCCGCTCACACACACATATCTATTTTTACTCGTTTGCCTTTGCGTTTCATCATTCCTTCTGTAAGTTCAAAGCAACAGCTACATATGCGCCTTTAAGACAGGTGAAAATGCAAGCACCTGGAAAAATGAGGAATGAGAGTGTTATGCTCTCATTGGGGAGTCTAAATGAAAGGGAAGTTGCATTAATTCTATAAGGTGGAAATAGTAACAATAATTCTATGTTTGATGTTACAGAGCAAGCATTAGTGTGACGTACACTATAAACTACAGAGACGGATTTGCTGAAGAAAACTATTTTTAAACAAAAATGAATTGAAAAGACTTTATTTTAAACAGCAGGCTTCTTTGAGAGGCAGAATGTCTGATTAAGCCTGCAATTATATTTTGCTGAACATGTCCTACTGGTGCTATTGTACTGTAGTACAACAAAGAGTGAATTGCCGGTGTCATTAAAAGAATCATTCACGCCAATCCTCATTCAACAGTTATTTTCTAATCCAGTTTTTGCAGTGGCAGAGGGATAAAGTAAAACTGTTTATTCATGGGGAAATATGAGCCATGAACATTGCAGTATAGTTTATGGATTAAAACAATATTAAAAGATGATATATCTGTTGGACTGACAATAATGTAAATAGTTATGGCTATATACTTCCAACGTCTCTTTTCTCCTGCAACGTACGTCCAGATCCCACACTCACAGTGACATCTACATCAAGGAATCCTAAAGAGCATTGTTCCTGACTGATCTCTAATCGGCAGAGGAGCAAAAATAAAGTTCAAACATCCATATAAACACAGCGTGAAGAGCTCAAACAGATTCTTAAGTGCGGATCATTTTTCTCATCCTGGTCTCTGGTGGAAAGGCAAACGTATTTCTCAAAGTGTCAGCGTACGGCATGTGGCATGAAGGAGATCTGGTGGGGATTTGGTGATTGATGTGGTGTGGATGTGGGCACTGCCAGCTGCCATAAATCAATACATAAAATGAGCCATCTGCACTTCATCGCATCTGGAACCAGGCATGACTTTTAATAAACATGTTTGAGTCAACAGGAGCCCGGCGACGGTGTCAGAATCAAATTAATGGGTTGCTACAGGAGGAACTGGGAACATATCAAGGGCAAAGATATATATTGAGTGTGACTTCAAGTTTGAATATGGTTTACACACTGCTGCTTTTAAATGTGTTTCTCACTAATTTTTTGCTGAACAAGTTTGTGGTCACCCAAGTGTTTTCCATGAAAAGTCACACTTATTCACCACCATACGTTGTGAAATGAATAGAAAATAGAGTCAAGACATTGACAAGGTTAGAAATGATTTGTATTTGAAATAAGATTTGTTTTACATCCAACTTTGCTTTCGTCAAAGAATCCTCCATTTGCAGCTATTACAACATTGCACCAAAAACCAGACATTTGCAGCTAGAATAGTCATTTTCCACATAAGCAATGTGTATTTCTTTACAGTTAAGGCTAGTTTAAAGTTATCTACAGCTTTTCCTTCAAAAATAAGGACATTTCAATGTGACCCCAAACTTTTGAATGGTAGGGTATAGATAACAGTTGGGTAGTTACATTATATTCACAGAAATATTTTATTGACATGACATTGCTGTCTTTAAAATTTGTTCAGAAGGGCTGCATGATTCCAATCGGACCATAATTTTCTCTTTTATGGTTTGTTAAAAAGACCAACCACAAAAATCACAAGAATTTTGGAAAATGTGTTTTTTTGAAGATTTGTCTTTGAAACAAGCAAGTTGCTTTGATCTCGTCGGCCAGAAGCATGTTTTTCCTCATGTTTTTCTCCTTTTTATATTCTATTTAAACGGTCAGAAAGTCTTTTGAAACAATTTCTAGAAAATGTACAAAATACTTAATTCCAGAATTACATACAGTACAGTATATTTGCAGTGAAGTGGTCGTATACTACTGTATATGTTACCTACAATAAAAAATGTGGAAAATGTGTATAAGATAATGACATTATATGATCAAAATGATGCTAAATTGTACAGGATCTAAAATCACATGTCAATCGCAATGTTGATCAGGAATCACAATTAGAAATTATTCCAAAATTGTTCAGCCCTTGTCTTTTCTTTGCATTTTTTGATCAAGATAATATTCTACCAGAATCAGTTTTAATAAAGTCCTTTATTTTTTTGATATTGAGGCTGTGTTGTGGCTGTGTGCTACCTGGGGGAGGGCTTGCATTACAGTGTCCAGCAGCGACCTCATCCCGGTGGCCATCTTGAGCAGCTTGAGCACTGTAAGTTGGTCACATGGCGTCAGCGCACACATTTAGAGTGTACTGAAGCTGTGCTATGTGCCGTGCGTACCTCGCGTTATGCGCAGCACCCTCATGATGCGGATGATGGTCGGGTTGATGGGCAGCGATGCGTTTAAGTCGATCTCTTCCAGTGTGATGCCCATAATGGACAGCAGCACGATGGCCAGGTCCAGCTGGTTCCACCTGGACAGACATGTTTCAAGTCTAGCTTTAAAGCTGCACTAACTGACTTTGAGACATTTTCGAATGAGAGCGCCGAGCTCGCTCTCTCTGCTGCTCAGCTTTCCTCCCCCACTACCCCCTTTCCCCTCAGCCTGCGCTCACATGCTAATTGTATGTACGGAGCTCACATCTCACAATATGGATATTTGAACGTGGATGGCGTGACCATAGAATGATAGAACCGGGAAGCACGGAGGAACGAGACTTTCTTTTGGATGGCTGTTTCGCTGTGTAAGCAATAACCGGTAACCGGTAACCGGTAACGAAGACACGGGAAGCTTCAGGTTAGAATCCGCCGCTTGTTTACCTCAGCTGTCTGTGCTAATGAGAGATCTGTAGCTTTTCTCAAGAAAGTGGGGGCCAGTGGTCCGCTGTGATTGGTCACAATCTGGACCCGAAACACTTTATCTTCCTTGTTGCACAAAAACTCAATCTAAAATATTATGTCACGCCAGCACAAATCTGCGCTACTTTTTCTTCAAAAGGACGTATATCTCAATGCACTGCATGGATATGGATTGCATTTTCGCAATGAATACAAAAATAAAGTCAGTACAATTATTTTTTCTTCTAAAAACAGTAATAGATTTGGCCGCTAATTGGCCCGCTAAATTATGTCAAATTTTGTAAACCAGGGCGGAGCACCCCTGCACTAGACAGTAGCAACCACAAATAAACCAGGATTAACCAGGAGACAAGATAAACATTTCTTTAGTGACATGGAACAACCAACCTCTCTTTGAAGAAGCGGCGCAGGCCTAATGCGACAAGTTTGATGATGGCCTCGATGACGAAGACCACGGTGAAGACATAGTTGCAGTATTTGAGGATCTCCTCCAGGTACTGTACAGGACACACACTTTTACCAATGATACTGCTGATGCTGATGAGAACATGCAGTTACCATGGTTACCTGAGGCTGGTTGTAGTGCTCCATGCTCATGGTCAGGAGGTTGGCGAGGATGATGACGGTTATGAAGAGGTCCAGGTAGTGACTGGTGCATACCGTGTGGATGGAGCGCCTTAAAGGGGAGTAGTCAGCATAGTACGGTCTTTCCTGGGCTCCTGTGTGCAATAGAGAACTCAGTGTACAATGCAAAAACAAGTTTTATTAAAATTATAGACAAGAAATCCCATGATTATTATTTCAGGAGAACACAACTGCATCATACAGAGTGGAACTAAACTTGTTGGATGCATATGGATAACTTCAGAGTGTCATCCAATAGAGTGTTTTATATTTTTATATATATTTTTTTAATGTACTGTAATTATTTATGATTTTAATGATTTAATGATTTTTAATGCTCTTTTCATTTTAATCTCATTATGTTCAGCACTTTGAGTTGCCTTGTGTATGAATTGTGCTATACAAATAAACTTGCCTTTCCTAGAGTGTAATTACTTGCAGAGGACTGGGGCTATCACTCGAAGTTGCCCACCCCACAACTATCATGCGCTATGCTTTATATCACATCTCTTGGACACACCCACACCTGCTCTTCACAAACGCTTAAAAGATTCATATGACATAAGCGATGAAGTCAGGAGCGAGCCAAGTGTCCGGGAGCCTGTGTGGATAAAAAGTGCCACCTAAGGGATCCAGGCCAATCTATTACACACACACGACTATGGCATCTCAAGGTGTTTTTGGGCTCGATCCTCACTGCCAAACAGTTCACCCAGTAGCATTACAGCAGATTACACTGCAGATAGACCGGTGATACAGTGCCTTAAAAAAGTATTTACAGCCAAATATTGGCATTTTTGTGAAAGACCAATAAAAAGTGACGGAAAACTGTAAAGTGAAAGAAAAAATGAAATATGATTTTATATATATTTTCTAGCACTGAAAAGTGCTTTTAGGAGTTGTCTGATGAATGATGAACGGTTATAAAACATTGATCTGAAAATGTAGAGTATTACACTGGTGGAGATTGAAAATTGGTCACTAAACAGCACAGATCAGAGATACAGGGAGAGGCACAGCTGAGTGCCACCATCACTGCTGAGCCAGGAGGAATCTGTCATAGTCATACACCACACACATCTGGCCTTTATGGACAGTTATGAAAGTTGTTAAGAATAAGGCAAAAGAAGCCAAACGGGGAACACACTGAATATGTGAAAGTCAGATGAGATTAAGATTGAACATACAGACCCAAATAGTGTCAAACCAGGTGGTATATATACAGCATCCTGCTGTGCTGTTTTTAGTAGGGACAGACAGATAGGGCAGATTATTTGAATATTATTCTTGAAAAAAAGCTGTTTAGGTCATCATTAAAAAAAATCCATTATTTGCAAATGTGTGTTTCTTGTTATTTTTTATTCATTTATTTGTTTGTTTTTATTTCTATGTTAGAATGGCCCAGTCAAAGTCCAGACCTAAAGACCAAGATCTACAAATTATTGCAATGTAAGTTGTAAACTGGTGCAGACATAACCCAAAATATTGAAACTGTAATTGTAGCTAAAAGGGGTTCCATTACATATTCACTGATGGGTATGGAAACTTATAAGTAAAAAAACAAAAAGTTCTGAAATTCAGGTAATACTTTTCTAGGGAGATCTTGAGTATTGAGGAAAAAGTAGAGCACTTGTAAAGTAAAAAAAAAAAAAGAAGTATGGAGCGGTTTGTCTTATAAATAAATTGTGGAGCTGTCCTTGGTCCTGAACAGTGAATCCATTTGAGTGGGATTTGCTAATGCCAAGGAAAAAAAGCCAAAATACAGAGACAGTGATGAATGGCCTGCTTTTATACAGTGCACTTGATGTCCCAAAACCTTATATAGAGCAACTGCTTGCCGCCATTATGAGCTTTTCTATTTCTCATATTCAAGTACTTACAGATTGTATTTCAGCTATAAAAAAACATGTTTTAATTATTTGTAACCTTAGAGGACAAAGACATTTCAAAATTTAATCTTGTATGTTTTTAGTCTTGCTGAAAGTAAACCTTCAGTGTTCAATAGGTTGCATTTGTGATATAGAAGTCTATAGTTGGAGGGCAACTATGGGAAAAGAAACTATTTTCAAAAGAATTGTTGAAAATAAAAATCCAAATGTACAAATGTTTTCCCATAAAATCATTTGATAGTGATTGGATTCACAAAACTGATATATTAGTAAGTAAGTAAGTAATGTTTATTCATATAGCGCATTTTACAGACCAAGGTCACCCAAAGCACTTTACAATGTTCAGAGTTCAGATATTGTTACAATCATTCGACACCTGTCTTTGATCCCCAGAAACAAAGAGAGAGCGTCATCTGTCACCTACAGTCTCTCTCCCTAAAACCTTAAACAAGGTCAGAAATCTAGGGGTAATACTGGACTCAGACTTAAATTTTAATCCAATCCAATCCACTTTATTTATATAGCACGTTTAAACAACAGTTACGTTTCCAAAGTGCTGCAGAAAATTAAATAAATAAATAAGTAAATAAAAACTTATCCTTAGCTTCACCAAGTATAAAAGAATAAAAATATGTAAAACAGATTAAAACCATAAATAGAAAAAAAATAAAATAAAATAAAAGCACAGAGGACCACACAACTCACGCAGTGTTAAAAGCCAAAGAGTAAAAGTGGGTCTTAAGACGAGACTTAAAAACACTCTACTGTGGGGGCCGTCCGGACATGGAGGGGAAGAGCGTTCCAGAGCTTAGGGCCGACCACAGAAAAGGCTCTGTCCCCCCGGGTTTTAAGTCTCGCGTTAGGGACCACGAGCTGGAGCTGGCTCTCGGGCCTCAGGGCGCGCGCAGGAGTGTAAATTTGGATGAGGTCCGAGATGTAATCAGGGGCCTGTCCATGCAAAGATTTAAAAACAAACAGTAAAATTTTAAAATCAATTCTAAAATGAACAGGGATCCAGAGCAAAGACGTGAGTACAGGGATGATGTGTTCGCGCTTTCTGGCCCCCGTTAAAAGTCGTGCTGCTGCGTTCTGGACCAACTGCAACCGGTTGTGCAATAGCCACATTAAATCAGTAACATCAGCAGCTTTTTAACACCTAAAAAACATTGCCAGCATCAAAAACATAGTGTCTAAAGCAGACTTGGAGATTCTTATCCATGCATTTGTCTCCAGTAGGTTAGACTACTGCAATGGCCTGCTCACAGGTCTGTCCAAACAGGCTGTAAAACAGCTGCAGTACATTCAAAATGCAGCAGCTCGAGTCCTGACCAGAACCAGGAAGTACGACCATATTAGTCCGGTCCTCAGGTCTCTGCGCTGGCTTCCTGTGGCTCAGAGAATAGACTTTAAAACAGCTCTGCTTGTTACAAGTCTCTCCATGGCCTCGCACCAAAATATATTAGTGACATGTTAGTCCCATATGAACCAGCTCGGACTCTGAGGAGCACAGGGACTGGACTGTGATTATTTATGATTTTAATGCTATCTTCTTTTGTTCAGCACTTTGAATTGCCTTGTGTATGAATTGTGCTATACAAATAAACTTGCCTTGCCTTGAGATGACAGACGCGAGACGCCAAACACAGTATTAGAGTTTCTACTGGCCACCTTCACGCATTTTGAAAAAAATAAACCACACTTCAGATGTGGTGACAAAGAAAATGTGAAACTTTTAACCAGGGTTACCAGGCACGATTCATCAACTGCCTTGACCCACAAGTTCAACTGTTTGTGGTGAACACCACCTATTTAATCTTAATGAGAAATTACTCTTGGCTTTATCACCAAAGTTTGTACAATTGTCCTTGGTTTTGTTCCAACATTTTTTGAACAGTTCTAAAATGTTACGCACTTCATTTGCACAGGCAAACTTTTTTATACTAAACTTCAAGGCCTCACACATCTCTCCAGCTGCTTATAGGTTTTGTGACAAACAAGTGACAATAGCCACTTACTGTGGCACTCAAACTCAAAATTCCAGGCTTTCAAAAGAGCTTGCGTTTATTTGGCTCCATTTAGGGATTAATTAATCCCTATATTCAATAATGAAACATGGTCCTCCTTGGTGACTAACAGAGAGCCAAATTGTAAACATAGAAACAAGACTATTTGAATGTTGTTACTGGTGTCCCCTTCGTAGCTTTAAAAGTATTTTTGAGCTGTGGTTCCTGATGTGTTAAGACTTCTAATGGAATCAAAGTAGGGCAGTAAGATTAATCACAGCTGAACTGAAAATGCAAATTAAATACGAGCAGTTAGTAAATCGCAAAGGTAATTCTGCTAGTGCCCATGTTTCTCAAAATAACAGTTGTGATTAATAAGTCAGCCTTTTTGAAACTGTTAATTTTCTTAGAAATCATCAATTTTTCAAGATGACATATAACAAAAAAAGGGTTTTATTTCTATTGTTGATGTTAGTAGTCCTCTATCTCCAAAAATATCCAAAAGCAGGAGATTTTGTCTGTTTTACATCAAATATATTAAATGACCCTCGTCTGTCTAAAGGGTTACTAACACATTCTGCTGCGGAAGTCATTTTGATATTTGCAAATAGCGAGTTCTAAGTTTTGCAATCTATGATTTAACCGTTCTGTATTTGAACATCCTCAAAAGGTAGAAAGAGTGAGAGGAAGCACACATTCCTCAGTCCCTCAGAGCACCTTTGGGATTAACTGGACAAGAGACCGTTCTGTCTTATCAGCACACATCGCAGTCCGACCTCACTAATGCTCTCTGGGCCAATGGGAGCTAATCCCTGCACCCTGCTCCAAAACTTTGTGGAAAGCTTCACTGGTTGACCGCTCACAGCCCAATATTGTTCAAAGTACTACAGACCAATTTTTTTTTTTGAAGGACTCTTTGACAAAATTATATAATTATACGACTTATAATAACGAAATAATAAAAAATAACTATGAAGTCTGTAAACAGTACAATAATATATTGGTTTGATGCAGAAGGTTGATAATGTGGTCAGGTATAAAAATCACAAAGAAAGAGCATTAGTTTTTGTCAGCCCTAAGTCGTGGTGTGCACATGGGTGGTAATGAAGAGAATAGCATTCAAAACTCTAACTGAACATTGTAAATAGGAGCTCATTTCAGTGTGTTCCTGCTGCACCTGCGTCTGTGCCATTACATTGGGCTGCTCAGACACTACTGTGACTCATTAAGTCCAAGAGGACGCACCTTGTCTGAAACAGGTTTGGATCTGGTTATATTCTTTCCACACAAGACACAGTTTGGAAACACACTTTGGCAAAAGAGTTTCTCGATGGTAATACCACATATCACAAGAATTTAAGTTACAGTAATCTAATTGTGAGGGGCTGTAAAAATCAAATACACAAAAAAGATTCTAAAAAAAACCCCATACAACAGAAATGTAGATCCAGTATGTAACCTCATCATATCACACTGAAGATCTTAAAAAACAACTATTCTGAATTGATCTCAATGTTGATGTGTATAGCAAACCTCCAAACAAAAGAAAAACATTGACGGTGGGTTTTTCTGGGTTCAAACCAGTGGGGGCAGGTCCCGGCTCAAAAGTGGCTAAACTGATGTGCCCTGACATGCTTGCAATACCACCCCGAGCCGATAGGGGTGGACCCGGAAAAAGAATTAATCAATGCTAACCTATAGCATTAGCTGACCTCTCGAAAACGTCTTTACAGGATGGTCCAAAGCTCTTGGCCCAAAGCTCCGTTCCACATGTGTGTCAATGCTGAGGGGAGGGAATTTTAGTTGTTGTGAAATTTTAAAGACACTTGTTTAAATGAATGGAGCTCGTGCCGGCTGACGCATGCGCAGATGCGTTTTTTTCACATTTTCAAACCCAAGGTGCGAACTGATCTTGGACCATCATAACCAAAATGGGACAGGTTTAAGTTTCCACACAGCTCTTACTTCTCCTCCTCTTCTCCAGCCTCTTTTGTCTCTTCTCCTCCCTAATGCGGGCCTCCTCCTCCTCCTGCTGCTGCCGGCACTTGTGGAAGTTCTCCACCACCACGCCCACAAACATGTTGAGCACAAAGAAGCTGACGATGAGGAGGAAGGAGATGAAGAACAGCAGCATCCAGGGGTTGTTGTTCCTGATGGGCTGTAGGAGTACAAGAGCAGGAGGTGGCATGGGGACAAAAACAAGACGGCGGATGACGAAAGAGGGCAATGAGGGGAGAGAGAAGCAACAAGACAATGTAACTCCTGAGTCAGCAGTAGTCATGCTGGCAGCACTGTCAACCCAAATGTATTATCCCTCTGGCTTTTTCCTGTCTTAAACCTGTCTTATCCCCACAGCGCATAGCGTTTCTTTAAGGGACAATAGGATCAAGTGTAGCTGCTGACGCCAAACAGAGCCATAACTTGCAGAAAACTTGCTGTGCTTTGTTTGCTCTAGGTGTTGGATTACTCACATGTGCAGCACAATGCTCCATAGGTGCTAAGATTCTGAATTACGTCACGGCAAATACGCTTTGCAATAATCTATTTTTAATGTAAGACAACAACATGCGAGAAATCTGTATCGTTTGCATAATGGTGCTGGTGAAATTGAAACGCATTAAACACGCCTCCATCTGTGGACCTATGTTTTCAAGTAATAAAACTGAGATCTTTTTTCCACACCATGTGTCTGTTCAGCTCAAGAACAAGACCTTTAAGGCAACAGAGTGGCTTAGTTCTGCAATGTTTTATGACACTTGATTCTTCATCACGGAATTCAAGGTAAATTTTACAGTGTCAATGATTGTGTAGAATTCAGCAGTTGTTTTATTCAAATCTAATCAACACTGAAACTGAAGCAAAGATCTGCAAAACATAATACATTTAAGTTTCCAAAATATGCCTTATCCATTTTCTGTCAGAACACATTGTGCCAATATTATGATGTTGGCAAACTATTATAATTTGGAAAGATGAGGTGCAGCCAGTTCTGAAATACTCATTGTCCTGTCCTATCTCATTCCAGTAGTACTCATTCGTTGCCTCGTACTGAGTGTGTGCGTGTGCGTGTGTCTGTGCGCGTGCCTGTGTACACTCACTTGCTGGTCCACTGCGACAGCATCCAGCCCGTCATACATGATGCTGACCCAGCCATCTTTGCAGGACAGGACGAAGAGGGACATAAGTGCCTGCAGGAGGGGCATTTAATAAAGACAGAACAGACATCAGTCAGGTTTAAAAGCAGCTGTCACTCTCAGATGGAAAAGACCAAAGTGTCTTTATAAAACGTGGCACTGTCCGGCAACATAAATCATCTGTGCTTATGTAAGGGGGGGCTAACTGCTTCCTCTGCTGCATTTGGCCAATATAATATAATTACGCTGGACTTCACTAAGATTAGCATGACGGGAACATTTGTGGTAATGGAAGTAGGTCTTGTGCGTAAGTTTGGAGTCTTTTAAAGCAGAATTTCTTTGGTGATTTTCATGGACTCAGAGTTTCCTTCCAACTTAATGCGTTAAAATACTTTATTTATAAGAGGTCTAATTGTTTTATATGCCAATGAAGCCAAAACAAAAAGCTAAATGCTACATAAATCAATTTAAACCAAGATCAAATCGAAATAAATAGGAATCTTTTTAATTGTGGTCTTTTCAATCGAGTCAATTCTCCTCCAGATCACGTGGAGTTTTACGAGGTTCTACCTTGCTGCACGTTTATATACTTATTTCAATGTAATATTCTATGCCTTTGTCACTGCAACAAAAAGACAAGTCCCTACAAACAGAGCCTTGAAGTTGATAAAGTGTTGGTGTCACTGAGCAAAGGGTAAGGAGTGCTGCATGGTACAAGTGTGTAGAATTATATAAAAGGTGCTCAATTGGAAGAGGGGTTTAACTTAGTAACCAAAAAATTAAGTTTTGACTTTCCAGGTAAAAAGCAAATGGTGAATAGCTTAGAAAATCAAAAAAATCCAAGGTACTCGTGGTCAGTGGTTTGGAAATGTTTAAAAAGCCTTTATTTACTCATGGCTGTGGATTAAAATACGCACCAACGCGCTTCAGGGTGCAAATTTGCTTTTTACCTGGAAAGTCAAAACTTAATTTGTTGGTGTCACTGGTTTGAGCAAATAACTTACCTGCCCTATGTTGTCAAAGTTGTACTTGCGGCGGACCCAGCGGAGTCCAGCCTCCAGACACTGGGTCTTGTTGGTGATGTTACTGAGGTTCCGGCCCTCACAGTGGAAGAACTTTCCTTTGAACAGCTGCACAACAACAGACAGATGTGCGAAGATAAACTTACAAAGTACTACAGGGACTTTTCTAAATAATGAATGAGCCAGTGTACTGTAAATGCCTACTGGCCGATGTATGTTCTCGACATCTGCTCTGAACTGCTTTGTATGCAGCACAAGCCAAGCTAATCAGCAGGCCCTTATCATCCACCATAGATAAGTTTAAAAGAAGACTATTATTATACTGGAAACTTTTTGATAAGATCGTCATGTTGTACATACGAACACAGTGTGGAACTTCTGAGCTAAACTTTTCACTTTTCAAAAAAAAAACCTAACAATACACTGGATATCATGTGATTTGTTGGTAAAAAAAAATCTAAAGAAAGGTTTTTGACAATCGCAATTAATTATCATGATATAAACACCCTGCACAAAACTTTTTTATTTTATTTTGTTGTTGACTAATGATTTAATTGGTAAATATACTTTTACCCCCTTTTTTTGTTATAATTTCTGTGTAATGAATAATTAGAATACTGCAGTATCTGTCACATTATGCCTGGGAAGTAGGAAATTGAAAAATGCTGAACAATGCGTAGTATACCTTCAATCAAAAACGAATGTTGAAACAAAAAGTCATTTGTATTCTTTCATTATGTCCTTTGAGCAATACGTTTGACTCTGCAGAACGGCCTATTATCAGCAACCCATTTACATTCCTCCTTAATTCTCTATCACCTGACGCACTCCAGAGCTCTGCCCCATTTATTTTGAGCCACAGTGTGGAGGAAAGACAATCAGGTTTGAATGTTCAATTATAAGAAAATAAAAGGTTTTTTAAAATGGGAGTAAATATGCATATACCTGAACTCCGAGAATGCCAAAGACAATGAAGAACGCACAGCAGATGAGCACTATGTTTCCAATGGGTCTGAGAGAAGTGATCAGCGTCTCCACCACCAGTTTGAGTCCAGGGGCGCGACTTATCACTCTAAAGCACATTCAAAACAATCAAATATATGAGGAAATGTCACTAAGTATAGCGCATACAGCTACCTCAAAGGTCTGAGAGTTCGCAGCAGGCGCAGGACGCGCAAGATGCCCAAGATTCGGTTTCCTCCAGCTGATGCGACCGACACCAGGATGTCCACCATGGAAACGAACACCAGGAGGCCATCTAGAACGTTCCACGAGCTCTGGAGGTACACGTCTTTTCCAAAGTAAAGACCCAAAGCCACAACCTTCAAATAAACAAGAGAGTTGGAAATGTAAGTTACACCTGAGTAAATTCAACTTCCTAGTCTCAACCAATCACCAAAAGGTAAAGAGGCACTGTAATTCTCTCACCACAGCAACAAGACATCTGCTTCCTCAGCTGTCTTTTTACACACATCCGTTTTCTCTCATTTCTGTCAGTCATCCCATTTACATAAGAAGAGTATTACGAGTACCTTACCAATATCTTAAAAAACACTCACTGTAGTTACATCTAAAAATATTACTAAGCATTCTGGCTTTCATGGCAGTTATTGTAAGGGTAATGTCTTGTAGAGTAAAACAGTGACAACACCCAAAAGACTATAGCAATAATCAAGATTCTGTATTTTAACATTATAGTTGCTTGTATTCAGACCATATTTCTGTGCTTTATGGTAATTATTTTAAAAAACGCAAACTTTGCTCTTTCACTTTCCCGGCTTACTGTCCTGGAAGTTGTGTGAGGCCTTGAAGTTTTCAGCAAAACAAAGTTTGCATTTTTTGGGTTTCTAATGTAATTAATTATGGCCAGTATTTCTATTGCTGTTACCAAGGATTGATGTCATTTGCTATCTCGGTAAAAGTGTTTGTCTTTAGCACAACACAAGCTCTTTCATTGTTATGCAGAAATGAAGCACCAGTTCAGAAAGAAATTATCTGACCAATTACTGTATGAACAATCATTATTTCCCAGAGTGTTCCTCATTTAATGTTTTTTAAGTATCTATTTTCTTTATACTTACTTTAACCATCAATTCTCCCACAAAGATGACAGTGAAGACGTAATTGGACACGCTCAGAAAGACTCGCTCCTGTCAATCAAAAGGGACACAAACTCGTGAGTGTAGCCTCGCCGACGCAGACCAATTGCTCTCAGGACTTAACAGCAACTTGATCCATAATGAGGCAGTGCAATTGTAGCGGAAACATAATCAAAGCGTGTGAGGGGGAGCCCGTGTTCTAACTAATGAATACCCCACTGCTATTACATCATATTACGTCTGCGGCCCCTGTTTTTGTGTGCGGGAATCTTATTGAAGCTTTTAGGCGTCTGTGAATGTGCGCTTAAATGGGCGCGAAGGGGGACGTTTTTTATTTAGAAGGAATCCAAAACAGAAAACGTCACAGAATAATATAAAGAGCTTTAATTAAGCTGGACTTAATTAGGACATCATTATATGAAGTGCGGCAGTAGTGTTTCTATACTGTCCAACCCCCATGGAAGCTTCAAGGATTCCAAGTGACGTGTATGTAAAAACTATGGCTCCATTGAATCACCAATGAAGAAATACCTTTGTAAATGTAACTTTGGATTGGTGTAGAGTCGGGGCTAACAACTCTGCAATTTATGCATTCATTATTACTGTGGTTCTAGTAAAAACTATTTTAGCTGTATCATATGAAGTTGCAGCATGCTTTGAAAAAAAAATCACCATTAAAAAGCCATTTCAATGTGCTTGGCAATAAAATGAGGAGTTTGGCATTTATCTTTCATAGTTGAACCTACCAACTAGTAGAGCATATTACAGTACTACATCAATTTCTATATTTTGCACATAAATATGTCATCAACAAAATATCAATATTGAATTAATAATAAAAAAGCTAAACATGAATTAAACATCTTTCAATTTATTGTATTGTACTATACTCCAAACGAATATTGTAGATTATGAGCATGCCAGCTGTTAAAATCTCCACCAGGGTCTGAACCAGTGTGCCCATGATTGCTCCAGTTTGGATGTAAAGTATGCTCTTATATAATGCTAATTGGCATTGCAACTTAAGCAGTAGAAGTAGTGATGGTACCTGCTTGACTTCATATTTTGTGCATCTTGGAGACAATAAAATATTGTACTCAGAAATCAGAAAATACAGATTAGCAGCATGACATGTATGCTTTTATAATTAAAAGATAGCCTATGTGAAGAAAACACATTTGAATCCAAGGTCTGCCAGTATGCTCCTATCTCTGCGTTTCATTCTTTGACTCGGTGGTGACCTCAACAATTCACTTAGTATTTTATAGATGTGTTCTAGCTACGCTGCTCCCACACATGCTCCCGTAATCATTTCATGTGCAACCTACAACCAAAGGCTGGACAATATCAGTCCTGCATAATTCACCTTCAAAAAACATAGAAATGCAATTATCATCTGAAGCGTGCTGGTTTTATAAATCCATTACACCGCTATAAGGTTTGTTTCAATTAACTCCTATCTTAGTATGACAAAGTAGAGAATAATCAGCATTTATTATCAGTGAAAAAGGACAAACCCGTACCAAGCTGTGAGCCTGAATGTCTGGTCTCTCCAGGGCGATGGTGATGCAGTTGAGAAAGATGAAGAGGAGGACGATGTGATCAAACAACTTGTGTGTGATGACTTTCTGACACCATATTCGGAACCTAAAGAAAAAAAAAAAGAGTTTTCCCTATGGGGCTGGATAGAAGACTGGAAGCAACTAAAGGTGAACATGTCTTGCTGCAGAGTGGACACAAAACTCAGCTTGTAAAAAGATGTTAACATTTATTTTTACTGCTCTGTAATTGATTAAAAAAAACAGGAGGCCTCCAGTTGAACCTTCACACTTTAGCTGTGAATTCCCTGGCAGCGGTTGCTAGCACCTCGGTCAGGCAGCTTCTAACAAGCCTGAGTTTATATGGACTCACTCATTGTGGGGGGCAAACAGATACAGAGACCAGTCCTCGTGATCGCGGCACCACTGAGGCTTGTACGGCTCCACGATCCTCCTCAGCTTCACTGTAAAACTCTGCAGAAGTACAAAACAGGTTGTGTTAAGAGAAGTAACTGGATACTTTGAGATCAAAAGATTGTGTGAAAAACAATGGATAACATAAACTAGACATATCTTTCATCTATGATCATGTTTGTTGAAGACTACAAATTTTGATGGTTTCAAATAATATTAGCATTCAATTATTGATCTCAGTTACTTAAAGGATTGTAGAGAATACAAAAATCAATCCAGGCTGATAATAATGTAATTTTCACTAATTTTACATGCACTAGTTACATAAGTGGACAAGGGTGTTTCCAAGCCAAACAAGGTTAGAATTAATGCTTGGAAAACTAATTAGCAGAAATACCAAGTGCATCAGCTCTTTTCAGGCGAAGCAGAACAATAGAAATGCCTTTGATGGAAATTTCTTGGTAGATAAAAGACTGTAAATAGAAGCAAAGCCCACCTCCTCGTACTCTTCTTCTTCCTGGTCCATGTAGGGCAGAGTGGGGACTGTGTCGTCATAGCAATTGTCCGGGATGTGAAAGGTACCATTGCAGTCTCCAGGGTACAGCAGGGGTACCTAAACAAAAGAGCACATTTCCATAACTGCAACATCAGGTCTTGAAGTCTTGGTATCAATGTACTACTACTACTTAGTCTAGCAGCTGCAAGTAATGTCATGTCATGTCATTGTCTTCCCCTTTATCAATCCATTTCTATACATATATACGTTATATATGGGTCCATCAAACCCAGGACCACCCCATTTTCAGATACTCGTGATAATTGATTCATTGGATAAATTACTGTAATAGGGTAAAATGCCCTCTAAAAAGGAAAACCTGATAACCCTGTAATTAAGACCTGAACAAAAGTGAAATTCTGAAATTCTTGAAATAACTGGCTAATGCCAATATTCCATCTTTCCATCAAAAGTGTGATAAAGAGCAAGAGGCCACTTTACTGCCGTCACTTACGGCACTGCTTAATGTATATTGTATATTATATATTAATTACAATATTTAACACATCAGCAATCCCAGAAGTTGATGAGGGCGAACCTGCAGGTAGTCGGGCTGGTCCAGCGAGTGCTCCCGGCTGCTGCGGTTGGAGCTGTGAGTGTCTGACAGAAGGGACTCCATCTCTCCAGACTGGCTCCTCCGGTGGAGACTGGGCGCTCGGCTCATGCTGGTCCAGCTGGAGCGCCGGCTCGCTGGGCTGCTGTCCCTCGGAGACTGACCACAGAGGATAAAGACATTTTACGTTGATTAAATGTCTTTATTCTATTGAAAGGTCACTGCAGTTTAACAATATAGTATATTCACCTTCATCTTCTAGGCATTCCTTTATTTAGCTTGCTGATCAAAGACATCACAGTAGGCTTCCCATTTTAATTGATCTTCATTTCTGATCCGGAAATGCTCATGATATCATCCAAAATAGCACTCACAATACCAACCAGAGCTTTTCAGCATCCACCTCAGTTTGCAAAAGGGTTTGGATCCATTAGTTATAATCATTTAGATTTGATAAACATATAGCACTAACATATAATCTAAGTGTACACATGTATCTAATCGATACATGTGTACACGCAAAGCCAGGAGGAAAGCAGATTTGATTCATTTTTCCCATGCAGCAATATGCATTTAATAATGATTATGCATTGGTTTTATGCATGGTGCTTTTCTGGACACTCAAAGGCACTTCACATGGCATTATTCCTTCACTCAGAGCACAGTGTTTCATCAAAAGGCAAATATTGTGGCTCAAGTCAAAACAAATGCGCAGTCATTTCTGTCATAAGCAATAACCATGTTCACGCTGTAATGTATATGTAACCTTCTCATTATATTGTTCTAAACTCACTCAAAACGCATAAAACAAATGCATTCAGGAGATCAAAGGAGAGCAGACATAGTGAGAAGACAACAAGTCAGTAGTGTTATTTTTCACAAACAAAAGGACCAGCGACTACGAGACGAGCTGCAAACATTTCATTCCAGCGCGGTGGTTCACAGCCGACTCACTGTTTGTGCTGGAAGGCTTGTGTTTCTCCCTGTAATGACTCTGACACCGGCTGTGATCCTCATATCGGCTCCATCCACTCAAATATAAGCCCCAGCGACACCCGGACCACTGACATGTCAACAATAACACGTGATAGGAATCTCCCAGGTAATGCATCCAGAGAATAGGGCACAGTAAAGCCAGTGTTTGTAAGGATACCCTTCAGAATCAGGAGAAATTCTGTGCTAACTATAGGTGTATTAATCTAGGTCAGACAGTCAGATGTGACAGGTAATAATACTAAAGCAATAGCTGTAGATCATTCCCAATCTATCCTTAAGATGTTTGTACAATCTTTGCTTGTTTGAATACTTAAAGCTACAATTTGTGTTATGACTGAATGTTCATTTTACTAAAACGATACAAAAGGTAGAGAGGTTGTAAACAGCAACTTTTCATTTTTTGTTTGTTTTAATGTTTGTATGGATTTGATTACAAACACAGTCTAGCGAGGATGGAGGCTACTCGCTAACCAAAGACGTATTCAAGGACCAAAGGCAAGTAATCGGTCTGTGTAGCACTATCCACTTTTTCTAGGCAAGGCAAGGCAAGGCAAGTTTATTTATATAGCACAATTCATACACAAGGCAATTCAAAGTGCTGAACAAAACAAGAAAGCATTAAAATCATAAATAATCACAGAACATTAAAAAGAAAGATAAAAATATAAAATCCCTCAGTTGTATGCACAGTTAAACAGAACTGTTTTTAACTTGGTTTTAAACATAGTCAGAGAGGAGGCCTGTCTCACATCTTCAGGAAGACTGTTCCAGATTTTAGCAGCATGAATCTGAAAAGCAGCCTCCCCATGTTTAGTTCTGACTCTGGGCACTAACAGGAGTCCAGTCCCTGTGCTCCTCAGAGTCCGGGCTGGTTCACTAACATGTCACTAATATATTTTGGTGCGAGGCCATGGAGAGACTTGTACACAAGCAGAGCTGTTTTAAAGTCTATTCTCTGAGCCACAGGAAGCCAGTGCAGAGACCTGAGAACTGGACTAATGTGGTCGTACTTCCTGGTTCTAGTCAGGACTCGAGCTGCTGCATTTTGAATGTACTGCAGCTGTTTTACAGCCTGTTTGGACAGACCTGTGAGCAGGCCATTGCAGTAGTCTAACCTACTGGAGACAAATGCATGGATAAGAATCTCCAGGTCTACTATGTTTTTGATCCTGGCAATGTTTTTTAGATGGTAAAAAGCTGCTGATGTTACTGATTTGATGTGGCTATTAAAATTTAAGTCTCAGTCCAGTATTACCCCTAGATTTCTGACCTTGTTTGAAGGTTTTAGGGCGAGAGACTGTAGGTGACAGATGACGCTCTCTCTTTGTTTCTGGGGACCAAAGACAATCATTTCAGTTTTGTCTGCGTTTAGCTGAAGGAAGTTGTTTTGCATCCACTCACTGATCTGTTGGATACAGTGAAGGAGTGAGTCCACTGGTCCATGTTCTCCTGCAGTCAGTGAGACATAGATCTGAGTGTCGTCTGCATAGTTATGATAGGAAACTTCGTTTCTGCGTATTAACTGACCTAACGGCAGCATGTAGAGATTGAACAGAAGAGGTCCCAGGATCGACCCCTGTGGTACTCCACAGGTCAGGGCCATATGATCTGAGACACAGTTTCCAATCTCCACAAAGTACTTCCTGTCCTCAAGGTAAGACCTAAACCAACTTAGGGCGGTGCCAGCGACTCCAACCCAGTCCTCTAATCTCTGTAAGAGGATCTCATGGTCGACAGTGTCAAAGGCAGCACTCAGATCTAACAAGATTAAGATTGAGACTTTGCCTGCGTCAGTGTTCAGCCGGATATCGTTTGTAACCTTAACGAGAGCAGTCTCAGTGCTGTGGTGGGGTCTAAAGCCGGACTGAAACATATCAAATGAGTTGTTGATTATAAGAAATCTAGTAAGCTGTAGGTAGACAACTTTCTCAAGGACTTTCCCCATAAATGGCAGATTTGAGATGGGACGATAGTTGTTAAGTACCGTAGCATCGAGACTGCTCTTTTTTAGCAGGGGCCTGATGACTGCAGTTTTCAGGGCCTTTGGGAATATTCCAGAATGAAGGGACATGTTTACTATCTGTGTGAGTGAAGGTAACAGACTGCTCAGAACAGACTTCAGAAATCTAGTGGGTAGTACATCCAAGCTGCATGTGGAGGAGCTCAAACTGGAGATTATCTCTTGGACAGTTTTATCATTTACAGGTGCAAAGTGAGTTAGCTCAGAGAGCCTTTCTGGCTGTTGGATGGTTATCTGTGGATTGGAGACAATGGCGTTTTTGATGCCTTGAACCTTGTCATTGAAAAAATTAGCAAACTCATTGCATTTACGTTTGGAAGTAAGCTCTAATGGCATCTGAACAGGGGGGTTTGTTAATCTATTAACTGTTGAGAACAGAACACGCAGATTGTTGCTGCAGCCTTCAATCATTTCAGAAAAATACCTTTCTCTCGTACTACGTAGCACCCGGTTAAACTCGCACAACTTATCTTTGAAGATCTCGTAATCAACCTGGAGGTTGGACTTGCGCCACTTCCGCTCGGCCCTCCGGCACTTTCTCTTTTGTGCCCTGACCGAGTCTGCTTTAGCCCACGGCGCCTTCTGCTTATTTTTCACTATTTTAACCTTCACAGGGGCAACGGTATCCAGAACATTCAAAACACTAGAGGTGACAGAGTTAAACAGTTCATCTACAGTAGAATACGATGCATTCTCAAAGTTTATCATTCCCATAAATAGTTCACTCGTATTTTCATTTATGCGCCTTCTTCGAACAGTTGCAGAGTCCACTGGTGGTTTGTTAGTGAAACACATGTCAAAAAAAACACAGAAATGATCCGAAAGAGCAACATCGACCACGTTTACATTTGAAATATTCACCCCCTTAGTAACTAACAGATCTAGAGTGTGCCCTCTGCTGTGGGTGGGGCCACTCACGTGCTGAGTGAGATCAAAGGATTCCTCAGCTCATTTGCATTTCTGTCATCAGCATTATCCACATGAATATTAAAATCACCTGTAATAACGATCTATCAAAATCTGTGCATACAACTGAAAGCAACTCATTAAAATTATCAATAAAACTGTGACATGACTGTGGTGGCTTGTATAGGACAATCAAGAGTATTGGACGAGATTGTTTTTGTTGTATTTTAAAAGACACATATTCAAATGACGAAAACTTCCCAAGAGACATTCTATGGGAGACAAAGTGGTCTCTAAAAATGGCAGCTAAGCCTCCTCCTTTTTTGTTTTCCCGTATTTCAGATTCAAACTTGAAATTTGGTGGTGATGCTTCTATTAAAACTGCATTTCCTGAATTTTGGTCAAGCCAAGTTTCAGCCATGAACATAAGATCAAGATTATGAGAACAAATAAAATTATTGATTAAAAAAGACTTGTTACAAAGAGATCTGACATTAAGCGTAGCAAGTTTCAAAGTTTCAGTATCAGCGGTTGCGGTCGGCTGATTCTTACACGGAACAAGAATTAGATTTTCCAGATTAGACTGATTAACTCCAGATGCTTTTCTGTAATGTATTCTTTGTGTTATCACTAAGGGAATGGCACAGGTGGCTTCATGACAGGGCCCCAGCCGGGTCTCTCCTCTAACTAGACTGCCAGTGGCTGCGAAGCAGAGACCCTGTGCATCCTAGTGTTTAGAGAAAAGAGGGGAAGGGGAAGGCGGGGGAGGAGGATGAAGAAGTGGGTGGCTTTTGGGTGTTGAACGAGGGGGGCAGGGAGGTGGAGGGGTTTTAGGTGATGGGTTAGGGCCGGGGTGGGCTGAGGCAGAGGTTTTGGATGTTGAACGAGGGGGAAGTGGGGGTGGAATTGTCATGAGGTTAGGGGAGGGACTGGCTGAGGTGGTTTTTGTAGGTGAATTGGAAACCCTAGGTGGTTTTGGAGGTACATATGGGGAGTGGTTTAGAATGTTGGACAGGACTCTAGATCGAGCTAATATGGGTGTGAGAGGAATAGTCTTCATGGCCGATTTTATTAGCCCTGCAGAGTGTTCAGGTAGGTCTAACAGTGAAGGCGGGGATGAAAAACAAAGGGAGGTGTCCCCATTCTCTCTTGATGGAGTGGACGTGGCAGGGGGGACCCAAGACAGGTCCATGGGAGGTGGCGAGGGAGTCTTTGATGGAGGGGCAGGTGGTTGAGGAAACCCCAGCACAGGCCTGTCTGCTGTAGGCTGGGGTGAGGATGGGGGCTTCAGAGGCGCTGTAGATGAAGAAGGCGTGGCTGCTTTGGAGCAGGCTGGGGATGAGGTGCTGGTGGTGATGCAGCTGCTGCTGGTGCTGCTGCTGGTGCTGGTGGTGATGCAGCTGCTGCTGGTGCTGCTGCTGGTGCTGGTGGTGATGCAGCTGCTGCTGTTGATGGTGTTGAGATCCTTTGAGGCGGTGGTGGTGTTGAGATCCTTCGAGGTGGTGGTGGTGTTGAGATCCTTCGAGATGGTGGTGGTGCAGAGACTTTTGGAGTTGGCTTCCTCCCTTTCGATGGCTGCACGCGCTGCGCAGGCTGAGGTCTCAGGGCAAAAGAAAGGTTATCCATCAACACTTTTACTCCTTAAGTGTTCAGATGTGGCCCTTTCCCTTCAAAAAGCTCATGCCTATTCCAGAACAGATTAAAATTCTCAATGAAGGCAAGTCCTCTGCGTGAACATTCGTTGAGTAGGAAAGTATTTAGCTGATACAGACGACTGAATTTCATTTGCTTTCCGTCCACATTTGGTAGTGGGCCACTGATAACGATTGTTGCGTCCATTTTAGCAAGGTCATCCAATAAGAGAGAGTAATCCCGTTTCAACTTTTCACTTGTGTTGTCATAGACGTCTACTGCCCCCACGTGGATCAACAATGTTTTTACCCCGCCGGTCTCAGACAGAAGCCTCGGAGCCAACCGCCTTATCTCATCCACTTTGGCAGAGTGTACTGAGTGAACCTTGAGATTACGCATGTTTACATGTCTTATCGCAGAATCCCCGATAAAGAGCGACTCAGCTGCATTTGACCTTGACTGAGACTGAGCCTGGGACTGAGAGGCTACTGCTGATTCATCTTCCAAAAGTGGTGAAAAGCGGTTTCTTGTAATTAAAGATTTTTGCTGTGGCATTATGACACTCTTGTTATCATTAGCTTTGCCTTGTTTGGGCTTGGCACCATATGTGTTCCAACAATTGTCTCTGTTGATTTTGGGAAATGAAATAGCGTCATCATAACTTACGTTCTGTCCATGTGGTCCATTTCCTTTCACTGGTATTGTTGTGTTCAGCCCCAATTCTGATTCAAGCACAAACATTCGGTCTTGAAGAAGTTTTAGCTCCTGTTTGAGTGAAAAACAGCCGTCGCAAAGTTTTGTTCTATTTTCCCGTCCTCCCGACATGCTGTAAGTTAGGTAAATTCCACAAGTCTTGTGTTGAAGTTTGTAAAAAGGAGTAATTTTGTGGAATAAAAATGTAAATAAAAAGGATTAAAGGAGATAAAAAAAGCAGCAAGCGAGGAGCAGCAAGAGAATGCGACTGCTCTGTCCAGAGCAGGAAGTACTTTCTACAGTCTATGATTACCAAAAACATTACATTCCTACAAATACAACATGTAAATGATATACTATTCAGACTTGTATCTCTGATAAGAAAATATTGTAATATAGTTTGCAGCTCATCAAATGAATAAAATGAAAGAAGATCAGCTTATGCCGAATGCAAATGACAGCTGTGATAAAATCCCCATTTTATATTCTGATGAGTTCTGTTTGAATCCTTTGTGAACATTGTTTAAGTTTTCATGCAGACCCTCACCATGGACCGCTGCTCCAGGTTGAAGTCAGTGGAGGCTCCGCTTGGCCGCCGCGATTGATTGGAGTTCATGATGGGCGTAGCTGCCGTGTGGGTGATGACAGGAAGAGGCGGAGCCATGTGTGGCATGGAGGCTTTGGGGTTCAGGAGTCCGTTAGGTGTGAGGATCATGGCCTGAATCTTCAGTTCTGTATTTACACCAATAAAGCAGAATGGTCACTTAACAATTGTTACTAATTAACATTACATAATCCAATTAATCGTATCGTCGTAATATTGTAAATGGATCTCTCTTATTGTTGTTGAGAATGCACTTCTCCTTTATGTTGTGAGTGAACATTCATTTTCCTAAATAATTCTAATAATCTTTAATAAATACTTGACTAATAAAGTAAAATGTTTGACCATGACACTTCTACTTGAATGGTTCACTTTATCAAAATACTTCCCTGCTCTGTATGTATGAAAGACTTTACAGCTAACTAAGAAACATAGCAGCTACTTATTTTGTATGTTTTGAGTGCTCCCTGTGTGCTCTTACTACTGTCCTGTATGTGCGCTGCAACATTGAAATTTCCAATAAAGAACTAAAGCGTTATTCATAATGCCAAAACACATTTTATCTAAATTTTCTCCAGTTACCACTTACGCAGTAGAGGAGGACTCACAGCGTTCTGTCACTATTATTTTACAAACTGTAGCAGTAAATTATAAAAGCTGTGTTTTTAACAAAAATATTTCGAAAAAGACCATCTTAAATTTTTTTTACATAAGTCTTCATAAATAAACGTTATTACAAGGTTTCAATAAAAAATGATATGTTGACTGCTGAGCTACTACCTGCAGCATAGAGCTCCCTCAGCTTCTCCTCGTCCTCGTAACCCAGCGACTGTCTGTCTTCATCAGACTCAGATCGAGTGGCATCCCCCTAGAAGACACAAACACAGCATCATGTCACAAATGCCTTTACAATCGCAGTCATAATCGTCTCGTTCCGCTCCGCTCCGCTGCTGTCGACTGCTACAAAAGAATTAGCAGGAAGTTAAAAGAATGACTGATAAAGAGTTTTGTGGCAGACGGGCCTGGAGGGGGGGAATCTCCAGAGTTCTCTAGTTGAGTTATGATCGCGGCTTTGGCAGCAATCTCCCAAGTTCAGGCCAATAAAGCTTTACTGAATTTAATTAAAAATCATGCCAGAAAAATGGCAGAGAGGGCTTTGGCAAGGGGCTTTCTGTATGTATGTGTGTTTGGAGGGAGGGGATGACAGCAAGTGCTCTCTGATGCTGCAGATAAAAGATGAAAACTAAACAACAAAAGCTGCCCGGCTGTGAATGGCAGGCCGTATCAAACACATCCCCGCCCTGGAGAGGAGCGTGTGAGCGAAAGGACCATAGATAGAGAACGGCAGAGGAGGGAGGGGAGTGCCCGAATACTTTATAGGAGGGTGGAAGGGCGCTGGAAGCCGCCCAACAGCATGATGGTGGTTGATTCTCTGTCAAGGGCTCCTAACAGTTAAAGCTTGTTTCGTTGGAGTGGTGCAGTCAGGGCTGGGACAGTGCAGAGGCGGGTGACACGTATCAAATAAAGTACACTTGGGAATACTGTGCTTTAAGTCCTAGCACAAGTCCAAATCTGAAGACAAACAACAGACTCTGGTGATTGGAGCAAAAAAGGTTAGATGCAGAGGGAAAAAACAATTCTTCAAGAAAATGAGAAAAGGCTGTGCTAGAGTAATCAAACAAAGGAACTTATCTTCTTTTAAAGGGTCAGAGTGTAAAACTTAGACAAATGAATCATTTGTTTATAACGTATATATCCCTGAAATAAAAAACTCAATTACACTGAATCTGTCGTCTAATAATTACAAATACTGTACTCAAATGACCATACTGTAGCCATGCAAGGAAAGTAAATGTGCCTCCAATTTGAGAATATGATATAATCAGAGGTTTATTTGTTGCTTCAGCCATTCCAGTTAATTCAATATAATGATAATTAATAATGTTTAGAGTATGTACATTTTAAAATAATTACATTGAAAGTCCTCTTCCACACAAACATTTCGAGTGGAAGGCACTTCTAGATTGATATAGAATGCTAACATGATTAACTGTAATACCAATCAGGGTTGTGCAAGGTTAGAGGATGTGTCCCAGGAGAGAGTGTGGATTTATGCAATTCAAAGCTAAGTGATTCAAAGAGCAGAGAAGGCAAAGCTATTATGTGATCCATTTATCTGCAAATGCAGCATAATATCTACTGAAGTGACTTAGCCACTCTGTATATTTTATGCTGAATATGTCACACACAAAAACATTCCAAAGCAAAAAATAAAAAATGTTTTGCTCTCACCTCTGCTTGGAATCCCTCAACCAAAATGGCCACCAGCAGATTGAAAAGGACATAGTTGCCAAATGTCATGAGAGCCACAAAGTAGAGAGCAGCAAGAGGAGTGGTGGAGGCCATGCCATTATAAAGCACAGCATTCCAGTCTTCTTGAGTTAGGATCTGCAGGGACAGGTGAAGAGACCGGGTGTCAGTCTTGTATTCCTAACAGAAAGTAATGAGCAGCACATTCCTCGAGTAACCTATTTTCTAAGCAGCAGTTCTCAGCAAAATGCCAATAGCGGTTTCTTTTCTTTAATCGGCTAAACTGTAATGACACTCATCAGATGTGAATGAGGTCTTGTAGTTTACACGTTGTATTACTCTACTCCCAGTTCACTTGTAAACTCCATTCACCAACTCGCCAGAGGGCTTTTGTGTTTTGTTTGGAAATTGAGTGTGAGCGTACCCAAATTGGTGCAAATGAATTAATACAGCCGATCACCTGGGCCACGACTGGTGACAGGACCAGCTGCTGTGCATTTCCCATTCCAATTCATTTCAGAATATAATTTAGCAGCAATTTATCAACAGGGAAATCTTCGATTGAAGTAAGGTTGATGTGTTGGGAGTAGGAACAGACCTGGAACACAGTCACAGTGGCCCACAGTAGGGAGTCGAAGTTCTTCCTGTCCGGTAATGTGTCGCCAGTCTCCTGACGCAAACCGAATTTACAGCCAAACAGATGCATGCCCAAGATGCTGGAATCAAAACAACATCAAAGGGTAAATATCTGTAACTCAAATTAATGGAATCAAAATTAATATTCATAACTTCATATTTTTAATAAAACACTTCTTACCACTTTACATAAAACAATAATAAACAAAAGTTAAATTGATATTGTCATGTAGTATGATACAGTTAAAGCTGGGGTGGCTAACTTTTCCTCATCCATGTTGTTTGTCCCCACAGAATAAGTCTTTTTAAAGGAAAATATCCCTTTTTGTTAGGGATGCAGGATGTATCGGTATAAATATCAATATTGGTTGATGTTGATTATTATTTTACCTATCAGCACCAGACCGATGTGTAAAATTGGGCCGATAACCACAGCCGATGTGTATTTCTGGTTGCAGCTGACGTCACGCAGCGGCATGAGGGACAGGAGGTAAATCTTGCCATTAAGAACAATGTAAATATTCACTGATTCTGAGTCAAAATTCTCTTTTTCTGTGGTGTGTGCAGTTGTGGCAACTGCTCGTATCGAATGGAGAACTTATGGAGTCTCTATTTTACTAAAATATCTTTCTTTAACGGGTGTCGATTTTTAGAAAAATGCCTAAAAAGAAAGAAATGCATTAGCATTAGCAATAGCATTAGCCTGCGTAGCATCTGCCACAAATTGACAGTCTCAGTTCACTTTGCTGAGTTTCATTATATACAATGCCGTATTTTTGGGTGGTATACGGTTGTAGTAACCGAGGCAACAGGGAGACAGAACTGTTGAATACATTTTTTAATGCCAAAGGTTGTCTCAAACCAAGGTGTTCTTATAAAAACATAAAAAATAATAATAAGATAAAAAGTCAAGTATCTCGGGGTCTTGTTCACGAGTGAGGAAAGAATGGAGCGTGAGATTGACGGGCGGATCGGTGCAGCGTGCGCAGTGATGCGGTCGCTGTATCGGACCGTTGTGGTGAAGAGGGAGCTGAGCCGAAAGGCAAAGCTCTCAATTTACCGGTCAATCTTTGTTCCCTCCCTCACCTATGGTCATGAGCTTTGGGTAATGACCGAAAGAACGAGATCGCAGATACAAGCGGTCGAAAAGAGCTTCCTCCGCAGAGTGGCTGGGCGCTCCCTTAGAGATAGGGTGAGAAGCTCAGTCACACGGGAGGAGCTCGGAGTAGAGCCGCTGCTTCTCTACGTCGAGAGGAACCATTTGAGATGGCTCGGGCATCTGTTCCGGATGCCTCCTGGATGCCTCCCTGGGGTGGTGTTCCGGGCACGTCCCACCGGGAGGAGGCCCCGGGAAAGACCCAGGACACGCTGGAGGGACTATGTCTCTCAGCTGGCCTGGGAACGCCTTGGGGTCCCCCCGGACGAGCTGGAGGAAGTGTGTGTGGATAGGGAAGTCTGGGCGTCTCTGCTTAGACTGCTGCCCCCGCGACCCGGCAACGGATGAAGCGGAAAAAAATGGATGGATGGATGGATGGAAAAAAGTGTATCCGCAAAAAGCTCCTGTGATGCGTTTTTCTGCCTCGCCCATTCTAACTTAGCCTGGCCTTAGCCATCCATTATCTTTGGTCAATTATTATTTCCCTTAGTACAAAACGAAATTTGTACAATGGTGTGGTAAGACCAGGCTAATTCTAACTAAGAGGACAAAGTCATTCTATTGCCATGAATACTGGCTTGATAAGTGGTAAAAAATTCTGAAAATAGAGGAATAGATTCAGTATGTACACATTTTTGTCATCTCAGAATTTGAAAAGAACAAACACAAATCGATTTTGTCAAATATCGGTAATCGGCTATAACAGAAAAATGACTATTGGATATAGAAATAGGCCATAATGTTCATATCTGTGTATCCCTACTTTATGTGGTTTGAAGATAGGTACCCCAGCTTTAAGTTCTGTTGAATTTGAGGAAATGGCAATTATCTTGACTAAAAAGGGTTTTTGACACATTCATGACTAGCCCTCTGAGCATCTTGGATGTACTTGGTATAATTGACAACCTGAAAATGAATATGAAGAGCATCAGCAGCATGCAGAAGGTGGCTACGTTGTCCATGGTCTTCACAAGGACCACCAGCTGCCTCCGGAGCGCGGGCAGAAAGCGGACCAGTTTCAGCACTCTGAGCAGCCTGAACGTCCTCAGCACTGACAGGCCTCCCTCCGCATCGCCCATAATCTCCCACACACTGAAACACAACAACAAGCACATTACAAACGCCTACGCAAATCCAATTAAATCAATATTCGCTTAACCTTCGCGACAAATGTGTACCAATCCCCCAAGTATGCCTCAGGGCAGGATAAGAGCTGAAATCCTGTGACACGTGGCAACGAAAAGGAGGAAATGGGGCATTGCTACAACGGTGCAGCCAATAAATGTAGTTGGAGCGCACAATAAACAAGCAAAGCCTTCAAGCGCAGATACATAATTTAGCTTGAAGTACTACATAATGGAGTAATACAGAGCCATTTGGCTGTGAAAAGAAGGAGATGTTTACAGGCAATCCAGGAGTTTTATTTTCTTCAAAAGGAAATTTTGTTGTTTTTAAACTAAATATTGTATATTAGCATGTTATAAAAACGAAGGTGGGTTAATATATTTCGGATTTATTGTGCTAATATCAGCATCTACAAACAACTTCAGTGCAGGTGTATAGTATGGTGCCAGACCAGCCACTAAAGATCAAATAAAACAACAGTGTTTTTAAGAAAATTAAACAGACGAACACTGACACTGTCTGCAGAAAATGTCAGACTGAACTGGATAATTTGGGAACATTAAATATTAAAGCATGAAGACATGTGCACGAAACGAATCTGATTGAAATAGGGCTTACACATTTTTTTTTTATTATTTCATGAGATGAATACCAAATGTGGAGGTACAGATTTTAATCTGACAGATAGAAGGTGGTCAAAAGTACCTTGGTTTGGGTTCAACTTTAGAGAAACTAAGTTGCAATGTTGCAATTATGGATAAAAAAAAACACAGAAATCCACTCAAAATAATAAAAAGAGGAAGAGTAGGAGTTGTCATCCACAACATGTATGCGTCCGGTGTGTGTGTGTGTGTGTGTGTAGGATTGATTGGTGAGGACGACAGGGCAGGTGAAAGCTACCATGATCGTTTCCCACAATGCTGCGTGGAGTTAATCAATAACATACATGAAAATGTAAAGCAACTCTCTGTGATCTTACAAGATCTAAAAACACAAGTTGTAAGTAGGATCTCCCTGAAACTTCCTTATTACATTTTCCTCCAAGTCTCATGTTTGATGCACAGAAGTCAAAACAGATCATTTTGGGGCATTTAAGGTCTTTGAAGATATTTTTTTTTCTGAAAGCCCTTTTTCCGCAAATAACCTTTGATGGTTATTGGGCTGCAGTCGGCACCAGTAATAGCCTTCATTTAGGTCAAAAATTGTCTTATGTCTTGACAGTCTGCTTCCAACCTTCGATGACGCATCGTGAGAGGCCTCGCTTGTGCAATGTGACAATTCAACCTTGTTTGGCTTTTGCCGTCATAAGGTCATGACAATGTGAAGGACTGACTGAAATTGGCTTTAATTGACTTTAAACCTAGCCAATAAGCAATTTAACGTATTAATAAATGTGGTCCTTAACTCTATTTGCTGTTTTCATGTTGATGATTACCATTTTCTACTTTTTTAACCTATTTAAGATCACAGCGTGTACAATGTTATTGTTTGTGCCATTTCATATATAAAATGCATTATTTTTCATGTTAAAAAAGCTGGTAAAAATAACTGGTGTCACTTTTACCAGTGAAATGACGTCTTCAGTGGTACATTTCCTTTGTGAAATTAGTTATTTTTGTAAAAGCAAGGAGACAGCTAAACAAACTGTTTATCCTCCTCAGCTTCTGTTACTCAAAGCAAACGCCTGTATTAACTTACGCAAGGGGATATGAATGAGACCTCCTCACAGCTCCAATGCTGCAACTGTAGCTATGGGCTGAAACGTAATGAAGACAGAGCTATTCCATGTCTGCATGCAGAAGAATATTTCTTCATCGATATCAGAAGAAAACATACTTATACTTTGCTAAACTGACTTATTCAGGTACCAAAACTTCTGCCATTGAATTATATATATTTCTAAAATGTTGTTAACAAATTGGTTTGGATAGAATCTCTTAGGTATAGAAACATATATGGATAAAACTAGACAATAAAAATCAATTCAACGGTGCCTGGAACTACTAGTGCTATGAGGAATAAATGAAAAGAGTAACAATTTGTTTCTACCATAATAACTACTGGGCCTAATTTAGATGGTACCATTGATTAACGTGTTTGTGCACAACATGGTAGAACGTCATTTTGTATAATTACTCATTTAAATGCACAGAATCAAGTTGCAATTTGTCTGTTAATCAGAAAAGAGAATGTAGTACCTCTCAATGCAGCTTCCATTGAAATAACAGATTATGTGCCACTGTATAATGGCCAGTGTGGTTTTCAAGTCATTGGTCATTCATAGTTTTTGGTTAATGCAACAAGTGGCCGCCGTTAACATGGGTCACAAAGACACAACACAACTTTGTAAGCTGACAAGATATAATGTTTAAGTGTATGTATAAAAACAGTAATAAATTCATGAATCAAAATGAAATTGGCAAAGCTAATGATCTTAAACTTAACATTTGTGAAAACTGAATAACATATTGAAAAATGCTCAGTGACACATTTACTAAAGGAACGCTCTTAAAAGTCATTGTTACATAATACATCACCATGAAGCATGCATGAATGAATTTAATTAACCACACCATATTAAACAAAACGTCAGATTAACATATTGTATGACCTTTAACACTTTGTCAGGAGAAAATGAACAATCACTGCACCTGATGATGACAATGATGCTATCGAAGCCGTTGTAAGGATTCTTGATGTACCCAAAGAGGCCCAGAGCCAGAACCTTGAGCAGCATCTCCAGACTGAAGAGGCTGGTGAACACCATGTTACTGATCTCCAACACGTCGGTCAGCTCCTGTGGCTGAAGGACACAACAGGACACATAGAAAACACATGAAAACCATAAAATCACATCTCTTATGAGTACACACACATCCATACTCACATTTTCAACAACTATTGTAATTTACGTGTATCACACGTGATTTTCCAAAACTCACATACCGTGAGTTATCAAAGATCAAATTACTACTGATTAGATTAAGTTAACGTTACTCTGTAGGGAGCAGTAATGCACCATCATACCCCCCCCCCCCCAAGACTAAGAAGAAGGGTTACTTATTAGTAGAGAATTAGACTTGCAATGATAGGTAATACTGTAACCTACCAAAAATAAACAAACTATTCTCAAATCATTGTTGAGTTGTTTATTTTGGTAAATTATCATGTTTGTTTCTCATGTTTTATCATGTTTATGTCGAGAGAGGGACTCAAACCACCAATATTCAGTTTAGAGTACCCAAACGACTGATATACTGCCATCACAATAGAACTGCAAAGTGGGCAGTCCACTGTAAAATTTAAGTTTTAAAAATTTAAAAAATTCGCACTCACAATGGTTGTATTGCACTACATTTATAAAAACCGTCTTTCCTTCCCCAATAAATCTGGCTCCTTTGTCCGTGTAGAGGCATTGCTTTAGTGAGCTCTGACCACGGATCTATAATAATTACTGGATAGGGTATTACTAGCTTATAGCTGTCCCACCCACGGGCACGTGGTACTGCAGACTAAATTCACGCAGTCTTCCCAGAAAAAAGTCCCATAGATCTCAATATAAATTAAAACAGCTCAACCTTGGCTGACAGAGAACCTCCAGCTTTCAGAAAGATCGGATTTTGTGAGGATTTTTGTGTCCCTTGTCATCCTGAACTTTTTTCTTCTTAAATCATTCGGTTTTCTTTAAATCTACACTTTACTGCCACAAACTCTGCTTGTTTCCTTCCCGCTCTTACTCTTACTCATGGCTAGCTCTGATTGGTCAGAGCGCGGCCGAGCCCCTCTGTGCACGTGCAAGAAAGCCACACACGCGTATTTGGCGCAACGCATCATGGGAGCTCGTCCACTGCGCAGAACTGGGAGGACCAGACAATGCCCAAATATACAGTACTGTAGGTGAGTTCTAGCTAATCTCCCATGCGCTACTGAGCACAAGCCATTCATTTGAATAGTGCGGAGGATGGTGTGTGTGTGTGTGTGTGTGTGTGTGTGTGTGTGTGTGTGTGTGTGTGTGTGTGTGTGTGTGTGTGTGTGTGTGTGTGTGTGTGTGTGTGTGTGTGTGTGTGTGTAAATGTAGTAAGTGTGACTCCCACAAACTACTTAGAGCAGGGGTGTCATTCATACGGCCCGCCAAGAGATTTGACACGGCCCGTGGCTCATTTATGTAAAAATATAATAAAGTTACATTTTAAAAAGCCGCTCCGCGACGCGAGGCTCCGCGCCGCGAGGCGCCGCGACGCCGCAGCGCCGCGCTCAGGGGTGAGTCCAGTGCGTCTGTAGTGGCTCCACCAGAGCGGTGCTGAAGGAATAACATCTTAAACTACAAGACTCGGCGAAAAATACGGCACTTTGAGCGAAGAATTGAGAAAACAGAAGATAAACCTGTCTGGCCCTGAAGACACAGCAGTCTGTTTGTGCCCAGAGCGAGAGGTTAGTTCTGCTGTTGTGAAGGGAAGCTACCTGTGCTAACAACATTAGCATTAGCATCGCAGCCGCACAGTGAGAGAGAGAGTTTGTTAAATCTCTCACAGGCTGCAGACATGGTCTGAGAAACCACTCGCTTTTACCAACATGTTGCCATTGATAAGAGACTGATGTTACTGATGTCACATATTCATTTGTGGTGTTACTGAAACTATCAGAGGAGTTTTGAGCGCTGCTGCTGGTGCTGCTGCTGGTTCTGCTGTTGTTGCTGGTGTGTTGGACAGTGTGGACTGGTACCGATGGTAAAAACAGGTGTAGTGACAAAGCTGCAAATGGAGGTGATGATTTTTGGACATTTGACTGTATTTTACACAGAGACACTGCTGCAGTCGTTAAGAATGAATCACGTTATGGAAGTAAAACTTGCTAAGAAGTACAGATGATGGGTGAGAAACCTTCCTTTGCTTTGGTTATGGAAGTTGTTTTATTCATTTCAACTGAATCATGGTCAGTTTGATGCTTTCTCTGTGATAATAACATAACCATGGACCTTACACACTGAAGATGGTTAATGTGATAATAACATAACCATGGACCTTACCACACTGAAGATGGTTAATGTGATAATAACATAACCATGGACCTTACCACACTGAAGATGGTTAATGTGATAATAACATAACCATGGACCTTACCACACTGAAGATGGTTAATGTGATAATAACATAACCATGGACCTTACCACACTGAAGATGGTTAATGTGATAATAACATAACCATGGACCTTACCACACTGAAGATGGTTAATGTGATAATAACATAACCATGGACCTTACACACTGAAGATGGTTAATGTGATAATAACATAACCATGGACCTTACCACACTGAAGATGGTTAATGTGATAATAACATAACCATGGACCTTACACACTGAAGATGGTTAATGTGATAATAACATAACCATGGACCTTACCACACTGAAGATGGTTAATGTGATAATAACATAACCATGGACCTTACACACTGAAGATGGTTAATGTGATAATAACATAACCATGGACCTTACCACACTGAAGATGGTTAATGTGATAACATAACCATGGACCTTACACACTGAAGATGGTTAATGTGATAATAACATAACCATGGACCTTACCACACTGAAGATGGTTAATGTGATAATAACATAACCATGGACCTTACCACACTGAAGATGGTTAATGTGATAATAACATAACCATGGACCTTACCACACTGAAGATGGTTAATGTGATAATAACATAACCATGGACCTTACCACACTGAAGATGGTTAATGTGATAATAACATAACCATGGACCTTACACACTGAAGATGGTTAATGTGATAATAACATAACCATGGACCTTACACACTGAAGATGGTTAATGTGATAATAACATAACCATGGACCTTACCACACTGAAGATGGTTAATGTGATAATAACATAACCATGGACTTTACCACACTGAAGATGGTTAATGTGATAATAACATAACCATGGACCTGACCACACTGAAGATGGTTAATGTGATAATAACATAACCATGGACCTTACACACTGAAGATGGTTAATGTGATAATAACATAACCATGGACTTTACCACACTGAAGATGGTTAATGTGATAATAACATAACCATGGACCTTACACACTGAAGATGGTTAATGTGATAATAACATAACCATGGACCTTACACACTGAAGATGGTTAATGTGATAATAACATAACCATGGACCTTACACACTGAAGATGGTTAATGTGATAATAACATAACCATGGACCTTACCACACTGAAGATGGTTAAGCTGAGGTGCTGTGTTTAAGTGCTTTTTTCTATCTACCTACTTTACCTTTGTGAGCAGGTTTTCTCTGTAATGAGCCTTAAAACAAAGCTAACACACAAATATTAATATACATATTGTGAAATACCATTTTCAATGTAATATTGTAAATACGCTACATTATTTGCACTATGGAAAACTCACTGTTACATTTAAGTTTGTAACAGAAAACTGAGTATTAAAGGATAGTGTTTTAAAGGAAGTTTTAAATAAATGTGTTTATGTGCACAAAAAGTTGGACTTTGTACCGTTTTTGGATATTTTTGTAGAGCATCTCCTGGTCCGGCCCACTTGAGATCAGATTAGGTTGTATGTGGCCCCCGGACCAAAATGAGTTTGACACCCCTGACTTAGAGTGAATGTCAAGTTTAAAGTACCGGTATCTTAAATCTAAAGCTATGAATATTATTACAACATTTCTTTCAGCATTGCTATACTGGCTCCAAGTCTTTCAGCATCGCTATTATAGTGAAACACAATCATGCACCGATATTACATCCACATAAAAACAGACACATTGCCATTTAGTGACATTTCTGCAGCTCATATCTCCTCCCTGTGCACCAAAGGAGCCTGGCTGAGTAAACAAAGGACAGAGTGTGTGCTAAGCTCAGTGACATCTGTCTGATACTCTCTGAAGGAGGCACAACAGGCCTCCAAGGTATTTTGCATGACACCACACTGGTCAAACTCAGCAGAAGGAAAGGAATAAGTCACCATGTGGTATAAACGAGCAGCATCAGGCTTCAGATTTGCAGAGCTGTTTGAAGTGTAAAATAGTCCAGGATAGGCGCAGGTGAGCTCTCAGCTGTGACCAAAATGGGGCACTCGAATTTGAAGAGTGGTTTGTTCCTGTTTTGCCTCAAAGTGGCTAAAATAAGTGAGTGATACATAGTGGTGCTGTGTACAGATGCTACATGAAGGGGAGGAGGTTGTGTTAAAACGGGAGAGAACATTGGGTTGAGATGAGGGAGCGAGTTCTGTGATGGCATCAGCTTTGCTTCTTTTTGTTTGGGGGGTGGACAGCATGATATAAATAAATGGACAATGGCTGAGTTCTGGCGGACAGAACAACTAATCTCAATTTATGAACAACTAGCTCAGCATGGAAATGCTGTATTACAGGATAAGAAAACCGCACAAAAGAAAAGAAGATTGGAGAAAAAAGGAGACTTTGTAGAACTATACAAAACCATGTTTAAGGCAAATTATCAAAAGTATGTTAAAGGCGCGCGAGTGCACACTTCACATTTAATAGATTATAATGTATATGTTATTCTAGCATGTTGATGGTCATATTTGCTAATACGGTACCAACAATAATGATTGTTTTCCGGCCTCTATTCTCACGACTATAATGACTTTATACATTTCGTTTTGACTGAATAAATATTTCTCATGTATTCCAAAAAGCTGTTAAAACCACACTTCTGTAAATGGGAAGAAATGTAATGGAATAAAAAAAGTTTTTATAAACCAGTATTTGAATTCTGAACTGAATATTTTCCTACTCATTGCTATAGCACTCACACATCAAGCTGACATGGGTTTGTTGAAATCAAAAGTTCCCTCTTATTTCTCACATTCAATCCTTGACAAATGTTTCACCAACATTTGCTAACTAAGTCGTCTGATTGCACAGCAGATAATGTGTTACTTAAATGCCCATAATGAAGCAGCAGATCGGTTTACCCACAGTTTGTGACACAATTTTGAGAATTAAACCAGGAGATTACATTCCCACCACCCGCCTGCCTCTTGTTTACTCGCAGTAACTATTACAGTCAACAATTTTTATCAAGCTGTTGATCATCTGTAGTTATGTCATCAAGCAAAGAGAAAACAAAACATTTAAAATCTAATTAGGTAGAATAGACTAATTTAAAACATGCACGAGAACAACACACGCACCTGCATCACAGCTTCAACGGTTTAAAGGTACATTTCTGGTGGAATGGTACAGTATTTGGCTTTCAATAGAATTATAGCATCATTTGACAATCCTTAAACTAATAATGTGAGCAAAACCAAGCAAAAACCAAGACCGAACCTGTACAGAACCAATAACAAAAAGGTTCTACTGTCTGATACTGAACAAGTGGAACAAAAAACACGAGCACTCCCTAATTACATGGTAGAGTGGCCACCAAAAATGTCCCTCTAAGAAATTCATGTAGACTATTAAAAAATATTCTGTATTAATTATGAACATTAATACAGGAAAAGGCACCAAACTGTGTCCAGGAATTTGAGCTGAAGACCTGGCAGCCAAAGTAGTATTTGCTGTGTCTCTCCTCGTCACTTTAATATCACCATAAGGAAATAACTTCACCAATAATGTATCATCCGCTGCCTTCTTCACCATCACCTCTACCAACGCGCAATGTAATCCCAGAAAAAGGACAGCACCACTTTGATTATACTTGTGTCAACATAAGTATACTTGTGTACTTCCCAAACAGAGCTAATGATAAAATTAATGCTAAATTAGCTTCATCAAAAGCTACCATTGCACATGGACCATATTACCTACAATTTTACAGCCTACATACATTAGTCACTCTTTGATATTCTTTTCTGCGCATGTTGTTTGCCATATAAATGAACGCAATTTGACATTGACAAATCCAAAACAGCCGCTGTTCGAAGCAATCTAAGACATTTTACTTCATGAATCTTCTTAATCTGCCAATTTCAAGGTCAACAAAGAATATATGAATTATTTAATGTATTTTTCAGGAGATTTATAGACTGATTTACTGACAATTACTAAGTTGATTTTTATTTATTTATCGGAAACACTGTTAACTACTAATATTGTGCAGTTTGAGTCATCTGCCACAGTGATATACGTGGCAAAAGAATAGATAAACAAATGTAAACATAGAGATTTTCCTGTCAAATGTTTGATTCACGTCAGTTGTCTAAAGACACATTGCTCGCTCTTTGTTCCCTTTAAGTGCCCTTTGGAAATTCTTCAATTCCAAGACCACAAATTGATAATCAAAATGAAATGGTATGACCTTTTCTCACATGATCATATAATTGGCTACTGTTGTACAAAGGTTTCAATATTGAGAGGTTCCTTCTGGTTTCGTGATAAATGCCAAAAACACCTCCTTACTACAAATAGTACTTAAATAAATATCACATTATATATATATATTTTTAAATTATGTTTACTTTTCTCTTTATAAAATCAACAATCATGAGTAAAGCGACCAATATAGGGCACCTGCCTCCGACCAACAGCAATCATTCACACACTCACCACTTTCATGCTCTGCAGTTAGGAAAACGGAATACATCTCACCAGGAACCAAACCTCTAATTTATAATTCCATAATTGGCACCAGTTTTCATTTCACCCAGAAGAACAGGGAACTTCGCAAATGTAGCCGAATGAACGGAAACAGTCCCAGCAGATTAAACGACCCCACAACCCTTGCATTATTAAGGACTATTTGCAAGGTTTACAGAGTTGTGATTCCTTCTTTCGCCTAACCAGTTTAATTTGGAAACGTCATCATAATTCAGTATTTTCAACTACAAAGATTTATAGCTCGGCCAATGATTTTGTTAAACAATTGTTTTCAGCCGTCCATCCATCCATCCATTTTCTTCCCCTTAATCAATTTAGGGGGGTCTGGGGGTGGCAGTCAGAGCTGAACCCAGTACACATAGCACCAGCCCCTCACTGATCCTCCTGCAGGTGGAGAGTCCACAGGAGCCTTGATTTTTCAGCAGGGGCTTCAGGCAAAGTGGGGTTAAGTGTCTCGCCCAAGGACACAACGACAGCAGACATCAGTGGGAGTCGTGAAGTAGGAGTTGCAGTGTGCTCGAACCCAGGCCCAAAGGCCAATGCTCTACCAAGTGAGCCACTGTATTTAGTTGATTATTTTGTAATTAAGGGTAAATCTAAAATAGTTTCACTCAATGTCTTCTAAATAGTCCATGACAGCTTCATGGCAGAGTTTCTCGATCATTAATATCAATCATCACGACCAATACAAAAGTCAATAACAAAAACTAATAACACCACTGATGAGCAATGAGATAAAATAGCTCATGTTTAAGTGCAAATGGTTTCACCGCGTGTGGAAACCAGTCTGCCGTCTGCATCCAATCTGACTGTCAGCTGTACCGTTTCCCTCGTTCTCACTTTCTCTCTCTTCTCACTCTCCTCCCTCTCCTGTCCCCGGGTCAGGCTTTAATTAACACTTCAGGTTTTATGAATTCCTCACTCACACAAACACACACACACAATCTGCTCCCATATGCCTGCTTCACAACGTGTTGATTGGAGCCTGCGTTTATTGACTCTGGCTGTGATTAGCGCATCCATTTCCAATCAAACTCTACAGCCCCATCCAATCTGAGGTAGGTACCTGCTCGTGGTACTCGATGCCCATAGACAACGTGTTAATGAGGATGGCAATCATGATGCCTCGACTGAAGTAGCGGCTGCCGACAATCAGATCCAGCTTGGTGCGCAGGCGTGCCAGGCAGCGGAGTAAGAGGTGGCGTCTCTTTGGCTTGGGTGGCGATGCGGTGGGCTCGGTGACGGAGGGGCCCGGGCTGTTGCAGTGACATGGGCTGTTGCCATGGAAATTGGAGGTGTTGGTGGTGTTCTCCATGTATTCGAGCTCATTGCCACCAAGTTTATTGTAGTAGCAGTAAGGGCACACAGGGGAGTCTCCCGGGACCTCTCCTGGCAGTGCTAAGGCGGGATGTCCGGAGCACCCACCTGCAGAGGACACAAACAGTGGAGATTTGATGATGAAAGCTCATTGGAATGGTGATGCTGTAATGTAGTATGCAAAGACTATGGCTGTCTAGCACGTCAGAAAAAAACATTTTCTCGAGTGTCTTCTCAATGGGATACAGATTTTGACACAGGGCTGCTTGATTGGGATGTTTGGTCTAAAATGTAAAATTGATTACCGGTAAATATCCAAATAAGTCATGAAGACAGAATGCTGAAGATAACTTGATCCATGACACTCAAACCACCAAAACAAAAGTCAAAACAAATTAGTAATTGGAATTGTTTACAATTAATTTGGATGTTCATGCAGGTTATGCTAAGTCCTCTTGCTAATGTCAGTATGAACATTTAATACACATTATCAGCCGGCTTTCATAGTCATCAATCTGTCTGAAGAAGGCCAAGGCCTGTCATCAAGGACAACAGCCACCCATCAAATACGCTGCTACAGCTCCTGCCGTCAGGCAGACACTACAGGAGTTTACCTGCACACAAAAAAGACTGAAGGACACTTATTATCCACAAGCTGCTACACTGCTTAATTCAAGCTCGCCTTGGATTAAACAGTGTGAGCGTTTTGAAGACTGCACTTCTTTACTTGGCATATTAAAACAATCGCAATTAGGATGTTTGTGAATCGTTCTCGATTCTTCAATGGCTGAATCACACTTTGGCCGAATATGAATGCTGATATTAGCATTAGCACAACTTCTTGTAAGCTGTACAACAATCACTGATGAAATGGCACTAAAGCAACGCACTGCTAACACAATATATAGGTAAAAGAATACCGCTAGTTTCGCATCCGAATGTATTAATTTAACATTAGAATATATTAGAATATTTAATTATAAGTTATTATACAGCTCCTCACAGCAGCAGTAGAACCCTCCGTTGACTTTTTTGATCATTTTTTCTTGATAACAGAACTCTCAAACCAATAATGACCGCTGCCCTTTGACAATGCAATCTCTGTTTGTAATTCAGGTGTGTAAAATACTAACGTTACTCTGCAAGTACAACAAGCTATCAGCACCTGTCACTACATCGTGCAGTTTCTCTGCACACAGTTGTCTGTGCAGAGAAGCTAGCGGAGCTAGCGGAGCTAGCCATGCTCAATAAACAAATACATATCAATCAATCAACACCATTCAATGTTAATCGGACAATACAGTATACAGATACATCCTTAACACACATGCACGGACGTTTTCAGAATTTGGTGTTAACGTTTTCATGACAAAATTACTATTTTAATGTGACAAAAAGCGATCGCGGAAGTAACCATTAACATGAAACGAACATTTTAGGACACATTTGAATTTAGATTCGGTATATAAATGGGTAACTCACCGCTGATGTTCAGAATTCTTTGTTCAGTTTTCATGTAGCTAGTTCTAGAGATTTTGAACTAGCTAGCTTAGTTTTTTAACTAAGCTAGCTAGCACGTCACGGTGAAACCTTTGGGAGCTAACTATTTTATTTGCAGTCATTAAATACATTTCGAATTATAAGGGCTGTCTAATATTTATTCGAATATATAGTATATTTTTTTCATTTTAGAATTATATTCGAATTTTGAGGCCGAAGCATGGATCTATTATAATAACTGGATAGGGTAACAAACAGTGATGTTCGTTATACCTCTGCACTGTGGAAACACTGGTATAGATGCCTCCTCTAAAGAGATTTGGGGAATTTTATTGTTTTATGTCTATTTTTTGTGTTCTGGACTACGAGTCTGTAATAAAAGCTATCTATTACTAGCTTGTAGCTGAATAACTCATGTGCTCGGGGGATTCTCGCGGTACTGCAGACTGAACCAGACTAAATTCACGTGGGCTACCCAGAAATTTTCCCCGTAGAACTCAATGCATATTAAAACAGCTCAACCTCAGCTGACAGGGAACCTACAGCTTTAATAAAGGTCGGATTTTGTGGAGATTTTAGTGTCCCTTGTCATCCTGAACTTTTTTTCTTCTTAAATCATTCGGTTTTGTTTAAATCCACACTTTAGTGCCACAAACTCTGCTCGTCTGGCTCTCGCTCTAACTCCCGCTCTGATGAACTGCTCTGATTGGTCAGAGCGCAGCCGAGCCCCTCTGTGCACGTGCGTGAGACCCGGTGTGAGACCCACACACGCGTGTTTGATGCAACGCATTATGGGAGATCATCCACTGCGCAGAACCGGGAGGACCAGACGATGCCCAAATACAGGCGAGTTTCCCATAGATCTTTGCGAGTTCCAGGCGACTTCCGCTAATCTTTCAGCCCCCATGCCGTCACAAAGCGCCACTGAGCACAACCATTCATTTGAATAGGGCGCCATCTTGGATCGCCGGGGCTTGGGCCGAAGCCCTAGTGTTTAGCAGCGCTGTAGAGGCTAGAGGACGCAGGGTGTTCGCTGCTCGTTCTGTGAGTGGAGGAGAATGAGCTTTTCAAGGCCTAAACTCATACACCGCTGAATCAATGACCTCAAGTTTTCAATTAAATTATGGATTATAATACAACTTGTATGTAGCATTTTTATGAACTACTTAGAAAAAAAAATCGGGTATAGCTTCTTTAATCTAAACACTGACAAAAGCATGGGTGGAACAGTCTCTCCACAAACTTGATATTCATAGTCAATATGGTATGAAACGCATCTATCTATATGTATAGTTTCTATCTATATGTAGTACGTTGTAATTCTAAATAATTCCATGGAATTATTGAAGTGATGTTCCATCTCCAGAAAGTTACAGTTTTGCTTTGACTATACAATAGGAGCTCCCATATGGTTCCATTCCTTAATAGCTCCAAACTTTCTGGCTGGTTACATTTTTGGCAGTGATAATTAGACAACAAAATAAGTGTATGTACATTTTTTAAGTGAAAATTATTTATTGAAATACAGACGCAGTGCTCCAGGAGACAGGTTATCCAAGTATTGGATGTAAATTAAATAAAGCTTAGTTAAAAGTTAAAGCTTGGTCAGTAATTCTGTAGGCTCTTAAAATAATGGATTTGTTGAGCATTTATGTAACTCTGCAAATTCTATTAGTTTAACATTTGCTCATTAACATACCATATGCTAAACCAATGGGAGTGGAAAACTAAATAAAAAGGCTTTCTAATTTATACTTTTTACAATAGACAAGCTCTAAAAGCAGGCTATATTGATTTGCACTCCGGCGGAACTATCCATTTCAGATGTAGATGTGAATATGTAGATGTGTATATAATATATTCTCTTTGTACAAGGAGAGAACATTAATTTAATCTTTGATAGAAGGGTGAACAATTCAATAACATAGAAGGCTCTCCACGGTTAGGATGCTCTGAACAGGGGGAAATTCTTTTATTAGAACAGAGATATCTGAGTTCAGGGGGAAGGGGGTAGGGAGGAGGGAGAAATATTCAGTAGAGTTCATTAGCAAGCAGCTCTGAAGGAATGTTCCAACAACATAGCAGCGCATAATTGTGTCTTTGTGATTTCAACAAATTTATTATACAACAAAAATGTAAAACCAGCCTAGACTGCCTGTGGTGTATATGCAGATAGACTACAGTACAAATACAGCAGTACCACTAACTATAAACAAAAGGGAAAAATTTGATATTATAATTTCAAAGGTACAAAACATGGTGCCACTCTTACAATCAGGCAATTTGCCAAAAAAAAAAAATAGGACAATTGAAAGCATTTGAGAAACAAGTTTGTCATTGACACTCATTTCAAGAGAGACAAGTCATTGTGACAAGCAAAAAAAGACCTAGGTCTCTTCTCAATGTATTGTCTGGATAGTTCCTACGGCCCAGGTGACTTTACACTGACCTTTTTATATCAAAGGAAAAGATAACAGGCAAACATAAACTCAGCTCGAACTGGAGATTTTGGAATTCACATGTACTGCTTTCACTGAGCCATAATCTGAAACTCAAACTAAAACCCCTGTGAGTCAAGAAATTCCAAGTGCTCTAGTGATACAGCATTTGACTTGAAACGTTTATAATAAACTCAAACTGGATTCTTATTGTTGACACTAACAACTACCACTACGAAATCAATCAATGTGTTATCAGCAGTAAATGGAAAATACACTCCAACCATGACAGTTCTTGGCACTGCTTCAGACACACCTTAAAATTGCCCCTCTCTAAGCGCTGACCGGAATTTCTTCACTTCTTTGACAACGAAATTGAAGTGGCCTCTTTTTTTAAAGGGTTTGAGTGGGTAAAAGCACTTGCAGTACAAGCTTTCAACCTTGATAGACACACAATGCCAACAAGTCATCTGTAGAGCTGTGGAAATGTATTGGTGTGTCAGGACTGTAAATGTACTGTAAAAATATTTCAGCTATTACTCAAAAATAGAAACAATTTGTGGAGTTACTGTATTTCTTATTATCAAGCCAATTAAACCAAGATGTAGGTATTGTTGTCTATAGTGGCGGGTAAATGCAGTGGTTCTCTATACAGCATGAAATCTGTTGCCAGTATAGAAGATTTATGTTTTTAAAAGTTGCGAGGAATTTTTTAATAGAATTAAAAATCAAGGGTGAAATTCTGTTTGAGTCACGATAATACAATGATCTTGATCTTGATAGTGGGGCTTTATTGATTTGAAATTTCAAATCACAGAGGACCTATAACAAAAATGGTTCTGGTAGCTTTTTTAACACATTACTCTCCTGAAAGTAATACAAAAGAAGAAGTAAAAAGTATGAAGTTTTGAATAGTAGTTTTACTTTTGGGTCAATAGTGTGGGTTCAAAGGTGAGTCTTATTCCTCTAAATAAAACTCTAATATCAGCTAGTAAATAATTGAGAGACCCAATCAGGATATGAGCCTAAGCCATAACATCTAACCGATATCCTTTAAATCAATGCATGTAATTGTTTCTGTGAGGACAACAGGGGGAGGAGCCATAGTGGAGTTTTTTCAGGAGTTGTGGAGCTTTGGGGTAAAAATTAACGCACAGCATGTCATTGATTTCACTACGGGAGAGTTTAAATCTGTACACCACTGAGAATCCAAGGTCGAGGCGTTTTGACTTTGAGACGCTAATAAACTCACCGTGCTCCAACACCAGCTGGGGCACTTTGTTGACTGTCTCCGCGGCAACCGGCCTCTTCTGCTCCTGGGCTTTTGCGTGAGTCAAGAGGGGTGAGATGATGGGATAATTGTACCCGTTTCCCCCGTTGCCTACGGCGGGGTCTGTGGGGGGCTGCTGAGGCTGGCTGTGGTGCTGGTGGCGGTGGTGGTAGAGCTGATGCAGGTGTGTCAAGTCGTTTGGGACGTGACCCGAGTGCCTGGGTGAATAGAAGGGACAATGAACAATAATATGTCACACATTCAAATATATGTTAAAACATGTTATATGTATACAAAAATAAAATAATAATTGCTTTAATTGATGATATACTTGAATTTACCATAACATCTAAAATAACATTCACATACTGAACAAATTGACTAAAAATAGGTAAAAAAATAAATTATATAATATTTCCTTATAGTATATTTCCTCATGCAAACCACATCCATCCATATAATCATGATCATATGCTGTCATGCCTACCTGTGGGCCAGTCCATTCATCTCCCCTCCCCTCCTCATGGCCCCGCCCCCTCGCACCTTCAGACATGTGCACACTCGTTGCACATGCACATTGCAAAAGGCGAGGTAACGAGACAGGCGGCGCCATGCTTTACGTCCCAGGTGAGCCAGGTAGCGGATGATCTCCTCGTAGCAGCTGCCCGGCTGGCTGTCGCTGGCCAGCGTAGAGGCAGATTGGTGGAGCTGTCGGGCGCGTTGCTCCGACTTCATTAAGGCGTGCTCCCTCTGCTTTGTTTCGGAAAACTGGGTTGCTATGACAACCAGGCACAGGTTTATCATGAAGAAAGAGCCCACCTAAAGGAGTTGACGTCAGCAAGAAAATAAAGAAGTTACACAGCCATGTTTGAAGACAAGAGTGCTTGAGAAAGGCATAAGCTACAGTCAGGATAATGAAACATGGGGCGTCTTACGACTCAAAACAAAATATTATATCTTAGAGGGGAAAGTCCTTGTAATGCTGCATGAAGCAGGAAGCTCAAACCCATGAATCTATCACCACAAAGACATAAGAAATTAAACACACATGCTATTATGCTGATTATTTAGTTTCCAAACACACAGCATGCACAAGCAAAGAATCATCAGCAAGACTTGCAATGTTAGCCGACAACTAGAACTTAAACACTGTGCTGATATTCTGTCACATCTATTTTAGATGATTTCATATGTCAGAAATATGTTTTTATTTTGATGTGCAGTTATCTGTACAACCATCTTCTCTGTTCAATACTAGGAAGTGATGATCATTGAACTATGGCACAATGCGCTGTGTTAAGCGGTATCAGTTCCTTCCTGGTATTGTATCCACCCAATACCCAAACTAGAATTGGTGGACTCCAATTATAATTTTACACATTACTCCCACCCGTCATCATGAGCTCTTTGAGTATCATGAAATTCTATTAAAGGTGGGATCAAACTGCGGTTCATATTGGTAATACATGAGACGCAACCGTCCTCTTGCTGCTCGGCTGTGAGGCCTGTCGTTTCTGATCTCATCTCCCTGTAAAAGCTAGGACCCCTGACTAAATTCACAGGGGGTGCTTTTGCCATGATTAATTAATCACTTATCAGTGACAGCCAAAGCTGCACTAGCATAGGCCCCGCAGCTGGAGAGTGCAAATGTGTTTCTGTACTTACTATGATGAGGAAAAAGAAGTAAATGAAGTTGTAGAACGAATGTGCATCCATGACATAATACATAATGTCGACCCATCCCTCCAGTGTGATCACCTGGGAAAATACATATAATAGGATGTTAGGATGATAATAGGATGATGATCATGATCATCAACATAACATTTCATTAAGTTATGTGATAAGAACTTTAATAACATAACACAAAACCTTATATAGACTGGTATAGAATAACCCAATACTTTGAATTCTACTAAGAAGACCAGATGAATCTTCTTAATCTATTTTGTATTTTGGTTCTCCAAGAATAGCCAATCTAAATCCAAAGTACTCCACAAATGGGCTCAAAAGTGTCACTGTTACCTGGAAAATAGCAATCCATGCATATCCGATATTATCGAAGTTGATAGCTCCTTTGTGTGGGTTGAGTTCCCCAGCCCGACACTCGTTGTAGTACTGAAACCAGTTGACGCAAGGCGCGGGTTGGTCTGGTTTTAGTCTGATCTCGGGACGGGCCTCCTCTGCATCCAGGGAGCAGTAAGTGCCGGCCACGCGCCGCCGAGGAACATCGGAGCAGCGCAGCATCCCGTTGTCCCGCTCCATAGAGCAGATAAAAGGGTGGTCATCTGTCACCTCAGGCCGGTAGTAACCACTGAGGAAAGTAACGTTGTATTTCCTACACAAGAACACAAGAGTGTTACAAATTAAAAAAAAATCCCTTCCAAGAATTTATTCAGGTAAATTGTTTGCACTGAAACAAATTCCAAACAAAATAATGTTACTACTTCAAATTAATTGCGCGGCAGGGTTGTATTTTTATTTTAGTTTTGGAATTGATTTGAATATTGTTATTTTTTACTACTGCCTCAATAATAATGTCCAGGTATTGCCGATAACAACAAATTATAATGTACATTGTGTGGCACCACTTGTATGTAAAAGCCTTATCCCATAAGATTTCAGTAGCATTTCGGTCATTTTAAGATTTATTCAGATAGTGAGGAAGGGGAGGATCACTTTCTACGGTGTATATAAACTTCTGGTTTTAACTGAATAATGTTGAGGGCATGTTTTTTGAGTACAAGAACAGCGGTGGACTATCAATGATAATTATTGTGTAGGCACAGGCACTGTATGTTGACCTATCACAAAAGCTTAAATGAAACATAAACTACACAGGTGGTGGAGCAGGAAATGAGAAAAGAGCACTAAAGATGAAAGAGAAATGCTGATGAAGTCTGGAGAGAAAGGAAGGGTGGACCACAGAGATAAGCAATCAATCATCTTTGTAGAGAGGGTCACACCAGACCGCTGCTCCCTCACTCCTTATTAGGAAAGGTCATTTGCTTGTTTGTCATGCAGAGAAAAAATAGATTACTAGCCAAAATGTTCATCTCGCTCCAGTCTGGTAAAAATATATAGCCTGCAATGACCCGGTGACATTGTGGTGTGCTGTTTGTGATACAGCTATAGATATTCGTCCTCAGCCTGAGAATGAAAGGATCTATTTTTAAAGCAGGTGTGGATTATGGCCAGTCACTCAGATAAGTGGGGGAAGAGTTGGCAGTGTGGGAAAAGAACAATCTTAGTTCGCTAAATATCAGCATCAAAACACAGCCCAAATAAAGAGGTTTGTGAAACTGCATTATGGAAGCATAACTTATTTTGTATTCTGTTTTATATATATTTATACTAGATGTATTACTGTATGTATTACATTTATATGTGTTTTATTTGTATTAGACAGTGTGCATTAATGAGCAGCTGTAATTACACCATATTGTAGTTTTTTGTGGCTAATTTCCATCAGTTGTCATGTCCCCTCTGGAGAAAAGGAGTTCCAAACCATAATGTTTCAAAGTGTGTGGTGTTTTTCGGATTATAAATACATGGTCTGTGTGCACAATATGGTATGCTCTCTTGGAGTTTTGTAAAATTACAGTGGTATATTGTATTTGACTTTTAACTATGGCTCCTGTTTAAACATCTTGTTAAAATAGCCACATAAATCTCTGTATTCTCCAGTAAGATTGAATACATTATATCAGCTTGTGCTAACCATGTACCTTGAAAAGATGGCCGCCTTCCTTCCCAGTAGCTGAAACCCTCCCACCACCACACCAAGCTGTCAGTGATTATTATGTTAGGGGTTGGCCAGAGTAGACGCAGGCCACAAGGTGAACATTGTGTTATGTGATATTATGCAAGCGTGTTTGTGAGCGTAAATGGAGGAGGAGGAGGCCGTCAGTCAAACCGTGATGGAACATAAGTCCCAGTTCATGTGGGAGGCACATCCAGCGTCAGAAAAAGTCACAAAATATGAATACAAATCATGCCAGGTGATACGTTGTGTTGCCTTTGATGCACTTAGCATATAAACACAAGAACATATATGCATTGCTTTTTGGAGCACTTTTGTGAAATAATGAGACACTAATATCCCATTTATGTCAATCACATAGCAGAGCAAAATGGTAAGCCAGGGAGAGATTTCAGGGAAGTCAGTGTAGTGTCAATCCAATTACACCCAGCAAGAACACGGGTCTCTGGCTGCAGGCCTGGAATATTGCCATTTCTCTAGATTGTGACTGTAAGGGTTACAAAGTATTGTTTTTTACTATTCAAAATGTATTTGTTTCATATTTTTTACTTTAATTAAACTTTTATCTAAACATGCATTTTTCAGGGGTCCGCTTATTCTGCCACAGAGATATTATAATTGGAAAGTATAAAATAAATAATGTTCACTTGTATATAGTCTTGTTATTGGCAATTTTTTTCTTATTATATAATGTTCATTAAGAATTTAAACAGTACATATACTCAGTTTTTAGAAAACTTCATAATATTTTTCATAATATCTTTCAGAATCAGAGTTATTTTTATTGCCATTGAGAGTAACAAGAAATCACAAACTTTTGATAAAATTTTAGATTTTTAAACTGGATTCAATATTGGAACATTTGAAAATATGAATCTATTCACATTCAAACCCAGAGGAAAAGTCTTCAGTCAACCCAAAGCTGAAGCTTCTCAGTTGAATGTAAAATATATGGCAGAAGCCCGGGATGAAAAGGCTGAGAAAAGGGGCTTATTGCTGTGGTACCAAGCCTGATTAGAAAACTAACAGGATTAGTGTATTGGACATATCGATCTGCTCTTAGCAATAATAGATGGATGAATGAAGCTAATCAGTTCGGAGCTAACTTCTGACACGACCAAGACCAGCAGATCGGCGGCAACGACAATTCCGAGTGGTTACTATAGAAACTCACATCTTGACGTCGTCGTCCATGAAGCAGCGGTTTCTCAACAGGCCAGCCCACAGCTGCACGCCAACAATGCCAAAGATGAAGAAGACGAAGAAGCAGAGTGCCAGCACGTTGCCCAGCATGGGGAGAGTGTCGAGAAGGAGGGTGACCAGGATACGCATGCCTGGAGATGGACACACACACAAGCTGTTTAAGTGGACGAGACAATACAACAAGAAAACAAGTATAGGCAAGGCAAGTTTATTTGTATAGCACAATTCATGTTCGAGGCAACTCAGGAAAGTGCTGAACAAATCAGGGTAGCCTTAAAATCATAATTAATCACAGTGCATTAAAAAGAACATAGAATTTACTTTGAGAGAGGTGTAGAGATGGGTGAATCTAAAACATTTTCTATCAATTTTTAACATGTAAAAGGGTAATCTAAAAAGGTATGGTGTTCTTCAAGGACCAGATAACAATGAAAAGGGTTGAACAGCAGTGAAATGTCAACAATAGATGTCCGAGGCACCTTTATGGAAACATGGACAGAAGCCAATGCGTAAGGACATTACTTTTTTCTCTGTACTTTCGGTGGCGCATCAAATTATTGAATGAATCGTCTCGGCCCAGGTTTATTATGATGAAGAAACAATGATGTAGCATTTAAAGTTTTTTTATACACGCTAAGTTAGTTTGTGTCTTGATATAAGTACGGATATATCTAAAAACTCTTAAGGTATACTTCTGATCTGCGAAGAATTTTAAATGTTTTAAAATATATGTGACGTGCATATTATGCAAAGTCAATTTTATATATATCTTAAATTACCTTAAAAAAAGTATTCAAAAGAGTTTTTTGTCCTGCTTTATTTCCTTGTTGTGCCTTGAGGAAACCCAACCTGGCCACGGAGATACACGCAAATTTCACACAGACAGGATGGAACCTGGGTTATTTTTGTTACTAGATAAGATGGCAAACTTATCACTATGTGGTTGTAACTACAACAGCTAAACTACAATATAGTTGTAGTGCATATAGTAAATATGCCTCATGTATTTTACACAATTTGAATGGCATTTAATTATGCAAGCATTGATAATTGGCCTTCCCTAGAAAACTAAAGCTCGAACAAAAGCGCTCCCTTTACTGTTTGCACACCGGACGTACTTCAGGTCACACAGTACAAAAGGAGCTGGCAGGTAAGTCAGTACACAAATGTAGAGATGGCTGCTGTGACTTTGTTCACTATGCCCTGATCTGTTTGCATAGGCGTTCATCAAAGACAAAGCTGCATCCTAATCACTGCTGACACTAGCTCTATAAAAAAGAAGTGTTCACTCAGACAATATTAGGCTAACGACTAAACATTTTCATTGTATAGGTTGTCTCTGTGTTTAAGACATAATGATACAATACAATACAATACAATTTATTCTTGTATAGCCCTAGGTCACAACAGAAGTCATCTCAGAGGACTTAACAAAACCATTGAAATCACCAACACAGGTCAGAGAATCAACAGTTAAAACACATGAAGAATATAAAGCACACACAGAAGAAAATGTCCATACATGTTGTAGAATACTAAAGTGTCCTGATCATCACCAATCCTTTCTGTTGGACACTAACTGTCCCACAAGACCCTCCTGCATCGACAAGGAAAAACTCTTAAAAAACCCAGTGGGAAAAAGTGAGAAACCTTGGGGAGCACTAGGGAAACCCACAGGGAGGGAGACCCATATGAGAAAGGGATCCGCTCCTCCGGACGGACAGACTAATGATCTAGGACCTAAGCTAGCTACAGGACGTGGACCAGTGGACGCTGAACGTGGACAGGTCCGGTGCAGGACTGAAGCACTCCCAGGCGGGTCGGGCGGGGCAGTCCGCAGGTGTAGATGGAGGAGGCCAGGCTCAGAGATCCCGTCATCGTACCATGAAACAGACAATGGGACAACGGGTGAATAGCAATGAACAAACTACAGTCAGAATCCTAAAAATGCTAAACAGATAAAGTAGGAAGGAGGAGAGGATAGTGCTCAAGTTACCATACTTCTCCCAGCAAACTGACTCCCTATGCAGCTTGACTGACACTCTGAGGAGTTTAACCTTCTCCGAGTCTTACCTTCCTAGCCATATGCTAAACTAAAGAGGACTGTTTTAAACCTAGCCTTGAATAAAGAATAACATACAGCATAATATATAACATAATATACAACATAACACAATACATTATTGAATAATATATAACATAATATATAACATAATACAGCATATATATATAATATATACACTACATATTATATATTACCTAATTATATGCTAAATTAAAGTAAAGTGCTTTAAGCCTGGCCTTGAACGTGGAGACCGTATCTGCTTCCTTAACATAAATGGGAAGCTGATTCCACAGTAAAGGAGCTTGGTAGCTAAATGCTCTGCCACCAACAGTGATTTTTGAGACCTTAGGGACTACCAGACGTCTGGCGTTTTGTGAGCGCAACGCTCGACCTGGTTGATACGACACTAACGTGTCTTGGAGATAAGAGGGAGCCAAGCCATTTATGGCTTTATATGTTAAGAGTAGGATTTTAAACTTTATTCTGTACTCCACAGGGAGCCAGTGGAGTGATTTTAACACCGGAGTTATGTGCTCCCTCCTTTTGGTACCTGTTAAGATCCTAGCTGCTGTATTCTGAACGAGCTGGAAGCTCTTCAAAGAGGCTTTAGGGCACGCTGCCAGTAAAGCGTTACAGTAGTCGAGCCTTGAGGTGACAAACGCGTGAATGAGTTTTTCCGCGTCACTTTTAGGAAGGAAATTCCTAATTTTAGCGATGTTCCGTAAGTGGAAGTACGCCGTTTTAGTTGCTTGGCTTATATAAGCCTTGAAGGAGAGTACTTGATAATGATAATGATGATAATAATAACAATTTTATTTATCGCTTTTCGGACACTCAAAAAGAAACAGAAGCGAGGCAACCAGTATGTGCCAACGGCCCTTCCGACCATCACCAACCATTCACACACACGCTTTAACAGCAGACTCATTCAAGGCAATGGGGGTGAGGTGTCTTGCCTTAAGGCACAGTGCCAATTTCCATACAGCAACCTACTTTTTTTTTTATTTGTTGATTTTACTAGTCAACTATCTCTTTTGTCTTGAATATATGAATGAACAAGGATAAAAAAATGTGCTGATTATTAAAGCGAGAGACAGAAGTTGACATAAATGTACAAAAAACCATTTGCAGCACTATATGCAGCGATCCAGATTTGGTGTCCCAATATTGACACTAAAGCTTTTAGCATATCAGATAGTCAATATTAACTGACTGAGAATTGAGAAACTACTAAAATGATAAAGCATAAAGTTATACATAAATATAAAGTCCTAGCCAGCCAGTGTCAAACACACTCAGTTCAAGTACAATAAATAATAATTTATCAAAACTTGATTCCAATAACAAACTAAACAGTTTTAGATCAAAGGGGAAAGACTTTGCACTGTGCATCACAAACAGAGTTTTCTATAATGTCACTGACATATGTGGTGCAATCAGGATGCTCTGTGATATTATAACTATAACTAAAACAAACATGAACGCTACGGTGCAAGAAGACTCACAAACTCACCTCAAATGAAATTTTAGATTCGAAGCAGCCACGTCTACCATTAAAATCCCTTCATAAATCCAAGGCAGAAAACATGCGTATTAATCCAGTTTGGGTCGTTGTTAATGATATAAAATTGTGCATGTGTTGACATCCAGTCAGCCAGTTCATTTCGTGTTATGTGTATTTCCATAAGCTGTCCTGGCTGTAGGCAATCCACTGCGGTAACAAAATTGCAGCAGTTGAAATAGTCAAAATCTGGTGCTATACAACGATATTGGCATCACTATCAAAAATGCCTTTTACGAAATTCAACGACCCAAAATGCAAAGTTCACTTACTGACTGCAAATATCTATGTGTATTAAAATGAAAATTGGTCAGACATAAACACCGCTGCACATCTCATCTCCTTCACTACCGTTATAGAAAACCACTGCTGGATCACTGTGTCAGCACCAGGCAAAGGTCTGCAAAGCCATTATCACTTGAGAATGAGAGAATACCCTGTGGCTTCTGTAAATGTATTTAAACCGTCACGACCACCTTTAGTGGCATCAGGCCAAGACTAAAGTAGGGCTTTCTGGAGGTGGGCAGTTGAAGTAAGTGAGACAAACTAGGGCAATACACACCCAATAACAGCAACGACCTCTTAATAAAAGACTGATTAGCTCTGAGGTGGGATGGCAGATGTGAATATGGGAGCCTACCAAATGTAATCTTGCAGCTGTAGCTGAGACATGGTATGGGTCAGTCGCTTACTTGCTTTGAAATTCATGTTTTGAATGGAAAAAAGGCCAGAAATAAACAATCTACTGTATCTATCAATCTAATGTAAATGCAAATTCCATCACAGTTTTGTCTGTTCAGGATCAGGGGACACGTCGCTGTCGTGGGAATGACCTAAAAAAATGTAGTAACATAACAACAAATAATGTTATAATACTCTAGAACAAAACACTAAACAGAAATTGAAACTGGATTTTCAAGTCAGCCATATATAGCAGAGCAGACAGAGTGGGACAGCCTTCACTCAGCCAATCACAGGGTGGTTTGCTGTGCCTGTATGTTAGAGGTCACACCAGACCAACCATTTTGGTAAATCAGTAACAGAATGGCTAAAGAAATATAATTCCTGCTGCAAACATCTTACCTAATATCTAGCATATTATTCATCACTATTCCACCGAGCTGTTCTGCTCAATGTTCACCAGAAACAGGTCGACGTCCTATTTAGCTCAGTTTGGCAGCGTTTCCTCTACTTTCTATTTCATCTTCTGCTTTAAATCAGCATAAACCTAATGGTGCATTTAAGAGTCATATTTTACTTTAGTTGAAGAAAAACCTTGGGAGAGACTGATTCTACTGAAGCTTAACAGTACAATCACTCATGGGAGACATAGACACCTGCCAATTCAGACAAATTCTCTTCACTTTAAACGCTTTTATCGATTGAAAATGCAGCTGTAGCGAGGGCTCAGACAGGAAAACTGATACACCTCTCGTGGTTAGTCTATCGCATCTAATTCACTTTTACACACCTGTGCCTCTGATAATCAGTATCTGCTTCACTTGCTGCATTTAAAAAGATAATTTCTGTGGAAACAATTTCAGCTCGTGCAGTAACCCTCCTCCTTCCCCTCCCCACCTCCACACTCTGACGTGTATAAAATTATCTATTCAATTTCTTCCTTCTTTGGTTGTATTCCTTACGGGGTCTAATGCCTTCTTCACAACAAAGTCGTGGAATATGTTTTTCTAAGACGCAAGATGCAAATGAACACTTGTTAACTCGTAAAAGCAACTCAGTCAAAAGCAGCTTCTCACACTGGTGACATCATCTGCTGTGAATATTTAAGTTTTTGACTAAAAGGTTTGTGTTTATTTTGATCAAAAGAGCAACAGATTATCACAATTGAAGAGATTTTAACCTCCCAGGAGATAAAGTGATCACTGGTGTTTGCTTGTTTCCTTGTCTGGGAACAACGTAACTCAAAAAGTTATGGAAGAATTTGGCTGACATTTTTAGGAAATGTGCACAATGGCTCAGTGAACACCTGATTCAATTTTGGAGGTTATTCGAATCAACTTCTGGATGCTGAATTTTTTGCAGGAATGGAACAGTGCCTTGAGGCAGTGGTCTGTAAAAGCTTTTTTAGTTATTATTAGTGTCATCATTTATTTATTTATTTGTTTATTTGGATGTTTTATACCGGCTCCAAGTTTTTAATCATGCAGTAGTAGCCAACGTACTCCATGAAATCAGAATCAAGAAACATTTCTCCAATCATCTTTTTGTCTAGTCATTCCAGTTTGAAATTGTATTAATTTGGTTGGTACTGCCTAAAGCCTAAAAATATTTTTAAAAGCCGCACCAAGTATTGAACAACTGCAAAGAGTGAGAAGAATTGCTCTGAGGTACATACACTAACATCCTGATTCATATTGACTTAAAAATCTATAGACAAATCTATGCATTATACAAGGACATGGGGTGAAAAGTTTAGACTGAACCTTACCACAAAAGGGCAACAAGAACATACTGATGACGCTTTGTAAAGAATCATTGTATATTTTCTTTTAATATACTGTATATGAAAGCAATCATAACTGGATATTTGACTGTTGGAAATGTATTTCAAAGTTCTTTAACTTGTAGTCAACTTTTTACAGATAACTTTATTCTAGAGCTACTTAAAGTAAAATAGCTGATTATACACTGATTATAAACCTTTTTTTTTACTCTGTTACAGAATACAATAAACTGAAATTCTACAGAAGAAATAAATGAAAGAGTGGACTAGGCCCATTTGTGTCATTGAGATGGGTGTTTATCTGCTGCTCTCACGCTGGAGTGAATAAAATAGTGACAAATATTGCCTTGAGAGAATATGGCGGCCAGATCAGAACCTTTCAAACTTAAAACAATGACCAGACGTGATAAAGGTGAGAGAGGGCATCTACCTATTTTGGTATAATGTCAACAAATGGAAATTGCTCAATTATATTTTTTTTACTATTACCTTGGCATTTCAAAGCTGGAAAAAATAACCAGAGAAAAACTCCAACAAACAGCAAATAGAGCAAGATATAATCATGTAAGGCATGACTTACTGGGTACTCTGTTGATAGCTCGCAGTGGGCGGAGCACTCGAACCGTCCTGATTGCTGATAGGCTGACGTTATGTCCATCAAGAGAGTACTCCAGCATTCTGGGCAAAAAAAAATGGCATCTTTATGTCACAGTTATCCAGATCAGTGCAGCTGTGACCTTGGCCTCAACTCGCACATCTGGGGAGAGTCCGTCTCCAAGCGCCGTCTCCAGGAAACACAGACCTTTTAACGACCAATCATCACTGAGTCCCCAGACTCGGGTATGTGATTGTCATTCGGCAGACACTCTTCGACACACACATTTGACATTTCACTGGCATTAAACAAGTGTGGATGCTTTACACACAACACGCTGATGAACGCACTGGCTCATATTTAATGTCAAGCGTGCAGTGATGTTAGAATGTGAGGCTGAATGAAGTTGGAAATATTGTTAGAAAGTAGAGGGTTAAAGTACAAAGGTTAGAAGGGGGAGACGTTTGAGTTTCATTTATGCTCATGGTGAGCAAGTAGAAAGTAATTAGCAGGAGCTTATACAATAAATGTCTGGATAGATTTCCCTTTTGAGGATAAAAGAAGCAGGTAGGGCAAGATCCTAGTGCCCTTATGAAACAGTTATTATAAATGTTATTATTTCGTTTTCAATTAAAGCATATAAAAAAAGAAAATAGAGATAACATTTTGATACACTAAAAGAGAAAGTAATTTAATACACAAGATGAAATAATATAAAACTTTTTGGTTGGTTATAATAGAAAATTAAAACATTGAAACATAAATTCTTGTCTGGAACTGAACCCTATTTTGGTGAATAATAAATAAAATAATAATGTTTTTAAAAGTATTAGAAGTAATCATTAAAGCTGGGATATCTAACTTACAAAGAACAAATGATGGAGCTATATAATTAAAATCAATGTAGATCCTCTAGTTTTTAAGTGCTAAATGATATGTTTTGCTATTACAAGACTCTGTTGAGACAAAATATATTGTTGATTAAATAGAAAAGTTAGGTACATGTTTGTCACATTTCCTCTTCAGCTGTGATAAATACTGCAGCTCTACAAGGACGTGTCAAATACTCACCCGACTAAGACAATAAAGAAGTCCAGTCGGTTCCACGTGTCGCCAAGGTAACCGCTCTGACCTATGATCCCCAGCGCCACCATCTTAACCACCATTTCACCGGCAAAGAAGATGAAGATGCCGTCGTCCATGGCCTGAGCACAAAGCCGCACACAGAGGATTAGAGGGAACTGATTAATGAAGTCTTAGCATAATGAACTGTACGTTTTTCTGTAATGTGGTGTCTACATGCATGAATATTCACTCAGAAAATCTGGGCCTTTATAAAGTGTCCACTTGTCACAACAGTGTTTAACGTGATAATATTTCAAATTATCATAAGCGACTTGTGTCTAATGTACAGTCAAACAGAGAATTTGATCTTTAATAAAATATTATCCAAATGAATCCAGAAGGAATCAAATCAAATCTTTGTTATAAATGGTTGCGATCCATATTTATCTTTATCAGATTTGTCTGATTATTGTGATGAGCCCCCTATTTTAAGGCGTGGCATTATGGGAAGATTGAGAAAATGAAAAAAAAAAAATACTTATAAATTAACATCCATTTCATCGAATAATGTAAGATGTTTGTAAAATGTTCATGGAGACAATGCAGGCATAAACACAACAAATATGTTTGTCAGTAAGATTTTCAGTCCAAAAAGGCACATTTTGTATTTTAGATAATAAATAATACACATAGAATGTCTGTTACAGAAATTACAAAAGTAGCGTGTGCAGAAATGATTCAATATAAATTGGGTTCAGAATTGTTTATATTCCAGTGCAGATACAGTGGCTCTCAATTATCCTGGAACAATGACTCACACAATAGTTTTTATTAACCTTCCCATAATGACCGTGTATTCGTAATTTATAATGTGCAAAAGAAAAACTGTCCTCTGTAGACGTTTGACTCGCAGAAAAAGGTAGCGCATAATAAATAATAGAAAAGCCCTTTGTGAGTGGGTGTAAAATGTGAATCGTTTCATTTTATGGCCCCATTCTATCTATTGTAACGTGGGCTGAATGCATGTAGTTTACCTGAAGAAAGAAGGGAGTGTGTCCGCAGGGCTGGAACATCCCCAGCGTCACACAGTTGAGCAGGATGGCCAAGATGCTTACACGCTCGAACCATGTGCAAAAAGGTTAAGGCTTCAAAGGGACACATTATTCAAATGAAAAGACTCAACGGTAGTTGCTCTTGCATGGAATACCTCACTTCTAGATAAAAAAACACATGTAATAAAAGAAAAGTAACTCCCGTAGTTTCTAGCTCGGAAAAAAAACAGGTATTTTTGTCCAAACATCTTTATATTGCTTTTTTCAGTGAAAAAGAGTGCCAGCCCTCACTTGGTCAATCAGTTCAGAGTGTACAATAATATATTTCAACCAGACAAAAGGTTAGGTCCTCCACTGTAACCCCCCCATCCACTCACACACAGACACACACACACACACACACACTTCTATATTGTGTGTTTTACACTCCTTTGCCCATTACTGACCACAACAGAATAATCAGCCTCTCCAGCCTCTGCTTCTCTTTAACCATCAGTGCTCAAAATTGTTAATTCGATACCATCATACTTGGTTTGCACCTGTCGAGGTCTAAGAGTCTTAAATACAATGGTTTTACTCCAAATCCTTTGCCTGCATGATTCTATGGGGGAAAAAATTCTTGCTTGTGTGGTTAAAAAGAAAACATGTCCACCTGTCTTGTGGAAATGGACATATTTTGACAGCAGATGCTGCAGTCTTGTCAAATGCACACATTGCCGTAAAAAATCTTCAACAGTGGCTCTAAGGCGCTGAGATATGGTTCATATCATTTCCATACTCATCAAAACACCCAGTGACCCTTTATGTCTGGAGCGGACTCATTTGCATCCATTATGACGACTTTTTTTATCTTACTTTTCAGAATGACAGTTTGACACCCGCTTGCAATATCTGATCAACCACACGGATACCCAATAAGTCCGCCTTGTTTCGTCCATCTGGTGAATCATTTGGTTCCTATTTGCTTGGTTTACTAAGCGTGATCACAACACAAACATGCCTGGAGCGCACCAAACGCTGGGCTGACTTTTAATTTTTTTTCTCTTCGTCTTGTAAAATTAATGCAGACTCAGTAGCTTAAACGCACTAGATAGAATTTACAAGTACAATTTGTGACATAACATTTTGACATGTTTAATATTCAGGGACGAGGGAAACGGCCAAGTAAAACATTTCGAGTCAGCTAAAGTTTAAGCCGCTCGCAAGTTTTGCGCTTGTGCTGTTGCTAGCTGTCAAAACCGGAAAGAGACGCATTACAGGTTTCAAAAAGGGCTTACAGTGGAGAGGATTTTGCTGGCTCCGAGCAGACTGACACACACTCCTTTATGGATGTGAAATGTGGAAAAGTGCTGAATGGTGGAGTAGTATTCAAAGACCAAGGACGCGTGCATAACATAAGCAAAAGCCTGAAGCGTGGGCAAATGAACCCGGCGTGGCATGCACACACACGCACCCAGTCCCCCTTTTCCTGGACACTTTGCTCTCAAGAGGCTGGAAAAAATTAATGAGAGTACAATCCTTTATCACCCTTGAGACAGAGGGAGAGCGGGGAGGGTAATCCAGTGTCCTCCCATTCCTCTGTCGTTGCCATAGGAACCACTGTACTGTCCTCTCCTCCGCCTCACCGTGGGAACTCACTTTAGAGTTTTCGCAATCCTTTGCCGCGTGCACCCCGTGACTGTCTGAACGCAATTAATAAGCAAACAAAAGCCAGGGCAAACAAGCCAGGCTGTGATATTGTTCTAGGGTGTTCTTGTGAGCGTTACCGGTGGTGGCGTGAGTTACAAGCGTGCGCGTGTTAGGCCGCTGCAGCGTGCATAGTTAAACAGGGGGAATGGGGCAGGGTCAAGGTGTGAGTGATGGATGGGATGGGAGTATTTGGAGCGGTGAGGCCATCATTCAAAACCGGCATAGGGAACGTCCTCTCCTCTGTCTGCTCTCTCGTTTACTACTCCTCTATCGGCTATGCAACCTTCTAACATCTCTCATTTCTCTCTCCATGGCTTTTCCCCTCTCTTGGCCCAATTATTTCCCTCCACTGCTTGGCTCCTCCCGCTCCAGTCTACTCTGTCTTCCTTTATATAGTGCGGTATAATTTCCCATTTTCATTCCGTATCATTACTTGCATATCCTATTTCTCTTTCAGGGCCCTGTGCAGATAATTTGGTCTTTTTCTCCTTCATATTGTGCTCTTCCTATCTGTTTCCCACATCACAAGAAAAAGAGGAGCAGCCCCAAGGTGGAGTTTCCCAGTCACAAATCTGGTTTCCAGCAGAAAGACAAACCGCAGCTACATTCAATCATTAAGTCACAAAAGAGAAAACAGAAAAGACCTATATGTTTAAAAAAGGTTTCACAATGTTAAGGGACATGGCAATTTAATAGGTAAAGAAAGACGTCTAGGACTAATATGTTATTACATTAATATAACTCAGACAATGACAAGAATAAAAAAATCATGATAAACTGGGAGCTAAGCCACCAGTATTTACAACCCTAAGGCACCAGCCCACCCCTAACCTCCAAAAACAATTTGGATTAAACAGATTAATAAAAAGGCGTTTCTTTTAATCTAAATGAACTACTATAATTATTATTATTCCAAGGCTGTGTCTTTGTTGACAGAGCAGCCATCTTCCCGGCGACCCACCACCTGCAGGAGGATCAGTGAGGGGCTGGTGCAATTAATGGCTTAATATGAAAACAATTGTTGTCTCCCAAGTCCAAGCGGGCCTTTGAACAAACTTTTAGAAGCACAGCACAAAATGTATTCACAACAGCAAAAAAAAATCAAAACACACCAACAACGGTTCCTACAACAGTGACCCAAGCCGTTCACTGTTGACATGACTTTGGCATTAAATTTGCAACTGTGCTAACATGAGTGAAAAGTGAGGAGTTAGCCAATAAAATTCAAATTGTAATTGTTGCTGCTACAAACTACTAAATTGCATATCCAATGGTTCGCAATATGTTGCCCCTTGTTCCTTTGGCACATCATTAGTATTCACATTAGGGCTGGGCGATATGGCAAAAAAGTTAAATCTCAATTTTATTTCCTGCTTTGGACAATTTCGATTCAACAAAGACAGACTTTGCCCTTACTTTTTTTTAGTATCTTTCCGCTCAATATTCAAGTTTCAAAACTATTTTAAATTTTTTTCCCCCCAATATGTATTATAAAAGTCTGTGCTGATTTTCACATTTTTCACAAATTAAATTTTTTCAAAAGCCGATTAATTGCCCAAATTTTATTTATTGCCCAGCCCTAATTTCCATGCATGAAGGCTACTCCACAATCACAGGTCAGCTATTTCACACACAAAGTAAATCAGGGCGGATTACACTTGCATCAGCCAATCAGCTCTCAACTCAAAGCATCATATATGGTGGTTACTTAGAAAGTATAGTACAATGTGGACTGTTTAGGCCTAGATGGCTCATCATTAAGTTCTGTGTTTCCAATACCATCAGGTATTACATTATACATATTAAACATTAGAGAAGACCGTGCACATATTACTAAGCACACGTGTTTTGCAACTGCAGTGAATCAATACAATAGAAAGGCACTTTGATCAATACACACATCACAAATACCTGCCCTTAACAAATACTACACCTAAATCCATCTTTGTGATATTGACAAAGCAGGTATGGACTCTGCACTGATTGAAAATGTTTTAACTGTACTAAGGTCTTGTCGTAAAAAAAGAAGCAAAAACACAAGCCAATTAGAGGCAAGGTTAAGAAATAATAAGCTTGATGGGTCAATAAACACACGCGGCACATAAGGGGGGGGTGAGGGAGGTTAAGACTGTTGCCTCGCGTTGCTCATTGTAAACAAGTGCAACTCTTACACTAATTGCCCCATCATCTCGATCTCCTCGTGCATCTCTGAATCTCACCGCCACTCACTTCTCCTCCCTCACTTCCTCCATCCCACACGCCTCTGCCTAGTTTAGTGCCAACACAGGTATAAAAGGTCGCACAGACATTGCAAATCAAATCAGATCACATCACCTCCATCTCTCTGGCATCATCACTTGCTGCGCTCTTGGCTCCGATACGTGTACCACAGCCATTTTTATAAGCAACATTCATCAGCTTAAAAGAAGCTTCTATAGTGGTGCAGAGTACACCAGGGAGTACATGAAGGATATAGTCTCATTGTGTTGCCTCTATGGACGTGACATGGGGAAACTGATGTGTTTTTCCCCGCTTAAATTAAATCGAGAAAGTGTTACGTAAAGTTTTAAGCTTGTACGATTATTATGTGTTTGTTGTATGGTAACTTATGCGTTCACTGTATGATAAAACACACCAGATCACATATAAAAAAATGCCATGTGGATGCATTTACGAATACAGTACTCCACACATTACTGGAGCACAAGAACATCCTGCTCCTCTTTGATGATATCAGTTAGTCTTTGGACACCATCCGGCCATACAAACTTTGACAAAACTTCATCAAGAAAGCATTCCTCTTTTTCTTTCTCACCAACACAAGGGTCCCTCAAGACTGTGGACTGAGGCTTTGGTTCTTCCTCCTTTGGAATTACCAATTATAACAGTGAGACAAACTATAGGAGTGAGGAGTGTTATTTGCAATAACAAAGAAAGTACTTGTTTAAATGTCTACAAGACCACGGCATGTTGATGAAAATGAAAGAAGGTGATAGGGCTTTGTAATAAGATATTCAGAAAAAAGTGTGAGAAAAGCTAAAGGTGTGCAAGTGAGAGCAAAGAAGGGGCATTGCCGCAGTGCACTTGTTTAGTTTGAGAGGTGGCAAAGGTCTCACTCAATGTGTTCTGTTTTGGCAGTCAACCATGGGACAGACATCTAATACCATTATCCTCTTGTTTGCGTAGTCAAGGCAATAAAGAGCTATGAAAATAAAAGGTAAATAATATTCTTGTATAGACATAATAGACAATACAAACTACAATGTGCACTCAGAGAGCACATGCACCGCTAACTCCATCTGAATATATCACATACCTACTGTCACATCCCATCTGTCCAGTAGGTTTTGTGACTACAGACCAACAAACACATACAAAATAAATTGAAAAACTATCAAGCACGTATTGTCTTTCAGTAAAATCAAGTTGAAGTCCACAATAATGTAGGACTTTATATACTGGCACTTTAAAACATAATTCCTCAGTGCAACAGCATTGCAGGGGAAAAGCACAGATGACGACCTTTTTTGTCAAATCTGCACATTATGACAATTAGTAAAAGCCTCAAATCTAGCTATTGCGAGAGATCATGATGAAAAGGAACATTCTAGCTAAACAATGCTGTCACCCATCTACTATTTTTAATTCATAATTTCATAATTAATCTCTGACTCTGTGAAATATACATCAAGTAAAGTCAATACTAGTCTTGTTTTACTTAAATAAAACTCAATCAATTTCAACCATTCGAAATTAGGAGTGCATAAAAAAGGTGTAAACCAACTGGAAAGCGACTCGTAGTTTTGTCACAGACTTAAACCTCTAACCCGGATGAACACCAAGTTCTTTATGCCTAAAGGGAAAAAAATAAATGATCCAAGCAAAGTTACTGTCAAAATCTTCTAGTCCCTCGGACACGATGACAACTGGTAACCATGGCAACATCTGTGCGATCCATTAATTGGCTGCAATGATTCTGACAGCTCTCCCTACTTTGACTAAAATCTCCTCCAATCCATCACAAGAGAGACCAAACATGATTAAGGAAGAGGGGAATACAGATTACAAACAATGAAGGAGAGGCAAACAAAGTTTGTAAAAACATTACACAATGAGCGAAGGGGGGTAAGGTGCCTGTACTGTACAATCAGCATTCTCATCTCTAAACAAATGAAAGGCGCTAAATCTTTCATGCATTTATGAATAAGTCATATCCTATGTGTGTGTGAGTAAGTGTGCGCCCGATTGCCCTCCAAACCTTTCATTCATGTGTATGTTTTTTATACATTAAAGCAAAATATAAATGTCCGATATTTACTATCATGAAATTGTACATTTCATTTGCAGTTGGTTTCAACAATTTGCAAATGTGTTATTACTCTTCCCTCATCACCATCCATGTCCCTCATTAACATCTATTCATTCACAATATTATTCAGAGGAGCTTACCACACATATGTAAGAAATCAAACAGAAAAGGTTGTTTTTAGGGGATTCGTTAAGCCATACAGGGAATTAGGAAAGCTGTAAAAAAAACAACAACAAAAAACCTCTACTCCTCATTTACAGATCAAGACTCTAAAATAAAAGAGAAAAGTAACTAATAGGGATTGATTAAGCGTAAACAAATTACAATAGAAAACGACTACTTTGCCAAATCCTTTGTTGTTGTTTTTTAGCTGGTGAAAGAGAGGGCAGAGCTGTGGGGAGAAGAGACATGATGCTGTAAACACGCTCCACAGAGGAGGACTGTGAGGCTGAGTGGAATGAAATGGAAGGAGACGGCAAATTAATCCGTAATACTGCGTAGTGAGTGCAAAAGAGGCAGAAAAGAAGATAGGGTCACCTCAGGAGAGACGGGAGTACAACTGATGTGAGATGCCACCCCTAGTGTGCTCACATTAATGTCCCTGTCCAACATGGCCAGCCACATCACAGCCCCCGCAGATCACTCACTATAACAAAACACAGAGTGTAAAACTGTAAAAACCTCAATGTATAGGATACGACTCAAGTCCAGAAGCCCTGAACGCCATGCAATACTAAGACCATGAGCGGAAGTAAGCAGGCCACTGGGGCTGAGCTACCCTGTTGCCAGGCAACCAGGTGATTCCTCTAAAGTGCCTCTCCGTGGGAGATTCCCTCGTCTGTGAGGGCATTTAGTCGCATGCGTGTGTGTAAGACTGATCACTAACTTAGTGTGGACAAAGAAACTTAAATCTTCACTGAAATGTTCACCGTAACAACCCAGCAGGTCACTGAGCATGGAATTTGCATTCAGTTTTCCGCTTGGTGTATTGAGCCCATAATTTATGTATTTATATTTTTATATTTTATAAACTCTGGTGGCATATATGAACAGATACCACAATACGCGCACAACAGCACACAGAAGAGAAACAAGCATTGGAAAAGGTTCCATTTGGAAGGCTTGACAAATCCCTGAGGTGTTACCAACGTTTATGCCAGCTTGAGTATTCATAGGCACTCACACACCCTGCTAAACGTGCTCACATACTCACACACGTGTCTGATGGAGGAGAAGAGAGTGAGAGACAGCACAATTTCAGGTGAGACAATGAAGACAGGAGCAGCTGGTTCGGAGGTGACATGACGTTTCACCATTTGTGACTTTGTGACTGCTTGTGTCGGCTAAATGTGGGCTAGTAACAATGCCACTGACAGCCCTGAGTAACCCTGGAGATTCATTAGGGCTCGTCGCTATGGTAACCTCCAATCAGGCAAAAATGTTAGCTATCTATTTCTACAACTAATGGGTCTAAGGAAATACCTGAGCTGCTCCGTGCTCGTACACACTGACCCATGGATGTCCCCTGTGTTTAGACCTAACATAAACATTTTCACACTGTTTGGTGTAGGACCAGGAGCAGTGAGGAAGCCCAGAGCTCCAACACAAACAGACAATGTGTCACTGACGCAGTGTTTAAAGCGAAGGATATGGGTGGCAGACGGCTCGCAGGCACCAGGAACGGGGCGGGCTGTGCTGGGTTAGCGCCAGCAGGACCACAGGGGCCAGAGACGGGTAAGGCAGCTCCTCCTTCTCCTCTTTCTCCAGGTCCAGATCATGCTCCTGCCCCAGCTCCTCTTTTTCAACAGACACGTGCACGTGGTCTCCCTCCTCTTCCTCGTCCCCCTCCTCATCTACAGAACAGCGCTGCGGTTCATCCAGCTCTGGCTCCTGGCTCTGGCCCGTCATGGCTGTGCTGGGAGCAGCCTGAACCTACAAGAGTGGGATTTCAAAAGTTTTCACTAATCTCTGCAGGGCTCTTAAATGTACATTTGGATAGTCGTCATCGTTAAAAAAGTGCCATTACATTTTAACAATATGTCAAAACAAGATTTGATAGAATTATAGAATAATGCGTTGTAATTACAAATTATTCTTTATTTAAATGCCTTCAGTCAACATAGTTTGTTTAAAAATGTAAACTACAAAAACAATCCTTTGACAACCCTCCAGGCAACACTATTAATGGACAGTAGTAACATAACTTTCAATATTACCCATTGACAGATCAACTTTACAACTGAACACACCCTGCAGAACAAGTGTTTTGACAAGAACATAACGTGGCATTACATACAGTAAAAAGGAGTAATTCATCATTATAACCATTATCATCATTACATCAGTGCAGTCTGGTCAAGCACAAGCTCGCAGAGACAGACGAATGAATCAGCAGTAATGGATTTAGGGTCAGTGGCAGTGAGCAAGCCATGTTTATCAGAAATTGTCATTGTGATCTGTTATTAGCGAATATGGTCATTTTCATTTACCGTCTGTGGAACATCTGCAACTGCAAAATGATGCACATGTTCAACCCTCAGTGCACTTATCCACATTGCAATTACATAAATATTTTAATTCTGTCTTTAGCTCTATCATAATCTCTGCAACAAAACCTCTGTAATAAAAACAGAAATGTCTGAAAGGGCTTTTATTTAATCAATTTGTCAGTTATATAAATGAAAGAACCATAATTATTACTTTGCTGTCCCATATAACACAGTTGCTGAACGAGGATTCAATGGAAAGAAAACCTTGATGCTTTGTGAACCAATCCATTCATCTCAACAAAATTCGAAGGTGGTCTGAAGTTAAATCTAATCTACTTAGATACTCTGCATTGTTTTCATACTTAGATGTTCCATGTTTACAGTGAATGCATATGGTTCAATATTGTGGATGGATGTTCATTTGTCCACTACTTTGTGTCTGCTGAAGAAATATAAAAAGCATGAAATTAATGCAATATTTTCTTAACCACACTTGATTATTTCATCTTCAGAACAGGCATGAGGCAAGTGAACATTCTGTTCTTCAGGTGGAAGTGTTAAAATGGAGGCGCTTACAAAGATCAAGATTCTGTGAAGTATTTGAAATTCATAACAATTAAACCAAAAAAAAAAAAAAAATTACATAAATTATATTGTTAGTTTATTTTTGTGAATTGTCTTGCAACCAAGGTGCAAATTGGAGCAGTCCAACCAATACAAAGCATTAGAAACCCTTTGTTATATGTTTCCACAGCTGGCTTCTGAGCGATGACAAGAGGTCATTACTGCTGATGCTTTTAATCCAGACGGCTTTAAACAATCTGGACACACGCAGAGAAAGTGGCTGTGAGGATAGTCCATGGGAAATGAAGACTGATATCACCACTGCTCTGTACTTATAGTGATTACGGTAGTTTAAGTTGAAGCTTTTAGACTTATTACACTTGAGTTGTGACTTAACATCAAGTCACAGAAAGGGAAGGCCAGCTGGCTCTAACCCCCATAAATATCATATGAACTTCACTGTACCTTTGTAACAGATGGGAAAAAGCTCACATCCTCAGTATCATTTACCAATGTTTTTATTCAACTTATTATATTTTGTCCACATATTTTTCCATGAAAATCTAGAACGCGAGAGACGTATGTTAATGCTAATTACCATTACATGCATGGTTTTTTAATTTTTTATTTGAACTGATGGTTGTATTTAGGGTGGCAAGTTAACTACAATAATATGATTCATTCTATTTTTTTAAGTGTATATTGAATTTTCTTGTTTTTGTTTACAATTAATGATGCAGATTTCTTTGTTAGGGAAAGCTTAGAGCGGGGTGATTTTCTAAAAAATTACATCTTTGTTTTTCCAGGATTTTTACCAGCGAGAGCGTACACAAGTATCTGTACAGCATTTTTCTGAGTGCATTACATTTCCTTTAAAACATTCCTACTGACTGCTGAATGTTTAAATAGAGGCAAACTGTGTGTTTACTACTCTCAGTATGATTACAGATGTCCTGTTTTAAGCATCATCTGGGAATGGAGAGAGTATGACCCCACTGAAAATCTACCAAGACTCGAATGTCTGCCCAAATTCACAACTAGATCAAGGACAACACTGATCATAGATGCAGCCATGAGGCGCATGACTACTCTGGAGGAGCTACAGACATCAACAGCTCACCTGGAGGATCTGTACATGGGGCAATTTTTTGTCATTTACAACACACAAATCTGTGTAGTGTCGAAATAAAGCCACAATAGGCAAATTAGGGGACAATGTGCTGTGGTCAGATGAGACTGAAATGTAACTCTTTGGTCCATTAGTAAAATATTATGTATGGCTTGAGACTACATAGCAGCTCTGACTGCCACCCCTCTGACCCAGAAATTGATTAAGGGAAAGAAAATTGATAGATGGATGGATTGAGACAAACACTCTCAGTGCATCATCCTCATAATGTTATGGGGCTGCTTTTCTTCAGCAAGCACAAGACATTACAGTATTTAGTCATGCTGTGTGATGTCTTGTGCATCCTCTACTTTTCAGTTTTAATTTTTTTTTATGTATCTTTTGCTTTCACGCTGTTGTCTGTTACTTGTGTATGAATTATTAGTTTAAAAAAATTCAAATCAAGTATTGTTGTTTGTTGTTGTAAACTTAAACTGTAAAAAGCAACTAAGTTTAAGATGTATTGCCATATACTGTGCCAATTCTCTCTAAAAAAAAACCTCTAAAAGTCACAAATAAATATATTGTTTGTTAAAATTTAACAATAATATAAAACTAGTACTAGTACCACTTCAGGAGATCTTTGATACTCAATTTTACTGTACGGTGTATTATTCTATATCTAAAAATGAAAAACAATAGGAATGGTGATGTGATGTATCATAACGGCCACTCACCCGTGAGACTTAAAGGTGCATTCCTCAACTGTCATTGTGGCAAGCCTGCTTTTTGCTTGGGTTCATTTTAAATATGAGGGGATTGGAATAATATGAGGGGATTGGAATAATATAAGCGTTTGCTTCGTCCAATTCCATTTCAACAATAGGGTAGTGATTCTCTGTAGGATATACAGACAGACACACAACTGGCGCTCACAGGGGAGACTGTACAGACCATCTAATCTTATCATCTCCAACAGCCTATAGTACAGAAGCAGATACAGAAATACAGAAACACCGGTAGAAGAAGGGGTGATAATAAGCTATGTGTCCATTTATCTTAACGCTATGAAAGATAAAGATTATGCTACAAGTCCATACAATGATTTTCCCAGCCCTAATTTTTACACGTCTTGTCCTCAAGGTGCTGTTTGTTTTGGTGGTGATGTCAACTGTGTAAATTATAATTTTTTAGTGGCTTCAACTATCGATAACTTTAAATTATTCCTTTGATTAATTGATAAGTTGTTTGAACTTTGTTTAGAAAAGTTTAGGAGAAACGACTGGAGGACATTCTATATTTCCAGACAAATTAATTTGAAGATTAAATGTAGACATTTATGCATTTCCTGTTGTATATTACTGTAATTCCTGCTCTGTTTGAGTCTTAATATCACATCTCACAGCATATTCACAAAATTGTTAATGATGCAGATTACTAAAATAGAAAAATCTTGAATAGTTGTGATTGATTGATTAAACCGTACAGCTCTAAAAAAAAAAAGTTTAGTAATAATTAAACAGGGGACTAACAAGCTTATGTTTCTGCCTTATGTTGGTTAGGGAGAGCCCTAGTTTTAATGACATACGTTATTTGTAGGTATTTTTAAATGTGACAAAAGCTCCATGAAATGCAGCCTACTGTCATGAGTCCAAAGCGGTGGCTCCCCACTGGTGTGCCGTGTGTTTACTTCATCGCTTATTGATCCCAAGAGATCTTGGTGTATTTTTCCCAAAGCTTTCAGATTTTAGTTGGATTGTTTGTAGTTAAAAAGGGAAACTATAGAAGTCCAGTCCAGGTGTATAGACTCTCTCCAGAAAGAGAAAGACCGCAAGTTCCCAAATTTGGGAAGACTCAAATCCCTGGTTGAGATAAAATAATGATTTAATCGGCCAGCGTCCTTCTCCTCCATTATGATCATGCAGTATTGTCCAACTACTCTGGGCCAATTCAGGCGTGTTGTTGTTATTCAAAAGTAGCTGCTGGGCACACATCAATTAGGCAATACAGAAGCCCTAATAAAAGCTGCTGAGGTCTTTTCAAAGGGCTTTTTTAAGGGCTTTTAGCCCTGAATATTATCAATTTGCTGTAGTGAATACAACCCCATAGAATTACAGGGAGTAATATTATCAGAGGAACATGCAGCCTATTTCGATTGTACATGCATGCGTCACAAATGCAGGAATTACCCCACTGTCAAAGGCGACTTTTCCAAGTCACGCAGAGGACATATCAGTATGTGACCAGGTACAACAGACAACAAAAAGTCTAAGATTCAGCAATTTCAGTTGTTATTAGGGGAACAATTCTTAGAAATGAAACTAATTAGCTATAGTCTAAGTATGTTTTTTAAAGGAAATGTAAAAAAATATTAGACATATATTTATATATAATATATATATTTATATATAATCATCATCATATTATTATATATATATATATATATATATATATATATATATATATATATATATATATATATTATATATATATATTCATTCATTGTTTCATTTCATCTTTTACAGACATAATTTACGTATGTCTGCTTAAATAAACATTATCTTTTAGGAAGATCCTTCGTCACTAACAAAAAGGCGGAATCATGGAGCTGATGCTTTTTCACTAAGCCACATCATTCCATCATTAAGCTCAAGACTGGGACAACAAAGCTTTAAAAAGTATCTACAAGGAAGACATAGGGCAAAAGTTTGTCAGCAGCTCGTACCGTGGAGCAGCGTCCATCCAAAGGCGTGACTCAGTCCGGGTCTGTGCGCCCTGTGCTCCCGGAGCCCCGGAGCTCCATCCGTCCGCCGCTCCTCCTCCCCCCGCTGAGATCCAAAGCTCACTTTTATCCAGAAGGTTACTAGGAGGGGGAAAGGAATAAGAGGAATAACTCTCAGTAGCGCCACAGGTTTGACTTAGTGTTGTCCACAAAAAGATGTTGTATGCAGTTTATGAAGAGAGCCTGTTCCCCGTGCGCCGGCCGTTTCCTCATCTGTTTTAGAGGCTCAGGTGGCAGGAGTTGAGGGCAGCTCGGCACCGGGAGAGCTGTCATAGCACCTACACCACCGGCACCCGTACCGGACAACAGCTTGCTGGCCCTTCTAACAATATAGACCCTACCTGTCGCGGAGAGTATTTCTGCCCGCAACTCTGTCATCATGGATGTATTATATTAACTGGTTAGGGTATTACTTGCTTGTAGCTGAATAACTCATGTGCTCGGGGGATTCTCGCGGTACTGCAGACTGAACCAGACTAAATTCACGTGGGCTACCCAGAAATTTTCCCCATAGAACTCAATGCATATTAAAACAGCTCAACCTCAGCTGACAGAGAACTACAGCTTTAATAAAGATCGGATTTTGTGGGGATTTTAGTGTCCCTTGTCATCCTGAACTTTTTTTCTTCTTAAATCCTTCGGTTTTGTTTAAATCCACACTTTAGTGCCACAAACTCTGCTCGTCTGGCTCTCGCTCTAACTCCCGCTCTGATGAACTGCTCTGATTGGTCAGAGCGCGGCCGAGCCCCTCTGTGCACGTGCGTGAGACCCGGTGTGAGACCCACACACGCGTGTTTGGCGCAACGCATTATGGGAGATCATCCACTGCGCAGAACCGGGAGGACCAGACGATGCCCAAATACAGGCGAGTTTCCCATAGATCTTTGCGAGTTTCAGGCAACTTCCGCTAATCTTTCAGCCCCATGACCGTCACAAAGCGCCAATGAGCACAACCATTCATTTGAATAGGGCGCCATCTTGGATCGCCGGGTGCTTGACTCAGTCCCGTTCTGTCTGAGTGCACCTGTCCTCACTGGCAAAACAGGTTGTGTACTTCAACATTGTACAAAGCTCTCAATGTCTTGCTACGTTTAACACTCTTGCTTTAATTGGAGCTACGTTTACATAGATCGTAAGCGTTAGCTTCTGTTTGCTAATGCCTAATGCTATGATCACTGCAAATTGCTCTATCTAAGTGAATGTGCTTAAATCTCGTCCGTGTCTGTCTATTTGACATATCAACAAACATATGTCTTTATATATACTTTATTGTATCTATAGCTATACTTAGATCCTTGTGTGACCACAACATTGGACTGTAAAATGGGGGTCGCTCCGATAGACTTGTAAATGGGGGTGGCACCATAGACGGTAAATGGGAGTGTGCTACCATTAGACTGTTAAATGGGGTGTGCCCGTGTTCAAACATTTTCGCGCCTTCAGATCTATACAGTCAAATTGCTTCAGACTCTGCTGGAGGCCCTTTCTTTCCACAATTAGGTATCTGCTCAAATTGTTGTCTGGTTGATCCTTGGGGATACCCAATGGTTCTATGGATCAAACAATGTATATTTTATAATTAAGGGTTGTGGGTTTATTCCGGATTTCCACAAAGTCCATGGTATGTACATGGCACACTTTTTACTAGTTTGCAGGATGTGATGTGTTCTGTAGTTTGATAAAATGCCATGATGTACATTCATAATAATGCAGGTTTGTTTTTTAGTCACGTAGGGCAGCTCAATCTGTTTGCTTGCCATGATTATATTGCCTATAAAGTGAAGAAATATTAAAGGCTTGTGTAAAAGCAACCATAATTACTCAAATGTGGTATTGTTCGTATTAGGTAGTTCTATTGTTTTTAACTGTTACAGAAATTAACAGGAGGAATCCCGATTACCACTATGTTAATTATGTGCCATTTGCGGACTTCAGTGGTATAGTGCCATGTTCTTGCGTCATATTTTTATTCGAGATTAATCATTATTAAATGTCACTAAACTTAACCTACTTTTACTGTTTTGCACGGTAAATCATGAATTTATGTTCATGTTCACTCAAATGTCTTTTTTTGAAATTCGGGCGCTCGATTTCGTTATGCAGGAGAACTTGACATGGGAGGGGAATTACAGCATCCTACCAGCTCCTTCCTCACAGCCCGGCCCAAGTGTCCTCTAGTACTCAGATTCAGTCCTGCTTCCAGCCTGCAGGTGCAGGCAGGGCCTATGTGCTGACAACTTTAGGCGGCGCGACCGTGCTGGTCTGGGAATGTGTTGATAGGCACACTACACCAGTGGTGTGGAATCTCTAAACACTTTAATACAGGTGGTGGCTCAGTTCCACACTAATACTTCCAAATCTGCTTATGTCGTGTCTGCTTTTTGATACCATATTTGTTCATGTCAACTATTTGAATTTGAGCGTTTTTTTGCCGACACCCGTTGTGTGGGGGTTTGTGTTTCTGTATGCACAGCTATAGCAGAACTGCTTTTAACCTAGTTCTGATCATTGTCAGAGTAGAGGCCTGTCTCACATTTTCAGGAAGACTTCCAGAATTCATCTGAAACGCTGCCTCTCTCATAAAGTCCTGACTCTGGGCACCAGCAGGAGGCCAGCAACTCCAGTTTTAATGAGCCATTACCTATAGACAAATGCTTGGAAATACGATCTCCTACATTTGTTTACTACACTCTTGCATTCGGGCCTTATTTTTCCGATGGTAAAAAAAAGCGGACGATTTGGCTGTTAAATTATAAGACCGAGTCTCCAATACTTTGTCACCCTGGATTTCTGACCTCATTTGAAAGAGTCTGGAAGTGACAAATAATGCTCTCTCTTTGTTTCTGGGGACCAAGGACAATCATTTCACTTTGTCTGAGTTTAGCTGGAGGAGGTTGTCATGCATTAACCATAGACTGTAGAATCTACGCACTGATTTGTTGAAGGCTGTGAAGGAGTGAGTCCAGTGGTCCATGTTCTCCTGCAGTCAGTCACTATTGTCACTGACATACTGCAGATGTGAGTGTTGTTTGTGTTGTATGCGGAACCTTCCGCAGTCAACCATTGGTTTTGTATTTCTTTATTCCGTCATTTTTTTTGACACGTTTCACAGCTTTCACATTTTCAACAATTTCCACAAGTTATACATCAAAACGTTCCACATGTTTGGGAGATTATTGCTATTACTTTTGGGACTTCAGCGATTTCCGGTTTTTCCGCAATCGGACAAAAATCTGCATTGAGAATTCTGCAATGCATTTTAATAGGCCCATGCATTTTAATAGGACTTCAGCTCTTTCAGACATTTCTACAGTTTCAATGATTCAACAGTTTCAAGGATTCAACAGTTTCAAGGATTTCAGCAGTTTCAAGATTTCAAGAGTTTCAAGGACTTCAACAGTTTCAAGGACTTCAGCAGTTTCAAGGACTTCAGCAGTTTCAAGGACTTCAGCAGTTTCAAGGACTTCAGTGTAATCATGCAACCTAATAGGGATTTTTCCATGTAAACCAGTATAATGCAACTTAATAGGGATTTTTCCATGTAAACCAGTATAATGCAACTTAATAGGGTTTTTTCATGTAAACCAGTATAATGCAACTTAATAGGGTTTTTTTTCATGTAAACCAGTATAATGCAACTTAATAGGGTTTTTTTCATGTAAACCAGTATAATGCAACTTAATGGGGATTTTTCCATGTAAACCAGTATAATGCAACTTAATAGGGTTTTTTTCATGTTAACCAGTATAATGCAACTTAATAGGGTTTTTTTCATGTAAACCAGTATAATGCAACTTAATAGGGTTTTTTCATGTATAATGCAACCTAATAGGTTGCATTATACCACCAGACCAAGACCCAAACGAAGACTCAGACCACCACCAGATAATGACCACAGACCAGGTTTCCTTAGTTACAGGAACCAAATTGTTTCAGCGGTGAGGGGATTTTTCAGTTTCAAGGACACTTTCAATACATTCAGTAGTTTCAAGGATTTCAGCTGTTTAAGAATTTAACCAGTTTCAAGGATATCAGGAGGTTCAAGGATTTCAGGAGTTTCCACACTTTCAACAGTTTCCAGGTTTAAAAAAGTTTCAAGGATTTCAGGAGTTTCAATGTTTCAACAGTTTCAAGGATTTCAGGAGTTTAAAGGTTTCAACAATTTCAAGGACTTCAGGAGTTTCAAATATCTATCAAGTATTTTAACAGTTTCAAGGCTTTTTAAAGGATTTCAAGGATTTTTTTTAGCAGATTTCCACATTAGATCTGTTCCGCAGTCAATCGCAATGGCTTCAGCCATTGCAAGTTTCTAGTTTATCATAAGATTACATTTTAGTTTATGATATTATGCAAGTTTCAATTCATAGCACAGAACTCTGAGTTATAATGTGCATTTTGTAGCAGGTATTCTGTAAATAAATACATTTGTAACGCCATCAGTAGTGCCTATAGACAGGGACTAATTGTGTATATATTGTGCAATATTTAAGTGTGACAAAACATGCATGCATGTTAATTATTTTACTTGCAACGTAGAACCTTTAGAATGTCAGTGTCAGAACTTTCATCAAAAACATCCTCTGCAACACCAGATGCTACAGCGCTGTCAGAAGGGAGTTGTTTTTCCTCTTTCCTCTGATCTCTTTGACACGGACAAAGGCAGTTGTATACTTAAAGCACCTGTCAACTCCTCTGCTGTGATGCGTTTGATTGTGCACTGCACATAAGCCTTGGCAAGAAGTTCTCAGAGTGAAGCTAGGGTACAGAAGGGTCTTTTTACTGTCTCAAGCATGCATGACTTCAAACTACCCTGGCTTTCAATTTAAGCTTACTAAATGTTTTGTGGGTCACATCTAGACCAGGGTCAGAGTCAGAATGCTGTTTGGATATTTATGGCTGATGTTAAGTGCCTGATGCTGGACACATGAGGGGAGGTCATTTTGATTTCTAGTTTCAATCTGAGCATTCCAATATTTCAAATGCTTTTATTTTTCCAAGTCGGCATCGTGGCTGTTACAAAGTAATTCTAAAATGAACTGCACGCTCGGACAATGTAGTGCATTAATTACTTTAAAACAGTGTTATTTTCTTGGCTAAGCATTAAGTAGAGCATACAGTACACTGTTCTATATGCAGGTTTTCTGTCTTAAGACAGTGATTTATGAGAGAGGAGGTGGGGTTCACGATAGATTGAACACTCAAAGTAGGGCTCTCCTTTGAAGACCAGTTGTCTAAAGTAAATGATTGACTCTTACGGTGACATTTGACTATCTATTTTTGTTGAATTAATTTTAAATGGTCCTTATTGTATTACTATGTATTGCCCTTTCTGGAAGCATTACTTTGTGATTTGTTAGAGTGGCTTGCTGTTCCATGTACTGTACATATCTATCACAGATGGTCATAGGAGAAGGGCTAAAGGGCCACATGTGCATGCGAGGGGGGGGCGCCCACCCCCAGGCCAGATAAAAAGTCACAGATCACACATATAATTAATCCTCTCAGGACCTGGAGTGTGCCAAACTGTGCAGCTTGTGCTGGACTGTCAGCCACAGCAGCAGCCTACTGTGGATACAAACTAAAATTAGATGTTCACTCCGAGAAGGGAACCTCCGTGCAATACCCAATCAACGCCTCCAGACTCTACCCAGATCATGGCGCTCACGGCAGCAGCATACATCAAACATTTAGTGCACTTCCACTACACAGTAGAAGATACGTATGTAGGACACAGCTCTGCACAAACACCTCCTCGGAGCAGGGCTGAAACACTAGGTGCTCTGAAGGCTGTGTGCGGCTGTAATCAGTTGTTATTGGCTCTGTGTATTTACTCTCCAGCTCATCTCACCCGGCTCACACTGAACCATGTCGTGGTCGAAGTCGTGCAGGACTCTTTCTGCTCCACACAATCATGCATTTTTCACTTCAGCTCTTTCCATGTTTTGATAAGTTCAAATGCTGGTTTACATTAGTCAGTGAAATGCACACACGTTGCCTCTGTTATCAGTTATCTGCGAGTATCTAGGACAAACATTATTATCAGTGTGGGTTCCCTTTGGGTGCGTTGCCATAGTGACCATCACATAACATTATATTCAGGGGAGTATTTCATCCATGCAATTGCATGAATACAAACAGACACAATAGGAATTCAATGAACAATCAACAACAGTAATGATTGTGTGGTATTACCATGACAACCACCTCCGGCTCCATCACTGTACTTGACTTGACCTGGTTACCATGGTCATGGTGTCTATGTCGACATGTGAAAGGGTCACATTTCAAAGCAGCTGTAATTATGTTAGTATTGTTCAACTGGCTGCACTAGTCGTACTTCTCTTGATGTGAAAATCTGATATAAAACAAACAGTTTGCCCACTACTGCAAATGAAACATAAAAACATAAAGTCTGATTATAATTTGTAAACACGTACAAGTAAAATATTGTGTTGCATGCACATGTTTCATGTCCAGTTGTGAATGTCTTTGAAGTATGGTCTCGTGTCATGTTGTGTCTAGCAGGAGGAACTTGTATGTATATGGTATCAAGATTAAATGACATTTTGTGGAAATATTGAAGCAAAGAGTTTCTTTGATAGGCTAATAAAGAAACATTAATAGCATACACACCATTGAAATCACTAAAGTATTTGAGCATTTTCAGCGGCATGAACAGAAGGAAACCATTCTTGACAATTTTCAAAGAAAGAATATACTTTTTTTCCCCGTAGCGAAATTTGTCCTCTGCATTTTACCCATCCTTCATTGCCTCTACAGCAATCTGTCAGGCGCAGTGGTCGCCACGGTGCAGCACCCGTGGACCTATCTCCAGATGTTGATGCTCAGCTTGGTCAGTACTATCAGAGCTGGACAATTTTACCTATTGAACATGTTTTTGCTTTTTAAAACATAGTTTGATAAAGGATGAAAGGTTTATAGTTTCTCTTGTGTTGTATTTGACGTTATGTAGATGCATCAAATGCCATTGCCTTATAAGTCTGTCATGTCCTGTCTGGGAAGGGAATAGATTTCAGAGCCCATTTCTGTCAGCTCCTTACTCCTGTCTTGTGAACAAAATGCACAGTGGCTCAAACAGCTGCATGTGCAATCATGCACACACAGTCAGCCCTGATGACAGCATGCACACTGGAGCTCCAACCACAGTCACAGGAGCGAGGCTGAAGAGAAGCTGCTTTTCTGACAAAGTAAAGTTGCTTAGCAACCTTTGGCCTTGATAACAGGAAATGATGTTTCTCAGTATGAACACCATTCGACTCAAACAAAAGAAGTTCAGTGGCAAAAATGAATCGTACTAGATGACAGCCAAGAGCAGAATCCACAGCGATGCTAATCTGGCCACGGTTTAAAACAATATATTAATCTTCTCTAATGTTTCAGCGAGTGCTGTCCATTAGCACTGACCTTTGAGTATGCACATGCACGCGGACACACACACAATGCCCTCAGCCTTGTGTGTTATGTACAGTCTGTGTGAGAGAGGAGAATCACATCTGCTCCTTTTCTGTGTAACAGTGTAATAACAATACCACAATAACCACAAATCTACACTAGGGCTATATATGACCCTCGATATGATCTCATATCATCCTCACAAATGTTATAACCATCTGTGACTGCTTTAAACCAATTTGTTCATGCTCACATACATGCATTTTGTGACACAACATCAAACAGATTTTCCTTGAGAGAGATTCTACAACTTCACTAGAATTAGGATACTATTCCTCATATTTAATCAAAGAAGGATGTATGGGTTGTTCATAATTTGAAATCATATAATGACTTAATGACCTAATATTGGAGGGGAACCGTAATCCTTTTCTGCCATAGCTTGGTTGTTACAAACCAAAAGGTGTGTGAACACATCTCTGATTTATCCATAAACTGTAACTCCAAAAACACACTCACACTCACACAAGGCTTATAGGCCTTGTTTGCTTTGTGGACAAAGACCTGCACAGAGAAGAGCCCATTATTGTATCATGTCCATGGCAGAGCCTCACATGTGCCACTTTGACTTAAAGCAGATTTCATCTGAAAAATGTTTATCTCCACATGAACAAAGATCCAGGGTGCACAGCACCACACAGTGTTGAGCCGTCCTCACTACAACAGTGCCTTCTGTAATGCTGCTATTAAATATTCATGCCACTAAAAGAATGAGCTGCCAAAGACCCTGAAACTCACCAAGTGTCTGCTTTCGAGGACGTTCTTCCTCTTCTTTGAAATATTTCGTATTTTCCAAATTAATGACACAGGTGAATACCTCGTACGTCTAGGTGAAGACTGGTGTAACAGCCCAAAGCTGTGAACGGTTGATAATCCATCAGATCTCAGAGTAAACTGTGTAAAACAGAATATTATATTTTAAGCCCTTCACATTCCTCTCTGGATACATATTCATCAACAGCACTTATTGAATACCAGAACCCATAGTGACGAGTCAGGTCAAAGCAAAAAAGTTGACAAAGCAGCAGGACATTTTTGTTACTTTGTCCTCAACTTTCATTCATATATTTCTGAACTTTTAGTCTGAAATATTCCTATTAATCAGTTGCAAACAGGAGATACAGAATCCTACAATAAATGGTGTTCGGCATGAATGAGAACCAAGATCACTTCAATGTAAGTTGACCCCAATCCTTTTCAGACAAACACTTTGTCAAACTCTTAGGAGCGACTGCCTCTAAATTTGTAGGACAGTGCACTGTGGGGCAGACAGTTACTCTTCATCCATGTTTTCAAAAACAAACATGAGAAACATTCAGTGTTTCAGGAGTAAAATGTGAACTGGAGGCACCTGCACTCTCATGAGGACACTCGATTATAATAAGCTCTAGAAACTGATGTTCACCTCAGAAACAACCGGCAGTAGCTGATTACATTTCTGTTCACTGCTGGAAACAACACTAATCTCATTTTCGGAATGGAAAAACAATGCGGTACACAGACAGCAGTCTTCAATCATCCAAAGATAAAGGACAAGAACAAAGTAAGTGTGGAATCAAATGAGCTGATTGAAGACATGACTGCTACAGGCTGTTCTCCATCTTATCTTAAGGAATGCATATAAACGTAAAGCTTTTATCTCATTAGTCCTGTAAGTATGTCCCCTAAACCCAAAAGGTAGATCAAAATTACGGCATTGATTTATATACTTCCATATCTGCTTAAAGATGGGGTGCATAACTTGAAAACCATAAGCAAATGTAACAATGATCCTCACTCTTCAGTTTGGTTCTAGTTTTCACATGCATGTGTTTTGGTCCACAAATATAGATCAGCTATATTTGTGTCAAAAGAGAAAAGTCAAAAGAGAACCACCCTAACTCAATCAGCCCAAAGCATCAATAGTAACTCACACGGCTCTTAGTTACAAGTATGCAAAATATAAGATTCTTTCTAGTAGATGAAATAAGCATGTTATGGTCTGATTACTTTTGCAATATGGTTTGTTTATAAAAAGGCACCCCAGCTTGAATATTTTGGTGCTAAAAAATAAAGTCAGCTTTTTGTGCATTAATGAGAAGATAAATTCCAGTTGTCTTAGTAATATGATACAATTAGAGCGAAAGTTATTTTAATAGCCAATGGTTGCTTTATTGGCTTTTGGTGATAAATTAACATTCTGCTGGATTGCAATTCCAAGGGCAATAAGTAGTTCAATAACATTTAAAGCAATGCAACTCGACCAATTTTTCATAGAGATTAAACCAATCCAATCACGTTTTAAACACGTTTTTGGTGATATGAGTAATTTCCATTCCCTTGACTATTGTGGCAAATAACTAAGAAGCCATTCTAGGAGGTCAAAACATTTTAATTAAAAAAGAACCAATTTACTCTCACACAGACATAACTGTACAGACACTCACACTATGTGATACACAGCCACTGCACGAGAACCAAAACATGCAGTCTCATGTTCAGTTAAAGTGCATATGACAGTTTATTAATTTCTTATGTGTCATGTTTTAAATATAAAAGAAACTAGTTTGTGAAAAAAAATTTGAAACAGAGTTTTGTTCTAGAACAGATGCCATTAACGGGAGAAATTCACAGAATCATAATTAGAATTTACTACAAATTCATTTTGACACTTTAATTATATACTCGGCTAAATCAAATTTTCTTCTTGTTATTTGGATTGTCAAACTATACATTCTCTGTACTTTGAGTTTCAGCCCAGTTAGGTAGATACAACCATAAAAAGTATGGTCAAACTGGGATGAAATATGGAAAGCCTTAAGAGAATTTCTAAATACAATCTTGATGGTTTTGCGAGAATTATAAACTGTCATATTCACTTTAAACTCAAGCTCTGTTGTCCAAAAAAATTAATGCCTAAATTCAGGCGCCCGCCAGTTTCTGCACATTAATTACAGTAATCTACATATTTGCAAAATACATACAATTTACAATAAGCAAAACATTTCTTCAGAGCACTGTACAGCCAAAACGTGCAAAGCCAGAGAACTATTTAACAATTTTATGAAGACTACTCCTTTCTCTGAGCACATTTGTATAAAAGACGTTTCCAAAAAAAAACAAAAAAAAACTATTTACAAGTATAATTTGAACCAAAAAAAAGGCAAAACAAAAACGAGCTAACGCTTTTCTTGATATGGACAATCCCTGAGGTGTCAAATGTTTATCACATAACCGGGTTTAAGCAAGTCCTGTACATATCCCATAGAATGGCAAAGCACTGCAAATGACTTCATCGTTACAAAGATGTTAGCGAGGGAACCAGTGACTGAGCAGCAGCGGAGCAGGCCAGAGGTGCTTATCAATTGCAAGACGGAAGCCCGAGTGACTGGCCTTGCCCCCTCTGTAAAATGAACATCACATGAACATTTACTGTGGACTTCCATGTTGATCATCGTCTTGCACGTCCGTGGCAGTACCCGCCCCCTCCGCGCCGTTGTTTTCACCCTGGTCTTCCTCTGCTTGATCGCCCGCCTCCTGCTCCTTGCTCTTCTTGCGCTTCTTCTTCTTGTGCTTATGCTTGTGCTCCCGGTCCTTGTGCTCCCGGTCCTTGTGCTTTTTGTGTTTCTTCTGCTTTTTATGCTTCTTTTTCTTCTTGTCTCCGGCGCTGGTGGCGATGTCGTTGTTGTTGTGGGAGGGGCTGCGTGAGGGCTGGCTGAGGGACAAGCTCGGGCTGCAGCTCGCCGGCCCCCGCTCCGCTTCGGACCCCTCCCCCTCACTGTAGTCTGGGACAAACGCGGCCTCGTCCGTTTCCCGGGCCAGGTCTGAGCATAAGCGCTGTCTCCGGGGCTCAGGAGCTCGAAGTTCAGAGCCACCCTGTTTGTTTTCAACTATCCTCTCTTCTCGCACTGCCCGAGGTTCCTCTTTCACCCCTTTTCCTTCTTCCCTTACAACTTTAGCCTTGACAGTTTTTTCAAAATTGTTTAGCCCTTTCCCCTCCTCTTTTTTTGGTCGAGGTCTCTTGTCTTCTTTCGCCTTAGCTGCTTTAGAAGCCTCGATTTGGGCTTCTCGTTCAGTGCTTCTCTGAGATTCGGGGGAAGGTTCTAGGGGAGCAGTTGGTTCATTGTCCTGGCTCTCCTCATCGTCCTCCCACTTGGAGCGGGGTGGGGGCTGAATGAGGGGCTCTTGCACACGGGACGGGCTCAGTGCAGGGCTGGCGCTGAAGCTGCGTTCTTGCTTCAGCTCAGGGGGTAACTGAGATGATGTATGCTTCTGCTGTCTGACAGAGTTGTTTTTGGACTCATGTGATGACCTTGAGACAGGAAGGTAGATTAATGTTAGAGATTCAAAAAGGCAATGTGTCAGTTTTTCAAACTATTACTACAGTGTACATAATGCAAAATAAACAATAGGCAATCCACAAGTACTGCAGTAGTTTAGAAGAAAATTGAAACATTGTTAAAAATGTTTCAATTCCAAAAAAGGTGTAAAATCAAAAGCAGACAGTGTGAAGCACTTACCTTGAAGATGTCCCACTGTGTGAGGTGAGGACCTTGCGGCTGATTCTGGGTCTAGTCTTTGCAGGAGGTTCTTGGCTTTCCTTAGCTGAGAGAAGAAAAGAAGCAGGTTTAATACAGGCCTAAAGAGATAGCACAGGTCCAAACCCAGTTACATAGAGACTGCAGCAGTGTTTAGGAGAGCACAATTACCTTCTCTTTGAGCAGCAGCTGGCTTCTCTCCTGAGGACACTGCTCTGTCTGTTCTGTCCTTGGAAAAACTCCTGGGAAAAGGGGAAATTACATATCAACATCTGTGTTTACATATTCAAGTCAGCTTTCCCCCCCCCCACTTATGAATATTTATATATAGATTTATTCTTCCAACATTTACATGAGAGAGACTTAATCGTATCTTTGTTTTAATGTTGTTTTGAAAGTATATCAAAGCTTGCAAAACTGCAAATGTAAGCCGCTTAGCATCATCTTCTCATTTGCCCTTTCTTTTAACCCCTTTGATAAAGGAGTCTTTGCTGCAAAGATGACCTAGAGCACATGATATTGAAAGAACAATGAAAGCCACAGGACCCAGGGGAAATCTAGATGCATAACTCCTTACTTAAAAAAAATAATTAACATGTTACATGTAAGCCTATATACACACAGTCTATTATGTCTAACCAATAAAACACAAATAGTTGCACAAACCTGTCAGATTTGCGTTCCCTGTCCTTTTGCACCGCACTGGGCTTGTCCGGGTGGTCGGTCTGTCTCTTGGCGGACTTTTCTGCGATTGTCATTTTGTCCAGACACACAGACCTTCCTCCTCCACTGGAGTTCTTTTGATCACTCCGTGTCGAGTGTTCTTCCTCAAGCTCCTTTGAGACTGCTTTCTGGCTGCTGCTGCGGTCCCTTGTTCGCTCATGCCCCCGGTCCCTGTTGCGTTCCCTCTCTGACTTTGTCTCAGCCTTTGTGTCCACAGCACTGCTTGGCCCTGGTCTCCTTTCCGCTGAAAGAGACGTTTCTCTGCGCAGGGAGGACTCTGGTATGCGTCCATCTCCTTTAGGTGGAACGCTGGAGAAAATGCTCCCGTCTGTGCCAGAAGGGGGCGTATCAGCACTGCCTCGTCTGGTCACTTCTCTGTTCAACTTTATCCTTCGACTGGGATTGACTTGGATCTGAAAAAATAAAAACGTAATTTCAAACAGTTGTAAAACATGTGTTTGTTTACAACAATCTTAAAGAAAAGACCCACCTTAAGGTCCATTAAGGGCCTGTGAACCCTCTCCTCCCGATTGGTCTCCCGATTGACCGTTACCGACAGAGGTCTATCAGATGGAGACACCACTCGCTGGAGAGCAGGCTGATGAGACACATGCGAGTGCAGTGGGGCCTCTCTACTCAGTCCAGGTCCTTCTATGCGTCTTAGCTTCCCTGGAGGTGGTCCAAGCAAAGAATGTCTCTCCTCTACCACCCTTCTGCCTCTTCCCATGGGTGACAAGGGCCTGTGGTGAACTGGATATGGAAGCAGACCTTCTCTCTGGGGCACCTCTCTTCTAATTCGAACATCATGAATGATTCTATGGCTGTCGTGCAGATGAGAATGGTTTGCAGGCTGCTCTGGCAAAAAATGTGGTGGCGTTTGCTTGGAAATGGTACTTTTTGCCTTTTCCTTTTTTGGTGTAGATTGAGAACCCTCTTCCACTTTCGGCTTAGTTTTCACATTTTTTCCAATTGTAGAAGATGGGTCCTTCTTCTTGACAACTCCTTCACTTGGCTTTTTTTTCACTTTGTCAACTCTAGCTTTGGCACCATCTGGTTTGACTTTTGCCTTTACAACTTTTTCCTTAATGGTTTTATCGGTCTTCATTTTTGATTTGGCAGGGAGTGCATTTTTAGAAGATGTCTTAGATGAGACACCAGATTTTGAAGCCGCAGGAGAGGTTTTGGCAATGAGGTGGTCATCCATGGGCTCATCTCGAACAGGAGTTGCATCTCCTCGGTCAACATCTTGATTTGCGGTTTCAGATTCATCGCCAGTCTTCTTTTTAACCTTTTTTACTTTTACCACTTTGCTTGACTTCACTGGTGCAGTGGATGAGGCAGTATGTGTTCCTTTCCTTGCCTTTGCATGTGGGGAGTACTCTTGTGGTAAAGGAGACATGCGCTCCCTCTCTCGCTCACGGTCCCTGCTACTTCTTCCTCTGTGATGCCTCGGTGCTTGTTCATCGTACTCTCTATATTCCTTATAGTCCCTATAGTTCTTGTACTCTTTATAGTACTTGCCATACCAGTCGTGATAGTCCTTCTCCCACTGTCTGTAGCTCTGACTGTCCCAGTGGTCTCCTGGACCTGGGCCCTTCATGTCATAGGGGGGCATGTCTCTGTGATGGTGTTTGCGTCCTCCTGGGCTATGACCTCTGTAGCCACCAGGTGATCGCGAGTGTGACCGAAAAGGAGCCCCATGTTCAGCCGCATCCCAGGGGCCGTTGCCTCCTCTGTACGGTGGAGGGGTGCGAGGGGATCCCGACCGCCGGTAGCCATAAGACCTGGACCGGGAGCGCGACCTGGAGCGTCCATAACTGCGGCCGTTGCGTTTGGAGAAAGCGTGCGCATGGGCTGGGGACCGGGAGCGGGAGCGACTGGGGGAATAAGAGTAGGACCTGGAGCGAGACCTGGAGCGGGTGTATGGAGAGCGGCTGAAGGGAGAGCGGCTGTAGGATCGAGATCTAGTACAGAACAAAACATTTAATGGAACATATGATGCAAGGGTAAGAGAGGCTCGTTGGACTGAGACAAACCTGGAATAGGATCGTCTTGGCCTCTTTGGCGCACCTCTGTACTTCATAAGCTCTTTATGAAAGTCTTTTGTGAACTCATCCAGTTTGGAAGGAACTCTGAAAAAACATTAAGAGGTGTTTTATGAAAAAGGAAACATGGCACCGGATTACACTTAAAATTATTTTGTTTAAAAAAAAAAGGACCAGATAATCAAGAGACTTTTGAAACGTTATAAAACCTAATCACAATTAATCACATTATTTTCTTGTATTATAAACGCACTATACCTTATACACCTGAATGAAGTTTTAGAAATGGGCCTCTCAAATTGACCAAAAATTTTATTTGACCATCTAAGACTGTTAATTGATTTCTCAACTAAAATTGGATCTTTAAAGTAGCCCCAGAATTGGTCAAGTCAAATTTAAGATCTTAAGACCTCTTTAATGCCGTTTAGGGAAATGTAATGCATGCAAAAAAAAATGTATGGTAACCATTTGTACAACCAAGAATACAAACTTATTCTGATTACTACCGTTCTTTAATTATATTTTTCAAATAGTTATCTAAGCAGTCTCATGAGACGATGCAAATGCAACTACGCACAAACTATTCACATCATGATTAGCTTTATCCAACTTAAAAGCCAAAATAAATACATCATTTTTTGTTATTTGCTCTACACATTCTTATTTTTTGATCAAATCCATGGCCAAATTTGGTCAACAAATATAAATGTCAACTTGACTAATAAACTTAAAGCACTCGGCTGTCAGCTATCCGCTTGATAAGAAGCAGTAATACATGAAATAAAAAGATCCACACTAGCAGGCCCGGTCAACCTTCACAACAAACGCATTAACGCGATAACTTTCCCAGCCCTAGTGTTTTTGTAGTATTTATTTGTGAAAGACAAACATTGATGTAGAAATATGATAATGCAAACATTTTGAAAGCGTTCATAGAAGTAACAACAATGTGCATACTTGTCTTGGCGATGGTGGCGGGTTCTGTAGAAATCGTCTTTAGAAGGTGGGGGTAGGGGAAGGGAAGGGGCCATGGGCATCAGTGGTGGTGGTGCCCCCGAAGGCAGCCAGGCAGAGTTCATAATTGGAGGGGGAGGGATGTACACAGGGGGAGGCCGGTAGCCGAGTGCAGGTGGAGGAATCAGACCAGGACCAGCACTGAACGGAGGCGGGTAAACTTGTGGTGGTGGAGGATACATTGCTTGGGCTGCGTAAACGGGAATAACCGGGGGGCCAGGATGGGGGGCTGTTTGCACATGCCCAGAGTTGTGCTCCCTGTGCCTATAAGACCTGATAAAAGAAAACAATACATCAACTACTATAGAGGTCAGCCTTCCAAAAGGAGCCCTTAACAGTCCACAACTCGACTTACCTTTCCCATGATCGATTCCCCCCTCTGTGTGATGGGTGGGGTTGCGAGTGGTCTAAATAAACACAGCTATGTTACTTGGTGATTCATTCATTTTCTGTGCCAAAGATCCTTTAATGACATTCATTACCTGATGTATGTGAAGACCTCTGAGGAGGAGGAGGGTGGCCAAGAAGAGCTAAATGGGAGCTAGTATCATCACCCTAAAAAGGACGCAAGTTCAATTATACCAAAATATTCAGAATTCTTTTTTCACACTTGACAAGCTCAAAAAATGGGTTTGTGATAAATGGAATTATTGTTCTGTAAAGTACAAATTTAACTTTAGAAAGGTGCATTCCTAAACTGTTCTGGTGGTACCCTCCTTTTTTATGTAAAGTGGTTCAATTTATGCTTCTTGGAATAGATGTTATTGCATTGCATGAAATGTTGTTCAGTTTGGTTTAAAAAAACGCAAACACTCCTTAATTATTATGGATGATTTTGTAACTAAAGAAACATTTTCTTTTTTTGAAAAGAACAGACAGACTTCATACTCGAGTCTCACCTGGTCAGCACTTTCTGAGTGTCCTGTGGGTTCTGGATCCGGGTCTGCCTCCCTAAAAAAAACAGAAGTTTCAAATTTCACTGCACCATTAATGTGATTGCTTTTGGAGTAAACTAGTGAAACTATACCCAGGAGGTGGAGGTTCTCCGTGGCTGGGGCTGTGCTTAGGAGAGTGGTGATCTATGACAGGGGCAGGAGAATGGGCCGCCACAAGAGATTCAGAAGAGGCTTCATGTGGCGGGGTTGGGACAGATGTGGGGGCCCTGGTGATGGCAGCAGCAGCAGAGGTGGCAGCAGGCATAGGGGTAGCACTTGGTGGTTCAGTGACTGTTGCAGGTGCAGTGATAGCAGGGGCCTGTACTGGGGGCATCAGAGGGTCCTGCTGCCTGGAGTGCAGAGACCGAAGCAGGTGGAGCCGAGGCGGCGGTGGAGCCGAATGCTGGAGGGGCTTGCGTATACGCTTAGTATAACCAGTCTCATTCTTGAAATTGTTAACAGCCTAAATTATAAAGAGGCTTGTTTAGTTTAAATACATGTTCAAATTGTGGTCTACACTCAATGAGTGAATTACCTGTCGGAGAAACTTGTTGGCAATCAAGTTATCAGGAGAAACATCAGACTGCTTGCAAGTGTAGCAGGTATGTTCTTCTGAGTCTAGCAGCGCTGTCCTAATACCTATTGACGAGAATGAGCTACAGTTAAGACACAACATTTAAGGATTTCTAGAATCACTAAAAGACCTAAATATTTTATTAATATACACTGTAGCCTTGCTACAGTATCAAAGTGAAGGTAAAGGGTGAGCTCCGCATTCATAAATGATCAGACCTTGATTGTTAGAAATTTCCTGAGTTTGTTTGTGGACTTACAGTCATCACAGTAGCTGTTTCCACAACAGGGTATAACCACAGCATCGGTCATGAGGTCGTTGCAGATGGGACAGAGTAGTTCATCTGGGATAGGGTCTGTATCATCTTCAGAAGAGGACTGGTCATGTGGAACAAAAGGCGGTCGCTCCTTCTTGCCTTGTGCGTATGCTTCACTGTAGAAACCCATCAGAATAAATACAATGAAAACTAGACAGATCAAGAAATGAATTAGTTAAAAAGAAATACTGATACATACGCATCTATAGCAGGTATTGCATATTCTCCAGTACTGGTCAGCATGGCACCCTTAGCACCTGGTTCTGCCTTGACCATAAAGCTCTGAGGAATACCTTTACTGGTCCTGACTGGTTTGGGAAGCTCCACACTTTTATCTTGAACCTTAAAAAGTGACAAAATAAGTCTTTGTTCAGTCACTGAGTCAAATAGTACCAGAGCATTTTGGTGTTCAAAAGTTACCGAAATCATTGGGCATTGCCGATTGTAGTGGCCTGCTTTTCCACAGCGAAAACAGGTGTAATGTGCAGGTGGAGGGCCAAGTGCCTTTTTCGAGTAGCTATGGAAACAACACATTTAACTCTTTCAAAACAGTCCTGAACACAAATTAGCAAAGGAATTAAATTGAGCAGGTGTAAAAACAGATGGACAAAGTCTGCACTAACTGTATTGGGTCATATTCATGGTTGGACTGAGTCATCATGGCTTTAATCTTGTCTTCTTCTGATGCATTTGCATCAACGAGGTTTGCAGTCTAAAATACAAAAATCAATTAAAAATTTGGTTAACTTATGAAACTGATTGACATCTTAGGGTACAATCCTTATGAACACAACCAATACCTTTGAAAGTTGCGCAAAGGTCAACTGAGGAGAAGAATCCGTCTGGAGGAGAATCAAAGTACAAATATTGTACATGTTAACATGCCATGACTAACCATCTAAATTCCATCATACAGGAGTAGAGACCCTTGCTTCCCCACCACTTTGTGATTAACTGAATAGCTCCAACTTTCAGGGAGCATTCACAATATTGCAATAACATACTTATTAGAACACCATGGATTCTTTTGAAATAATGGAACAATACAGAAATATTTTCCTCAAATGAATCCAATTTGTAATAGAATTCACTAGCCATCCTGCAATACTGGCTGAACTATGCATTGTTTTTTTTTTAAAGAATCTGCTTATAGTTTGAGATGTTTCAAAGAACTAAGTTTGAAGAACTATACTCTCAATGGAATAATTGGCATGTCTGTATGCTTGCTGGGAATGCCTCTTCCACCTCACATGACTCATTTCAGTGTGTTTATGTTTGGGCTGCCAGATAAATCGCAATGGAATGAAAATCCCAATTCTACTCGTCGCCATTAACAAACCACAAAATATGCAATTATTCATCTGACATGATTTCTCATTTACAAACAAATTGTCTACTTCCCCATGATAAATCTCCATAAATATTCTCGTGTTTAAAGCTCCAAAAAAGGTTTGAAAACACATGGATACGTGTATATTTCTGCTAATGTATAAGGAAAGTAAAACGCAGCTTAACTCTTTAAACCTTCTTTCAAGTTGTATGCACATAGCCAAATATTCCATCCAGAAGCTAAAGCATCAGCACTTTTTTTTAAAAAGCAGAACATTTTGATTCCTCTATAGTCTACTCCAGTAGGTAACTTGTCTCAGAAACACTGAGCTTGCTGCACAGGGAACACACAGGGATCTGGTGTAATCGGTTCTTTCTGTGAACCACTCTCATCTTTATTGACAGGTTCTGCAGCGTACAGCTTACAGGACACACTGCACCAGAACACTGCAGCAGCTTACCAAGGCCTCCACAGGTGAACAAATACTTATGTGTCTAGATTATTAGAGCACCAATATCAGCGCCAAAACCAAACTTTAATAACCAACTATACCAAACCCCTAGCATTATTTAGCCTTTTGTGTCAAAATATCAAGATAAAAAGGTACATAACAAAACTGACGTCACAGATTTAGGTAACGTTTAGTGTATGAAGACTTCTGGTCAGATTCTCACAGCTTTAGTCAGCAACAACTGTGAACAGTTTACAGTAAATCCCAGGCACACATTACTCCATTATATTAGTATATTTTCACAGAAAATAAAATCACATTTATCAATTATCAACACAAATTTCCATAGGGTTTACAAGAAAAACCATCCAATACACTTTGCCCGTCTATAAGCAGGTTACAACACCATTTCAATATGAAATACAATGAAAAATAATGTGGCAAAATTCAATTGTGTATATATCAGAGCACTGAAAACATTTGTAAGTTTGTTGCTCTCCACATTAGCATATTTACACAGTAAATAGAATGGCATTACTATACGAGGAACAATACGCAATTTGAATATTTGTATTAAAAAACCTTTCAAAATTACATAATAACATTTAGAATTAAGATGTTGACACAAATGTTGGCAACACACAGTGAACAGAGCATACACGCAACTTGATCATTGTTGACAGAATGTTTTCAAGAAAGGTGAAAGAGTGCAGAAAGTGAGTGAATGTGTTGATTTTGGGTTTGGTTTACATACGGGTCTAGACGATCCAACCACTGCTGTGTCAGAACGCTCCCTGTAGAAAAGCAGAATGCATCACTAGTCAAAATCATTGTGTAGAACCTCCTTATCAAAATACAAAGTTAAATAAAAATGGGGGGAAAGGCCACACAAAGTGATAAGAAAATTTAAACCTGCCAAAAAACTCATATCCATCAGCTATGCAAAAGTTTAAGAATTTACAGATTTTTTCCTAAAATGTAGGACACTAATAACCAAATCATATGTTTTAACCCGTTTTTTTCACTATAGGCCTCTACCAAATGGTTGAGATGCAGCTTGATGCTAAAAATGACTAAAACAAAGTGATAGAGATGCTTCAAGGAGGTAGAATTAAGGTCCAAGCTTAAAATAGAGACTCAAACACTGATCCACCTATTGGTTGAAGAAACCATTAAAGGATTAAGGATATTCAAGACGTACATGTTTTGTCATGCCCAGGCTGTATACAAGCATGCTGTTCAAATATTTACTGTATTTTATCAGATCTAGAAAGGGTGACATGACAAAATAAGGACATGTAATTTCCATGATACATACACAATGAACGTCCTGCCAGCAGGCTTTACTCCACCAATAGGAGTTCGCCTCACGATGACTGAAGAATGTTTGGGTATGTGGGCTTCTTCATCTGTGTATTCTGTAACGCAGCAGTACACAAACATCAGAAATGCATGCTGTACACTTACATGGTACCTCAGAGTGTACCGGACAATCAAAACAAATACTTTATGAAAACACAGCTGTGACGTTACCTTCTCGCGTCTGCGCGTTGGTGATCTGCAGGTCGCAGTCTGTGGCCTTGAGCTTCTCCCGACCCATAATCTGCCTCTTGAGCTCACTGAGGGTAATGTGCAGCCCATCGAAAGTGACGGTGTTGTAGTCCAATTTGGAAGAGAACTTATAATGAACACACGACATTTTAACGATATGACGCGATACCTATTCAGGAAAGAACATGGGAAACACAGGGCTGCTTTGATAATAAAATAAAAAAAACAGGGTGAGTACAAAGAACAAAAGTGTTTAATGTTTGAACCCTTCTGTATAAACACTGGACAGAATGTCTTAATGTAAAAAGGTAACGCTCACAGGTGACAGTCTTTGGTAAAAAGAAGTCGGCGTGAGAGGCCGGTGCGTCATCAGAGGCACCTGAGCCCCTGAAGTCTTTATAGTCCCATCGTGTAAAAGCGCTCGTGCACAAATCCAAAAATGTCCATGAAGCAGCAGAACAAATGTAACCCTCTGAGAAGGTATCAGTCCTCAGCAATGTCCCTGGCTGTCGAAACTGCGCACACTACACCGCAAAGACAGCAGGCCGGGAATTAACAGTCTTTGTCGTAGTGTTGGCTTCGCCTTTACAATCAGATCTTACGTAAAGGCAAATACGATCAAAGTCCGTAGAAAACGAAAAATAACCAAACAACACGCTATACACAACGCAAATATGTATAAAATGTCCTTCAGCGTCTGATACGTCACAAACACAGTGTAGTAATAAACACGGTGTGAACAAAAGCTAACGGCTATGCTAACACCGTGACAATGCTAACCCAACAACGAGACACACAAGATGGAAAATTATCTCGTAAATCCACAGTTTAAGGGTATTTGGAGAACAAGCTTTAATTCCACTTCATGAACTCCCGCTTGCTGGTTTGTGCTTCCTCGTTTCTTCACAGTAAGTCCTCAAAATCCCTTTGACCACGACATGGGCCGCCTGAGACACCTCTTCTCCTCGCTGTCACAACAAAATGGCGACACACGGAAACGGAAGTGAGTATTACAAAAACCATGACGTCATTATTATGTGTTTTATTTTTATTTTTTCAACAACATTTTAAGCAAAGAGCCAAACGATGATGGATGTTCTTGTGATGTGTCTAAGGAGAAGAAAGTAACGCAGACCAAAATATTTTTTTCGAACATTACAGATACTGTGAAGTTGGAGATTGTTTATTTTAGAAATGATCCACCTTTGTCAGATACTTTTTCTTTCAAACTTGTGTAGAAAGGAATCTATTTCTAGAAAAGTACGCAATAACAGAGTTATAACAAAATACAAAGTAAAATTAATACCATCTGTGAGAGCCAAACATGTACCATGTCTACCATATAAATTACAGTTGAAATACAGGATATTACCAGACTTGTTAGGTGCCATTGTTTTACGACCGCTACTTTTATGAAGTTTTGTTGTCCTGCATGATACATAAATTAATATCTATGTAACTTATGAATGCAATGGTTGTAACCAGCGTTTGGACATGCCTCAGTGGCACTACAGCATAATCGCAAGCATTTTAAATCATTGTCAATTGCAGAGTCTAGAAATGTGAGAAAGTTTTACAGTAATGAATCCAATAGTTTTACACAGATTTTACAGTTTTACACATGTTTTTACACAGATTTTAGTGCTGTTCCCAACCAACAGAGACAGGACAACATCCTGGGATATTCTGGGATGAGGGACGCTGTCAGGAATAAAAAAACACTCTGGTCTGAAAAAATAATAATCAACAAAGAATAATTTCTTTAGTATTTATCAGAAGACAAAATAACCCTCACTGGACCAACTCTTGAGCATTTCTTCTTTCAATGCAATACTTCAGCTATTTTGTCCTAACTTGAATGTTTACAGTATATATTTCAAATATCAGTTTATTTGCCATTTGCAGTAAAACTACATTGGAATGCCTGTGCAAGACTACTCCATTGTGCATCAGACAGAGCAGATCAGAGCTCTTGCCACGGTGCCACGTCTCAATGCTTTTTGATTTTTAGAATAGTCTGTATGTCTCCCAATATATTATTTGTATGATATTAAATTTAAAAACATTAATATTAACAAATAACATAAAACCGTACATTTGTACAAAGTTTACATCACTTACAAAGTTTTCTATTCATAAACAATGTTTGCAAATCTAACCCAAACATAATGAACGCTCTGTCACTACATGACCATAAAAAGCACAAGATTGCTACGATCTTGAGAAACAACCTCAGAATCCACTTAATATTGTGACACCCGTGCATTTAACCTTATTATTTATCATAATACATGTACAGAAATCAGAGAGCCATTCGGCTGTCCCTCTACAGAAGTAGTTCTGTTATTGTTACTCAACTTCTACTTATGCTGCTGCATCCAGCTGAAAACATTCTGATTAGTATGGATTATTTAGTATGCATTTGATGCACACAATTGTGGCTGATTTGAAGTCTATACATCCATCCATCTTCTTCCCCTGAATCCATTTCTGGGTTGGGAGGGTGGCAGTCGGAGCTGCATCCAGAGCACCAGCCCCTCACTGGTCCTCCTGGAGGTGGTGAGTCGTCAGGAGGATGGCTGCTGTCAGTGACTGTATAGCCTTGATTTTTCAGCGGGGGCTTCAGGCAAAGTATAAGTGTCTTAAACCCATTAAAAATATTTTTCCCACATAAGTAATAGAAAATACAATACAATATAAAAAAAAAGTAATTGAACCATGCTCCTAATTCTCACACAGGCGTTGTCCTCCTATTGGCTGAGCAATTTCCAGACACCAACTCATCCTGATCATGCTCTCCTAATATATGTCCATCTTCCACTGGCATATCCATCTTCCCATCTCGAAGCGCCGATCCCACAGTGTACAACATAAAGTCCGGCCCAACCGTAATGGGAGTGGGAAGTCCTCCTGGTGCGCTGATCTTGGTCTCTGCAATGAGCGACGGCTCCCTCCCCAGTGTTGTCCTGAAGGAGCCGCCTCCACTGCTCCGTGAGCTCAGGCGCCTGGAGCGGTTCTGGCTGTAGCGGTTGCGGTAGTGGGATGAGCTACGGGAGACTGGGAGTTTCATGAGGGAGGGTCTTCCTTGGGTTCGCAGTTGGCGGTGTTTCTCTATGAACACGTGTACGGCCAGAACACCCACCATCTCGGCCAGAACAAAGGACAGAGCACCGAAGTAGAAGGACCAGCCGTACGAGTAGCTCTTCTTGTTGTCACTCTGGCTGGGGTCGTCCGAGTTGGCTGATATGTACACAATTATACCAATTATGTTACTCAGACCTAAAACAATAAGAATATGTTAAAATCTCAAAATTCCAAACAGTGTACAAAAAAATTTGTGAATTTTTTTATACATATTTTGTCGATACAGGATTGTGTCTTGCATCTCCTCAAACTTGTCTCTGGAGAAGGGCCTCAAATAAGTTTAAATTTTTGGCCATAATCTTTCACAGTAAAGAGTGCATTCATCTCCTTTTAGAAAGTTTCGCAGTATGGTTTTTTTCACTTGCAACATTGATAATTAAACGTTTATATGGCTACCATGGGAAGTTATACCTAATTTTTACATTTCAGATTGAAATAGATAAATAGACCAATTATTTAATGTTTTTAATTAGTCTATACATTTACATGCCTTCATTACCTTTTGTTAAATTTTGGTTCAATCCAAAAAATTGAATTTCAGAAGAAAGAAAAAATCTGAAGAGAATAATACTAAATGATAGATGATAATAATCAATGTAAAAACTGATTTGGTTTGGATCTCTGACTCTCACTGGTCGTGATTATTCTATAATAGTTTTGGTAAAACGATTGAATAAATTCAATTCATAGCTCAAAACAGCAATGCTTGGATAACATACCCTGAAACAATATAAGTAGTTAATGTCTATGTACTGACCTGCAGAGACAAAGAGGATGCCTGCACATAGAATGACATTGTAGCGGGACTTGTAGAACTCACTGGCCGCCACACACACTCCACCCAGGAACAGCAGGCCCACACTGAGGATGGGGAACAGGCTGGAGGCTCGCACCGCTCCTGAAAACACAGGACCAGTGAGCTCACAGACCAGAGGACAGGATAAGTCTTTCATGGTGTGTGGACTTTTTGTTGATTTATTATGATTAATTGTTCTTGTGTTGTTCTGAGTTATACTTCTTATCTGTCCGTTGATTGTTTGGCCCAACCTGATGTGATACCTGTGTCTCCCTCCATTTAGGCCCTATATGCTCCTGTCCTCTTGTGGTTTTTACCCACGTCTTGTTCTTGTTTTTAGTTTGGAGTTTTTGTGTACCTGTTAGGCGGCACGGTGGCTGAGTGGATAGCACTCTCGCCTCTCAGCAAGAAGGTCCTGGGTTCGAATCCCGGCCGGACCAGGGCCTTTCTGAGTGGAGTTTGCATGTTCTCCCCGTGTCTGCGTAGGTTTCCTCCGGGTACTCCGGTTTCCCCTACCACTAAAAATATGTACAATAGGTCTGGCATGCGCCTCCTGTTCGGCGACCCCGCTCCCATCTCTGTGTGGAGTGAGAGGACAAGTGCCCAAAAAATAACAATTGTAAACCGCTTTGTGACTCTGGTCTGTGAAAGGCGGTATATAAATAAAGCTTACTTACTTACTTACTTACTGTTATTCTCTTGAATTTGGTTTTTAAATCAAATTTCAGTTTTATTTACCTTTTGATTACTTCTTTTGTTTTTCACATTACAAGAAATTAGCTTTTCCCCTAAGTAAATGATCATCAGAGCACATAAGATTGAAATTGGGATCCACATTCTCTCATAGCAACCTCATAGCAACCAAAGAGCTGTTCGCTAGCCAAAGCCAAAGCCAATATTGGTGATATTGGGCATAAACATTTAAAGAGTAGACGATGGTGGCCGCATTTCTCGTGCCCCGGCAGCCAATGCGGCGTCTACTCTTTATTTGTCTATAATATCTGGAGTCACATAGACAATATTAAAACTAAAACACCAGAATCATGTAGAACATGAAACCCAAACATTTGTGACTCTATAAAGGTGAGTGTGTTATATTTTCAATGTGAGTGAATGAGACCCAAAGAGAGTTGAAGCTAAACTTTGCCCATGGGCACTCCACTATAGGGTAAGCACTGTCCATCCTTAAGATATGATATGATAGGAGAATCTTAATTCCTGCTGCGGTGTGGAGATTTTCAGTTTACAATGGGCAGTGTATGGTTCAGATTGTTGGAATCGTCACAGAACGTACGTAACAAATACTCCGCTGCATCCTGGTCATAATCGGCGTCTTCAGCAAAGTGGTCGATGTCTTTACAAACACCGCGGAATGTTCCTGTAACAGACACGCAATAGAATCATTCTTTTGACAGTTCAGTAGTATTTACATGGTTCTCACAGAAATGAAAGAAACTGATTTACACTAGGGCTGCGCAAAATGGGAAAAAAGTGAATTCTTGATTGCATTCTGCACTCTGGACAATTACTATTTTAATAAAAGCTCCTTCATGATTTTAATATTGTCAAATTTTCAAAATGTAGATTAATTCGATTCATTCAATTTATTGTCCAGTGCCAAGAGAACTTTCAATAGCTTATTTATTGTATTATATATTACAGCTACATATTCCCCGGAGGAATAGTGGCACTTCTTTAAAGTGCAATGTGGGGCATTAAAAAAATAAATGAGCTTTCCATCGAGCTAAGCAATTTGCACACACACAGTCAGTCGGGCATATGAAAATTGTTAAGGGGAAACTTTTAGACTTGGCATGAGTCCAGTCCATCACCAGCACCCAATACTTTGATCATGGGAATAGTGGAGCTGAGAACTGAAAAACAAAACAAAGTGCTATGCAGCTCATCAAAAGTACTGGGGAGGTGTGATCAGCAGATGACATGATTTTGATCTCTGTATTATGCTGTTTCGGCCAATCCTTAAAGCAATTCCTCTAAAGTAGTGTTTCTCAACAGGTGGATCTGGACCCAAAAGCGGGTGGCCTCTTTAAAAATATGTATATATTCTGCTGCAAAACAAGTAAAGAAATAGGTTTTTCTTGTTAAAAATGCCCTTGTTTTAAACATATATGGTAATTAAGAAAATAATTTTAAAAATCCACATAAAATGTAATACGTTTTTTAAAAACCCTGCTCCCAAGACAAGTTTTTTGCCTGTTTATATATTTCCTTGATTCCAGAGTCAGAGTGTTGTTGTTGTTCATATTTTTTGCTTTTATTACAATCTTATGAAACAGTATTTTATGAAATTATATTTTTTTTATTGATATTTTGGTCACATTTTGGTGTCATATATGGATGGTGGGTCCAAATACAGTTCCATTTAAGAACCACTGCTCTGGTCTTTTCCATTATTTGGTATCAAAGGTCCATTGTATCTCCAGACGGTTTCCAATAGATACAAGAAAAAACAAACTCATGTAAGTGATAGAAAATAAACTAATAATTACGCATTCATAGGAGGGTAGGGATGGAGGGAAAGTATAATAAGTGAAGCATGCAGTCAACATGAAAATAGTGCGAAACATATACACTCTTCTCCCCTTTAACACAGCTGCACACAGCACTGCAGATATTGATGGAGCTGTTCCTATGTAAGCCACTCATTGAGCAGTATTGATAAGTGACGCTCTGGTAATGGAAACACAACTCATTCACTGCCTACAACCCTACAAACACACAGTGTAGTCCAGCTCAGACTTACGCTGACAACTTGCAGTTTTAGGCTTGATGCAACTGTGTTACATGGAGATACTATCATGATCATCTACAAGAGAAACTTAAGTGTCCAGTAGCAAAACTCAGGACTCACACCTACATCAATAGACCACTTTAATTGCCTAAAAGTAGGGTTCAAACACATCAGTTGGAGAATCTCAATAGATCAAAGCCTAATCTTGCTAACCCTAACTCACCCATCTGAAGTCTTTTTTTTCCTATTTCTGATAGGTTTTTTCCTATTTCTTATAGGCAGATGAGAATCCGAAAGTCCCAGGTGAATGTTCCAGGTGAGCACTGTGCCCTATTTCATTTACAGTGCGGTACTTGTTGGGCAACTCTGAACAGATGAAGTAAAGACTTATCAACAAGGACAAATGCAACAAATTAATTTTGGCGCAGACAAGTAGCACCATTGATTTGAAATGTACAAGCAGTAATGTAGTTATGAAAATAATTATTTAAATCTACTACCCTTGAAACGTTGCCTATTGAAATGCATTGAAACTGTGAACAGGTATCACAGATGTGACCTGCATGCTGACCCTGATATCACGTGAGTTACACTACACATGAAACTAGAAATTAGAATATCGTTCAAAATAGTGTTTTCTGTAATTCAATTTCAACTGAAATTAAAATTGAAATGTAAATCTAAAAGACCTAGTTTATTATGATTTTGATTATTATGGCCTACTTTTAAAATAGTCTTCTATTCGGAGATGTTTTATGGGGTATTTACAGCTGTGAGCCAATGAACAGGATGGGCTTGATATCTAAGTGACTTTGAGTCCCTTTATGGAGTCTGTCATATAGTGGTTTCACATTGAAAGTTGAAATACCAGAATTAATGGACTTTTGAAGCATATCAACATTTTCTGTATATAATTAAAATAATCTTTAAAATTATTTCAAATATATATGCGACACAGCGCCACAAAAGTGAGTGTTTAAGAACTCAAGCTGTGACATAGTTGGCCTAATGTGCTGTTGGGGCTGCTGGGTTTACCCTCTGTGCAGCAGGTCCTCCACAGCCCAGAGTGTGTGAGCACCTCCTCGTTCTTTCGCAGCGTCTCGTTGTCGCTGGAGCTCTTGGAGCGGCACATGCCGCGGGAGTACAGCCAGTAGTCCGTTCCCACCGCGATGGTCATGAGGCTGAAGGCGCAGAAAGCCCCGGCGGTGGTCATGAGCATCATCATCCCGCGGTTACACAGTCTCATGTCCGACACTGCAGCCCCCTGCCCGGGGGACCGGCGCTAAAAGTCTGTCGAACCTCTGCTGGAGGTCCCGGAGGGAGGAGCGCCTGGCTCTCCCCGCATTCTGCTCTGTTTGACTGCAGGCGGAAAGTCCGAAAGTTCCAGGTGCAAAGTGGACAACTGTTTAAAAGTGACACACTAAACTCCTCTGCGGTGTGTCCCTGGCTCTTTGACAGGGATGTGTCTGCAGCACACGCGCTGATGATGATGATGATGGTGGTGATGGTGATGGTCGCGCTGTGGAAATGAGCGCACTTTCTCCTGACCCGTGGTGACGTAGGCTTTGAGCTGCCATTCACTTTCCCACTTCTGTGTAACAGTAATAAACACTGAGCAGTGGTGGTTTTCCACCACTTTCTAACATTTTGAATTGAAAAGCACTAATTCTAGAAAAACCTTTTAGATGCCTATTACTTACAAAACGTATTTAATTAGTTTGTTTATAAGACTGCTAGCAAGGATTGATGAAATAGTTACCTATACACTTTAAGACATATTTTCCTATAAATTCCTAAATTTCCTAAAGTAGTCGCTATTGGACAAGTAGTCTCCCATATGTTGGCCTGATACCATGGTATTAATACTTTTTGCCTCGGTGGCTGGATAATTTCAATGTGATCGAATGTAAACGTTAATATATAAGATTAAGCAAAATAATGTTCCAACACCTGTAATTACCTATACACATGCCATGGATGTATTATATTAACTGGATAGGGTATTACTAGCTTGTAGCTGAATAACTCACGTGCTCAGGGGATTCTCGCGGTACTGCAGACTGAACCAGACTAAATTCACGTGGGCTACCCAGAAATTTTCCCCATAGAACTCAATGCATATTAAAACAGCTCAACCTCAGCTGACAGAGAACCTACAGCTTTAATAAAGATCGGATTTTGTGGGGATTTTAGTGTCCCTTGTCATCCTGAACTTTTTTTCTTCTTAAATCCTTCGGTTTTGTTTAAATCCACACTTTAGTGCCACAAACTCTGCTCCTCTGGCTCTCGCTCTAACTCCCGCTCTGATGAACTGCTCTGATTGGTCAGAGCGCGGCCGAGCCCCTCTGTGCACGTGCGTGAGACCCGGTGTGAGACCCACACACGCGTGTTTGGCGCAACGCATTATGGGAGATCATCCACTGCGCAGAACCGGGAGGACCAGACGATGCCCAAATACAGGCGAGTTTCCCATAGATCTTTGCGAGTTTCAGGCAACTTCCGCTAATCTTTCAGCCCCCATGCCGTCACAAGGCGCCACTGAGCACAACCATTCATTTGAATAGGGCGCCATCTTGGATCGCCGGGGCTTGACACATGCCCATATAGGTCAACGGAACAGTATACTTTGAACAGTTAAAAAATAAACATAGTTGAATGATTTTCTTTGAACAATATTAACAAATGCACAGAATAAGACACATAGGAACACCAAAGTTACTGAAATGGCATGATCCTTTATTTGAATGGCTGTTCCAAAGGTATCTCTCATGCGCGGGAGAGATGGCACATGCGAATCATAGCTGTTGCAGTAAACACACCTCCACCTCACCTCCCCTCTGCCTTTTGCATAGTAAACATTGAAACCTTCTTTTCCTCCCCTTTCTCCGTCACAGCAACACATTATTAGTTTTCCTGACAGATATGGAATGTTGGCAACTCAGACATTGCAATGGAAAGGAAGAGAAACACTGGAAGCACAGGTTAAAAAGGTGCAATGGGGCCATACAATCTCGCTCCGCTCCTATTTACACATATTTAAACACATATAGAAATATTACATCTATTATAACATTGTCATATATCACAATATACTTCTGACACATAGTCCTTCAGTTATTTTTCGTAAAGCTGCTCCACAAATGTGCGCCCGAGCAATCCGAGAACTATTAGTACCCACATATATGGCATGCATAGATGAGCTGTACCACAAGACAGTAAAGGCCTACACACCACTAACCCACTGCCATAGAGAACAGAGAAAGAGTTGAAGCAAGACAGAAATGTGGTTAATATCGCTGGCCATCAAGTTTTTTTTTACTATTTGAATTTTTGCATCGGTTGGGAAGACAAGACGTGCTGCAGTAAAGTGAATGTATTTGGACCAGTGTTACAAAGCACTCGTAGCCCTGAAATATCATGTTAAACTTTAAATGATAGTATGATCGTTCGTTATCACTCTGTACCCATGTCACGCTCAAAACTGGAGTACCTTTGTGTTGTTTCATACACATATTGTGTGTCCCAGCTGAAAGAGTTTTATTTGTAAAAAGTGTAATAATTCAGTTTTACAGATTGGCTGGGTGAGGGCTAGCAAGTTGGTTCATGGACTTCATTACATTGCTTATTTTCTTTGTGGTTTCAAAGTTAGGTACCCCAGCTTTAAGAGATGGACTGTAATTCCAAATTGATATGTAATAAAGACTAAATTAATATTTTTACATCCAAAGCCCTTGATTGGTCAACTGTAACCACATGATTGTTTGGCAGGATATGCATCGCGTAATTAAATGTTCATCTGAAACAATCTCAATGATGTTTTTCATTTTCTGATTTTGCCAGAAAACAATGGATTGGAAATGGAAAGCACCTTGACAAAAATAAATCTATGTTAATATTGTGTTATAAAGTGTCTTTGTAAAACTGGCCCCTGTGGATTCCTCACATCTGAACACAATCAGGAGCCTATGATATGAAGTGGACATTTTGAAAATCAGAATTGAACATTCACAAAGCTGTCTGTCGCCTCTGCAGCAGATCTGGTGACTACAGCTGTAGGATATTCTTGGATCACACTCCAGGACAGGTTGTTACAGCTGATCGTCCCCTGAGTGACCGATGAACACCCTACTTTGATTTGTTTGAACTGCAGATCTCCCGCCAAAAGCTACTCACCTTTTGCATGCCAATATAATGTGCAACCGTCCAGCCGAATGACAAGACAGCAACATCATGCTTTTCAGAGACTGTGGAAAAAGTAAAACAAGCTTTTCAGCTTTTGACTGTGAAGTTAAATGCACTTGTTGCTGCCTTGTTATTTGGTAATTAAAATCTAATGGTAAGGGGCAGATGTACAGTTTAGCCCAAGTTTACTCATTTAAACTATTTTTATGAAAACAAGACAAAAGATACATCCAAAACCAGCTGATTGAATAATCTGCTTGAAAGTAGTAAACAGATATAATTGTAATTTCAATTAAGGACAACTCTATTGTGTTGTTCGGAAAAGTATAAATTTGTACACGTTCACCTATGATGGGGACACACATAAAATATGTAGATGCAGTTTAAAAAAAATCACATACAGCCCCCTTAAGAACTTTGAGTTTCTTTGTATATGAACTGTGCTATACAAATAAAACCTGCCTTGCCTTAAATTTGAGATTTGAAATACATAGAAATATACATATACAAACATAAATTTGAACTATAAAAAGAGACTGAACATTTAATTCCTGCTGTATTCCAAACTAGAACTAACTGAGGTTTCATAATTGAATATTATTGGGCTCAACCATTAACAAATGTCTTAATGTGAGACCGAACTGAAGAAGTGTGGTGGAACAGAGACGGTTACAGATCAAAAGTCCACATAGTGGGCTGTGTGAGTTCAGACTTGGGTCCTGACCGGACAGAGGAGCTCACACTTGGATGATGAACTCAGGGTTGGTGTAGGAGAAGCCCTGGAACTCATTTTGGTCCAGGTTCATAATGAAGAGCTTGTCTGTAGGCGTCAGCTCCACTACCATCTTGGTAAACTCTTTGTCAAAGTTGCCCACATCGCGGCGGGATTTCTGGAGATAAAACAGCAAAAAGATTTGTTTTACTTCGTTTAAAGTCTGAATCAGTGATGGAATATTGAGTATGAAGGGTAGAGGAGAAAGCGGGAAAAAAGGTACATAAAAAACATGAAAATGACTACAATTGACAGTAGGTGAAATTATGACGTACATGAAGTTTGAGTGTGCTGTTGGCTAAACAGTGCTCTTACAACATCATTGGTAAAAACATATAACTGTCAAACGGATCTTGTTTTTAAGTGACAGTGTGGTAACCCCCAAGAGCAGAACAAAAGCTGACTTTTAACTTTGTATAAATCTAAATGCTTAGAAGTACTCTATGTAATTTGGGTGTGGGGGTCTTTCCACGGACATTTACTTGCTTTGCCACAGAATGACAAGTCTCACAACTTACAATTGTCTTCATAAACATGGATGTGTTTTTTTTACTGTGGAACATTACAGACAAACATTGGTATCTCCATGGAAAACAAGCAGATGTATGTCGGCCCAGTGACAAACACACCAAACACCATAGATAAGTAATCTAAAATCTATGAGAAATCATTTTAAGTATATACACAAAGTCAGAGCAAGACCAACACAAGCCCTAAACAGTTCAGCGATGAGAAGACCCCATGTACATACAAGATGTTTCTACAGACTCAGAGTTGACAAGACAAGTTTTAGTGAACAGAGCGACTATGAACCAAACCAGGAGCAGAAGAGTCAGACAGCAGAGAAGCAGTGAGCCCAGACAGGCAGGTAGACACACACACACACCCCTGCACACACACGTAGCACGCACAAGTAGCACACATGTTCAGTCCTACCTCCACTCAAGGCTCCAGCTGAATCTGACGACATCAGAGGGATCACTCCAACTACTGCTCCATCTTTGAATACTTCTATGTGTGCAGTGTGAGTTCAAAGGAACTTTTTGGTTTAAAAGAATCAATAAACATAGGTTTCCGAGTATAAGCAGTGGCCATTTGAACCAGATATGGTATACTAAACCATAAGGATATCACCAATGAAACTGGCAACCCAAAGAGACTTAAGAGCGGCTCATTCTTCTTTCTGACTGGAATCATCTTGACCTGAAGTGTTTTGGCAATTATGTCCAATGTTATAAATTTGTGTAATAATTGTTATGAGCAAAACCCAGCATTTTATTTGAATTTTAATCTTGTAATCAATGATTTTGCTTTTAATTTTATATAAATGTTTAATACACCCTCTGTTTAAATCATATGTTTAAGGCACTTCCAGCGGTAATGAAACACAGCAGAGTAACTTGGTACGAACCAGTAAATGTATTGTCCAGTCATACAGGTCAAAAGGTACAATCCACCATAGCCTGCACTCACCAATCACAACAAGTACATTCAATTTATAACTGAATATAACTTTATTTTAGATATGATAATTCGATCATTGCTTCCTTCCATCAGGGTTTTAGCTCTTTTATGACAAAACTAGACTTTCAGACAACTGATGGCATTTGATACAAGCTCAGAGATCAAAGTTTGACACATGCTTACTATCCTGCGTTGATTCACAGTTACAAAAGATATCTCCTCACAAAAAACACATGATCTCAAATAGTTCATATGTACTTTATGGATAAGGTTGTGCTGACGTTTGGAGGAATGTACAACACAATTCTTCAGTTAAATGGCACAGTCTGCTTCCTTTTATCACAGTTTGGCACATGACATTAGTTTGTTACCATGGTGATCCACAACTGTATGAACAGATATGACCCTCTGGTGAAACACAGTGCAATGCTTTCAACAGAAACGACGGCTCAAACCACTAAACCGTCTGACCACTGCGTTTACAACTTAGTTTGACTTGAGAAAAAAACAAATAGTATCCAAGAGAAGCTCACTACAACATAGCACTGAAAAAAAAAAATGTGGTCCTATAAAAACATACAATGAAGTAAATAAGCTAGTAGCAAAGTAAGATGTCAGTTTACACTTATACCGTATGGATATTAGAAACATGTGAAAATATTACATTTATATTAGTATAAACAGAACAGAACATAATGTCAGGTTTAACAATGTAAACCTCCTCAAGACATATTCAGATAATCTTCTAAAACAAGGGCACAGTCTGGGGAGATAGCAGCACAACATGCATGCTTTTACCACACAGGTCAAATCAGAACATTTATACAGACGCAGCCTCCTACTGAGTGATATTTCCAGGTTATTCAGCTATTCCAGTGACTGCATGATCATGATCGGATCTCACAGACATCAAGGTTAACTGCAGGTTGGATTTGAAGCCAAGCCAGATGATATGCTTCCAGACAGTTAAGTCAGACAGTAGCGTACAGTACTTCTTTATATGCTAATGAATTGTTAACCGATGAACCATCTCTAACAACAAGAATTTGGCATCATAATAGCTGTTATTTATTTAACACATGACAAAAGCAAGGTATTGCTCTTTTCAGCTAGGATCTCAAAATGTCAATGTTATTTCCATTGAGTGTGTGACTATGTGGTCAGTGGCTTGGCTGAGTATACTCAGGGTTAACAAATGAGAAATTTTGGAACTCGTTCTGGTCCAGGTTGAAAATAACGTCCTGATCTGTGGGGGTCAGCTCTGGAGGGTGGCGTGTGAAAAAGCGATCAAAGTTCTCCGCCTCACGGCCACACTGTTGTGGAAAGGAGAGAGGGAGAGAATGGAGACATGGGGTGCAGTGAGTATGATGGGATGATAGAAGAAAAATCGACAACAACAAAGAGAAAAAAGAGAAACAAACTAAAACAGTCTGTCAACCAATCAAATCCCTCACAGTCAAAACTAGGGATTCCATTGGTCCATGTCGGTACCAGTGAAAGCTAAGATATATCATTGGGGACTGCACTGACCAATCTGCACTGCTCTAGTCAGTGGAGTGACCAATGGCAGGTAATGGTACGATTTGAGGAATGGGAACTTACCGTTTACGATTAACCAATAGTTGTCTAATAGGAAGGTATTTGAACAAATGATTTCTACTGTGGTATAGAAGTATACTCACAGCTTTTGGCTTGAATGGTGGCTGCACCTCTTTGTTCTCAAGTTTTTCCCAGTCGATAAAGCGGAAGAAAGCGTGCTCCCTGATGTCTCGCTCACCCTCGGGGCCACACCCAAGGCGCTTGGCAGGGTGCTTGGTCATCAGCTGAACACAACATTTTATCATCTTATCATATTTTACAAGATCCATAAATAGGATTTATAAAACGAAAGAATCTTGTTCAAGATTCTGAACATATCAGACAACAACATGCTGTCTAATGGAAATCAACTGATATTTTACATACTGAGAGCTGATTGGCTGAGTGAGGACTAGTATGCAACAGAGGTCGAAAATGCATGGCTGTGCAAACTGAGTTAAATGAATTACACTACATAGTTATTATACTCTTCACTTCATGTGTTTTTTTACTGAATGATCATGACAACAAATGCCGGCATAAAAGAATAATTCAACGCTAGAGTGGTCCGTACCCCCTTGCAGATGGCGACTGCCTCTTTGGACATAGATTTTGGGTAAGAAACGTGGTGCTCCATTATAGACTGGAACAACTCATCTTCATCTTCTCCATCAAATGGTGGCTGCAATGAAAAGCACAATTTGAAATGTCTTATGTTCTTTGGATTGTGTATATGGTTATTAGCATATTGTAGAAAAACAGCTTTCTTTGCTATATTGTTATTCATATCTTACTTATTTATGAAAGATGATACAATGGAAATTACTAATTATGGCTATAATGTGCAAAAATAAATGTTCGATGTTAGCATGTTGCCATGGTCAGTAATTCTTAGTAAAAAAGTAGTTAATAATCATTTATTTTTATAGCACTTTTCAAAGGAACTCAAAGTTAATACAGACCTGCCCTGCCAGCATTTCGTAGAGTAGTACTCCATACGCCCACCAGTCTACAGACTTCCCATATGGCTGATAGGCAATTATCTGCAACAAACCATATGCAATATGCATAAAATACATAATGTAATTAATAATATTATAATAATTTAAAATATATCCTGGTGTAGCTTGGAATGTTGTTCAAAGGTCCATTTAATTTTGTAATTCAACTTACGATGTGATGCACACTGAGCTATATCATGCCTTTATCTATTATAATGTTCATAATCGGCTCAGAGTAGGGCTGGGCAAAAAATCGATTTAATCGATTTATCGATTTTGTAGCTTAAAAGGATTTTTATTTTGCAAACTCGAGTTTTTTTTTCACCAAATTTTTTTTCTGAGTTTTTTGCGTTTCGTCCTTGTGGGTTACCGTAGAGCGTTATGAGCCAGCCCCCTCCGCCGCGTAAACACAGTCAAAACAAGAATGGCAGCGTGTAGTAGAGCAGGGGTTCCCAAAGTCTTTAGCCCGCGACCCCCATCATAAATGCCCTGCTAACCCTCCTCAGCAGAAGTGGAGCGCATTTCTTGCGGCTCGCCCTCACTGTTCTCCTACCGCGGTAAAGTGGGCCGGCTTTCCGGAGTCAGCGGTAAAGAGGTCCGCACATTAAAAGCGGGCGGCCGCTTTCTGCTGTTACTTTATGCGGTTCATCCCCGCGGCTTCTCTTTCCAAAGTTACTGTCAGTAAAGGCATAGACCGGCCACCCGCTTTTAATGTGCGGACCTCTTTACCTTTGACTCCGAAAAGCCGGGCCTCTTTAACGCGCTGTTCTACCGCTGTCCTTTCTCCCTCCTTTGCCCTCTCTCCCTCTCTTCGCACCATCAGCCTGACCCCTGATACAAGTGACTTTTCTCTCCCTCCGCTGCCCTCTCTCCCTCCTCTGCCCTCTCTCCCTCCGCTGCCCTCTCTCCCTCCGCTGCCCTCTCTCCCTCCTCTGCCCTCTCTCCCTCCGCTGCCCTCTCTCCCTCCTCTGCCCTCTCTCCCTCCGCTGCCCTCTCTCCCTCCTCTGCCCTCTCTCCCTCCGCTGCCCTCTCTCCCTCCGCTGCCCTCTCTCCCTCCGCTGCCCTCTCTCCCTCCGCTGCCCTCTCTCCCTCCGCTGCCCTCTCTCCCTCCGCTGCCCTCTCTCCCTCCGCTGGCCTCTCTTCCTCCGCTGCCCTCTCTCCCTCCTCTGCCCTCTCTCCCTCTCTTCGCACCATCAGCCTGACCCCTGATACAAGTGACTTTTCTCCCCCTCCGGGTTTTTCTGTTGTGGATATTAACCACGTTTCATTTTAAAGCAGGTATTATTTATTTGTAGCCTCCAAACACCTTTAGTTTTAGCAAACAACAGTAGGACACGCTTTGTCGCTGCGCATGATGTGAGCTGTGTTACGTGATGATTTTGATTGACGCTGCAATGACTGGGACAAAATTACTAACGTTATTAAAATATATTATAGTCTCCAAACACAATTTAACAAGTAGTCCTTTTGAATCAAATCAAATGCTAAATAAATATTTAAGGGCTTTATATTTGCTCAAAAAAAAAAAAATCTTTTTTTTTTGTTTGTGTAGAAATCATCATGCGACCCCCCCAGGGGTTCCCGCGACCCCCCGGGGGGGTTTTAACAGGGGGGGCTTGTTAAAAGTATTAGATGCGAGGTACAGTACGTTGTCCCCAGTCGCAAGTATTTCGCCGATGTAGCGCTGCCTCACCTGTACAATACAACTCGTGAAAAGATCCGCGGTGAGCTGGGGGAGATGACGTTTTACTCAGCCACCACGGACCTGTGGTTGTGGACAGGCTCATCTTTCTTGCAAAAAATGCTTAGAATGAGCATGCACAATATTTCAGAGATCTAATGTTTTGTTGTTAAAGATAAAAGTTTACATTTGTTTATCCTTTGATAAGTAGTTAGTTAGTAGCTATATGTCTGCCACAGGCATGTTTAATTTTTTTTATATTCACATTATGCTGAGAGGCTAAGAGAAGAGTTTATTTTATTTTTTATTGTAATGTTATATGTTACAAAATATGTAGTTATCTGATTTCTTAATCAGAAAATTTAAGCTACTGTGAAGTTGATGTTGCACTTTTGCTTAAACCTGGGTTAAAGCTTGAAATTGTTGAATAACAGAGCCTCATTTACTTGCATTTTAACTCTTGAGGACAATCACAGCAATAAATTTGCACTTTTGACAATATATCTGATGTCTCCAGTCATTTTTAAGTGCATTGGGGAAAAAAAATCGAAAATCGAATCGAAACTTGAATTTTTCTTTTAAAAATCGGAGATTTTTTTTTTAGGCAAAATCGCCCAGCCCTAGCTCAGAGCTTTTAACCCCCCCGCCATTATCCTCAACAATATAACAAACAAAGGCATGTTATATGTCACTTTGTATGTACTGAATCTAGATCATATATTAGTTTCACATTTTAACTTGAATTACAGAAATAAATGAACGTTTGAAGGATATTCTAATGTCATCTGTAAGAAGTAGCATACAACAAATTATCTTTTGCCACACACATGTAAAAAAGCTTGTGTAACCTTTGGTGGGGCACTACTTTGGAACTAGAACTATAAAACAATGTCAAACTATGCACCAGTGCAAAAAAAAATTTCACATATATATACATATATATATATTGTTATATATTGTTATATATAGTTTTTGTGTTAAATTAAAAAAATAATTTTTACAAAAATAAAACAGTTTGTACAGTTCACAAGCTCATGAAGGGAGCTCATTTTTGTTTTGTAAAGAGTTGTAAGGGGGTGAGGATATACCTTTTTTTACTTCTTCCCACTCCTCCTTGGACATTTATCGGTATATGTGCACTATACAAATTTTTTTACTCAATGTCCAAATAAATATGAATACATTGATTCCAATTTGAGCAGCACTAATTTTCACCCACCTCTGGGGCAATGTAGTCTGGTGTTCCACAAAAGGTCTTGGTGGTCTCGCCGTCCCACATGTTCTCTTTGCACATGCCAAAGTCTGCAATCTTTATGTGGCCCTCCGAGTCCAGCATGACATTGTCCAACTTCAGATCGCTGTAGACAATTTGGTGAGAACCAAACCCCTTCAAAGCAGTATTAAACTGCAGTATAAAACTCACCGATACACAATGCCTTTGGTGTGAAGGAAGAAAAGCCCTATGGCAATCTCTGCGGCGTAAAACCTGGCCAGCACAGAGTATGTGTGATATTACCAGTGTGCAGATGACACATTACAAGTAATAAGTAAGAGATGATTCTTACACAGCGTGAGGCTCTTTGAACTTGCCGACCTGCTGGATGTGGTACATGAGGTCTCCCCCGTTTATGTACTCCATCACAAAATACAATCTGTCCTGTAAAAAAAAAACTCAGTCGGGGCATTTTACCCCAATGGAATCTGTTGCTAACTGGATGACTATTCTAAACATTGTGTAAAAAAGCAATTTCCTTTCAAACTGAATGAGACAAAACTGAATGGGGCCTAATGATCATAGGTTCAATCCCCCCTACACCTCCTCCCACTGGTCTGCTGTTGTTGTGTCCCTTGGTAAGAACTTTAACCCTCTTGAAGCCTGGCTGAAAGACCAAGACCCACCACCTGCAAGGGGATCAGCAAGGGACTAGTGCTATTGAAGCTGGGTGGCAGCTCTGATTGCCACCTCCCAAACCCATCACAAGCACTTAGACATAGAAAGTGCCCTGCATGAATATCACACAAGAATCTCACAAATTTCTGCTTCTTGTGTTTTTATATGAAGAGCAGAGACACACAACCAAGCACTAGGCAATACACAGGACTTGTTTTTATATGATTGGGGTTGTCAAAGCAGCGTAATGAAATAATGATTTAGACCCCATATGGTTTTAGTAGGAATTGGACTTATCCCTTCTAATTGTCCATTGTCAAAATAGTACATGGAAAGCTGTGGCTTATATATATGTTCTTTGCACTTTAGCTGGCACAGTTTAAATATAGGTGTAGATACTAGTCCAGCAAGTAATGGCAACAAATATGTGACCAGCAACAATTTATTTGATTTAGTTTTTACTTGACCTTTGTTCAATCAAGATAATCTCACTATAATTTCTGAGGATCTCTTTAAATTTAAAGTAAATAGGACATGTACAGTGATTTTGTATATGGTTTAGAAAAGTGGAACTTGGGTCTAATTGCTTATCTTTTAAAAGTATATATCATTATCTGTCCATGTTTTCATTCCTTTTTTTCCTTCTGTTTCAAATCATATCATATACTGAGTTGCTTATTGGGTATTGACTCCAATTCAATTTAATATACAAAATGGAGTGCTGATGCTGGATAGCATGAAGTTAACTTGGATCAAGCTTAAACAGAGTTTCATCTTATTGAGAATTATTCATGCTTGTGATTTTACATTCATGGAGATTAGATTGTGGTAGTTGTTACCATAGTTTGGAAACAGGAGTGGAGCTGAGTGAGAAAAGGTGGTTTTCCAGACTGGGCCAGGACTCTCTTCTCCACCATAGTGCACTCCACGTCATCGTCCTGGATCACCACGTCTTTCTTTAGAATTTTGATGGCGTACAACTCATCTGTGCCCTTCCTCTCTGCCAGCATCACCTGTGGACAAAGCACATTCACATGATGTCACTCATCTCACACAGACGGGTAGAACTGAATAGCCCAGGGCTCAAGTTAGGAACCACACTAAAACAACTTAAGTTTCTATACAGTAAATCATTATGAAACTATTTATTCACTGCCAACTTCTAGCTGACAAAACAGCACTTTCCATACTAAATATAATGTTTGCAGATACAGTCTTTTTGAAACAAACCTCTCTTTCCCACATTTATGAGGTTTAATGTACAATTTAATTTTGTTATGTACAATGTAATGAAACACTGACATTTCCCTAAGAATAAAGCCTCTCTTATTTAGTGACAAGAATGCTCTACTATGTCCTGATATGCATGAAAGAGTCAGTGATGTGTTTTTATTGAGGTAACGATGTTGTGACGCTGTTATGGCCGGTGTTCTTTAACTGCACCTTTCCAAAGCTGCCTTTGCCCAGGACCATGATGAAGTTGAAGTCCGATAGCTTGACGCGGTCCTGGTTGCCGTTGCTGTCATATTTGCAAATAGAGGAGGAGGAAGAGGAGTCTGCAGGCTTCCCAGGACCCACCTTCCACCTCTGAGATGAATACACAAGTCAAGAAAACAGGGATTTCAAGAAAATTGCAAATAACAATTCCATTTGACAAATAGCATTGTACTGTCTATGTGTGTTTCTCTGAACAATAACTCAGTTCATAAAACCTTTGCAAGAAAACACAGTTTTCTTCTGAGTATATATTCAAAAAATGCTCTGATTATTTTATTGTCCAGTGTTGTGTGCAGCGAGGTACGTTACACGTCGCTGCTTTGGAAACATTGGTATGACTGTCTCTTGAAAGTTTAGAGGTTTTTATTGTCTGTTGTTTATTCTATTTTGCTTTTTTTTTGTCTGTGTTGATCTGGACCTTGAGTCTGCAAATAGTTATCTATCTATCTATATAGTTGTGTTTCCACTGCAAGGCCAGCCTCGTTGTGCGTGCCACGGCAATAACCTTCCCCCACGGGGTCATTTACAGGAACTTTTACGGGCACTAACGCAGTAACACTGTAAAGAATTTCCTTGAAAAAAAACGGTAAAAAGCTGGCAAATATGGTTCCAGGGATTTACCGTTTTCTCAACATGGCATTACCGTTGCTAATTTTAACGGTTAAAGATTGTTTCACTGAATCACATTATGCCTTTGTGATTTCAGGATTTAACTGTAACAAAAACAGAATTATAATGTTAATTTTGTATTATTACACCACATGATTGTTTCTGTTTCTAATTAGTTTCATTGAACAAAAGACTACACAGTTTAATTTTGTTTTCCTTTAATGAACACAACTTTTCAATAATTTCATTGTAATTTTACAGAAATTTGTTACAGTGTACCTCCTCCATGCTAGGTACTCTGTTCAGCCCTGAACATTTGAAGATTACCCCGGCGCTGATTGGCTGAAGCTAGAGCAGGCTCTGACGCCAGCAGAAAGCACCAAAACAACCGGCATTTTTAAAATCCAGCAGCATTAGCCTAATAGCATTTGTCCAGCAGACACCACTGGAAACAGCAAACAAAAGCAGCAAGACGTAAGATAAATAAACGGATGATGAGGTGAAGGCAATTGCCTTTGACAGCACTGAAGAAATTCAAACGGGGTTAGAGGCATTGTGGGGAAATTAAGAGATATATACAGTAAGCTTCACCGCAAAGCACTGGGGATTTATCACACTCAGAAACAATGCCATCAAAAGTTACACCCAACTGTGGTTTTTTACGGTTGGAGTGGTTCCAACCGTGAAATAAATCATTATTGATTACGCAGCAACGTCCCCGAAGGGTCCCTACTCTGCAGTGGAGACACAGCCACTAAGGTCGAGTGAGGGGACGGTTCCTGTAGGTGTCCCACCCCCCTCCTTTTACCAGGAACTCTGGCAGTGGAAACACAATTTATATGTACAACCAAGATACATTTACTGTAAACCATGCACCTCTAGACAAATGAGAGATTACGCTGTTTTTTGTGAAAGTATCTCTGGGTTTTTTGTTTACCTCAAATTAACCATGGCTTTCTCTATTACCCAACTTTCTTTTTTTTATAAAATTATCAAAAATAATTGCAAAACCCAATTAATTGCCCAAAATACATTATAATTGTATGCTGATTTACAGATTTTGCTTTAATAAACATTAAACTTTAAATTGTCCAAAAAGCCTATAATTTAAAACCCAAATTCTAAATGCTGATATATTGCCTCTGAAGTGTTGATTGTTTTATAGCAAATAAATAAAATAAACATTTGCACCTCAAATTTCTGTCGAAGCTCCTCATTTCCATCCTCTCCATCTGGCTGCACCGGAACATTGAAGTATTCGCCCTCCTCCTGCGCCAACAGTTTAAACCTGCAAAAGGGCCACACACGTCTTGTCAGAGATAATCGTTATTAGATTTTTAAGTAATTCTTTGCAAAAAATTAAATTAGTTAGATTTGTATAAAGTTGCAAAAATATATATCTAGCTTATTAAAAGCAAATGTCTTACAATCCCTAACTAAATAGGCATTTATTACCATCCATCGACCTCTTGCTTCTGGAGCTCGGAAATGCCAAAGGACAGCGAGCCCATGAAGTCGTTGCGGCTGGTGAGGTCCCAGTCCCACACCTCCACAGAGAGACGTCGGTCTTTGTCGCTCTCCTTCAGGGTGCTGCCACAACAACACAAAACTGTGACACTCACCAGTGTCAGTACTGTATTGGTTGTTCAAGTACAACACAAGATGAAACCAGACTCAAATTAAGATGTATACAATAACATCAATTCAAAAATCTTCTAGAAATATTTTTTTTGGGGTTGTATTTACAAATCTGCTTGATATAGTGTAAAGCTTTTCCAGGGACTGCAGATGAGCTCAGAGGGCGATCACCCTTTGGCATCTGCTAAACCAACCATCATTTTGACAATCAAATAATTTAGCTAATAATTCAATTGTTTAAAACACAAACATGACATTTGATATTACTCTGACTGCCTTTAAGTGGAAATGAAGATACTGGAGGAAAATCTCATAGATGTTCTATGAACCCAGTCAGCCTGAATTAACTTCAACACCATTGGTAGTTCACGAATCACTCCCAAGCAAAACATTTTTAATAATTTAATTATTTTTAGCACAACACAATTGAATCTATAATACAGTCAGAGGAAGCTGTGCTGAGCTTACAAACTGAAGGTCTCGTTATACACGGGGTTGAGGCAGCACTTGATGGTCCGTGTCTTCTGCTTGCTCTCGCTCTTTGGGTCTGGGATGAGCTTCATTTTCACATAAGGGTCCGACATGCCGTTAGGGTCCATAGGCACCAAGTTCTTTGCCTGCATAACTGAAGATAAAAGAGAAGAGTGATGTGAAGAAAAACTCTGCCTAGGTTAGCACAGTCTATGCTCTCCCATAAGGACACCAGGATGGCCAAGACACTGCCACCCACCTCTGGCCTCCAGCGAACTTAGCATGACCTTTTTTAATACAGCATAGATAGACTGAGGAATTAGGGCTGCAACTAACAATTATTTTAATAATTGATGTAGCATTTATCTCTTTGAGGTGTTTCATATTCTGAAATTAGATTTTAGTTTCATTCTCTTATATTTCTAGAAAACATTATGCATAGTTATGCATTATGCATACATAGAGTTTAAGCACATACTGTACTTTTATTGTAGTTTGCTTGTTAAGAGCTGTTAACAATTGTATTATTGAAAAAACTCAATCAGTTGCAATTATTAAGCAATGAATAGTTATAGCTCTGGTGAATAATGTGAATCATTGTGCATGTTTACAGTGTCTTGTATGTGCGTGCACTGTACCCTGAACATAAGGCTTAATGGAACTCTTCAAGGACCACTGACATTTTAGAGAATACCTAGATGTCACATGTTGCTGTGTATTAAATACATTTGAGATTAGATCTAAAAGGGGCAGCATCTTTGATGCATAATGATAAAGGATGCAGAAGCAAATACATCAGGGACTCTTAGTTCTTAGGTAAGAAAAAAATACTCAAGTTTAAATAAGTCACTTTAGTAAAAACCGGGCTTTTGCTGCCTTTAACACAGCTTTTGACAACACTTAACAACAGTTAAGTTGCTGTGTTCCACGATCAATCTAAAGTGGTGGGAACACGTGTCTACTCGGCCCTCTGCAGATGTGGGGCAATCGTTGGCTCATTGATCTCCTAATGGACCTTCCTGTTATAGTTTGGGGCTGATACAGAGCTTAGTATGGCCTAGCATTGCAACAAATGCATGTGGAAACAAGGACTTTTGAGCAGCTTTTAAAATGGAAATGGACTAATAAGAACCCTTTTTATAACGCATCAGGAAGAGACACATTTTTAAAAGAGAAAATTCATCATGAGTCTACCATACTGTGCTGTAGTTTAGTACTGTTTTTATTTGTGTTTGGAAATCCTTCTAATCATATTTGATAAAATGTAAAAAGGTAAAAAGTAAAAAGGTAAAAGGTAAAAAAAAAAAAAAAGATCCCATATTGTTAAATGCGTTACTAAAATGATTTACTATATTTTTCAAAATGTTTTGACTAACTTTTGACAGTGAGGCATTCTCCGCTGATCTGCGCTGAGATGTGGATGCGCCCTCGTCTCTCTGTGTGGTCGGTCCCACACAGGCTTGGCACGTTGGCCACGCAGCGCTTATGAATGTTCATCATACAGTCTGCAACACAAAACCAAACAAGGTATGAATAAGGTGAACAAGTCCTTCATCTTTAACATGATCCTGTTTGAGTAAAATAAACCCATACTGTACATACACAAACTCGAAGATCATGCTTGTGTACATAGCTTTTTACAAGCACATAAAACAATTGTTTTATCTGGTGCAGTTTTGTCACTAATATTCCAACTAATTGTCAATAATTCTGGAAATACGTTATAGTAGGTGTTGCCTTTGGAGAGGACAGTTCTTTCCTAAAATTCGGGAACATGGAGTATCAAGTAGCCTATTGCTGGTGCCCAGAGTCAGGAACAAACATGAAAGCAGTGTTTCAGAATTAGGTTTATATTATTAATCTATTGCTGATTACAGACCTTTCTTGTTAGGGAAACACGATTATTTGCAATCAAATTTCATCAGGAATGATTAACAATCTCACCGACCGCACTAAATTTCTATTCTTCAAACATAATAAGAAATATGCTACCTTTTAACATTTTCAGTGTTTCAAAAGGAATGTAGTACAATGTAGACATTTTTGTAATTTTGTCATCACCCAGAATGATTTAGAGCATTATGGACAATATCAATAAAGCAAGAACAAAACCAACTTTTTTAGCAAATAATTACACATAAACTTTATATTCAAATTGTAAACGTTTATGAGTTAATGTCTCCATCTTTTCTCAAATATCCAAACAAAATCCTGATTTTTGAACAAAAATTGCAAATGTTATCTAAGCACTTGCAATGCTTATCAGAAAAAAACACATTTGATATTTTAAAGAAATTGTGCAATCCTGCTATTTGTAATTGCTTACATGAGAAAATTAGCATGGAAGGTGTTGACATACCAAAGTGTGGACACACTAATATATTAGTTACACTAATTGATTTTGATTGCATCCCTTTGTTCTTTCGTTCATTAGGTAATTGAAACAAACCAAGCAAAGACAATGAGCAAACATGAACGTCAATGTTAAATCCGTCCACAAGAGGTCAGTGTGCGTTTATTTTTGTATTAAATCACTGTGCTGAGCCTGCTACTGCCTGCTGTATGGTCTCCATTCAGAATTCATGCATTTGATCAGGTGTTGTGAATAAAGTGTATTTAAACTTGCCTAAAGCAGGGCACTCCCGCCGGGATCGTCTTACACGGCCACTCGAGCTTCACCACCAATTAAAAGTTAAACATGGATGACCTGGACCAGCACCGTTTAGGGTTCCCCATCCCCACAACAAAGTCTCTTATCTACCTGAATGCTCTCCACTACAGTAGATAAACAATTACACCACACAAATAAACATTGGGTAAAACATTAGCCAAATAACCAAAGTACATTCAAATAATGAAATGCTCTTAATAACAAACTTGCTGTCACTTTATTGATTCCTCCTTACATGTGGGGATACAGTAATTGCTGGTTTTATAGGTGCTATTTTTCGTTACACTTCTTTAAACCATGGGGCATATAAAGCGATGCAGTCAGTGTATGTATATTCATTGTGGTATGACAGCTCTACAGATGTTGCTTATGTTTATGTGAACAGTAGGGGTGGGCAAAATATATCTTAGACAATAATATCGCAAAAGTGAATTTGAAGATATGCTTTTTTGTATTATCGTCTTTTTTTTCTTTTTTTCTTTTTTCAATACATATTCCCAGATACATATGCCCATTCGTCAAATAAGTGCCTAAAACGCCAATCACGGCTTTATTTGTAAATTTCAGAAAATATTGCCTTTTTGGATGTGAACTTCCTGTGTTACTTGAATTTGATTTTTAATGTTAATATATGTTTGTGCATGTTTGCTATTTTACTATTTTGATTTACATTGCAGATCGTTTTGTGTAAAAATTATTAATTTCAAAGATATCGTGACAATATCATTATCGGGAGTTGGGAAAAAAATATTGAGATAATTATTTTTGTCCATATCGCCCCCACCCCTACAGCTCAGACAGAAACCACCAGGACAAGCATGAAATTTGGGACGACAGTGGCTCAGTTGGTAGAGCATTGGCCTTTGAGCCTGAAGGTCGTGGATTCCAGCCCTCCACAAGACTTTCTCCACAGACTCCCACTGATGTCTGCTGTCATTGTGTCCTTAGGCAGGACACTTCCCCCACATTACCTAGAATGTGGTTGAAGTGTACATACTGGTTGCCCCAGGGCAGCTGTGGCTATGGGAGTAGTTTATTACCACTGTTTATGGTGTATGGAGTGAATGAATAATGTGAATCATCTTTGAGAGTTAAAAAAGCGCTATATAAAACTGATGCATTATTATTATTATCATGAAATATCCAAATATGCAAGTATTTTAGGACTGATTAGGGCTATTGTCAGAACAGAATTCATGGACTAACTATTTTGTACCCCGTCAAGTTTAATTAGCTTTAGGATGCACGTTTATTGTCAAAAAAGGTTGGTTAATAAGTCATGGAAACTAACGATTAATGTTTGCCCCCTCAGAGGTCAATGTGTTATAAATAAAGCTTTGTCCGAGTCAAATCAATAGTGCGTTAAAACACCTTGTCATTAAATCCTATCTTAACCAGTTATAGAGTATTATAATCTACTTTACTAACGTAGCTGCAATTTACATACTGTACAGGTGCGCTTAGTAGTCCAGCAAGTACTGTACTTTAAATGTAGAGGGTCACTCACTGCAGGTGCAATATTACACTGGATACTGTGGGTTTCCTATAGTAAGAAATATTGTATACTTTTGTAGATTTCAACTAGCAACCCACTCTTTAGGCACCATGGCAAGAAGGTAGATTTTGACAGTCCCAAAAAAATGTCTCGACAGTTACCGTTACGTCCAGGCAAATATATTTGCATGAGACATTCAAATATATAAAGGTTACCTGAAAGTGCACGCTCAGCGTTCACACAGAGAAACAAAACCAACATTGTAATAACATTTTGCATATATATTTAAAAGTTGGCTTTTGTTTAGAGTGTGTGAGAAGGACTGAGCAGCAGCAGATTTTTAGCAATTTTTTAGCCTCTGTTTTAGCTTTTAGCTGTTTTTTATTGCTGTTTATCCTTTTCCTTTTATTTGTATTTTAAATTAAATCATTTTCAACTTGCTTTTAATCCAGAGGTCTGTTTTAAACCGGGTCGTAACTGAACTTCCACATGTGAGACATACTGGATATCAAACAACTACAGGAGAACTGATTAGACAACATACCACATACATTTCAAAGGAGGTCTAACCTTTTGTGTAATATTTCATCAACAATTGATTGACTACAAACATAATAAAATATTACTCAATAAATGCTTGAATTAAGAGTAAATGTCCCCTAAAAGCAGATTTATAAATGAAGCAAACGCACAAGGTCTTATTACATTTAAAATATGAAGAAGAAAACTCCTATCAAAAATACTCAAACATGTATTTGCAGTCTTTGCAAATTGCTAATTGCGACCACCGAAATTGAGTTTTTGATTCAATTGCAACTCATCTTGCAGCCCTTTAAAAGTCCATGAGCAAAACCTCTCCATCTGACAGTCCTGCCCTGCCTGCTTGTGTAAAATTTGACCCCACACAGACTCAAAGTCTGCCCCAAAGGCACAGCAGCATACATACGGTCGCACTTCATGCCCTGGTGGATGAGGCCGTAGAGCAGGGAGCCGCAGTGGTCGCAGAAGGTGGGGCTGGAGTATGTGTGCACCCTGAACTTGTGTTTGCTCCGGGGATCCTGCGCACAGGGAAAAGGCCTTTCATTATTCCTGTTAAGGCAAGTGCTGAGAGCGTCTATCTCTAGCCATTAGGGACACAAATTCAATTAAGGGTACGTAATCGAGTTGGCGGTGAAAAAAACATGTGTTATCCTGTTTACCATCAACAGTGTGTAGTGTAAATATTAGCTTGAATTCAACAGCAGCGTTGTTGTTGTCAATTCAAACTGTTCAAAAACATTTTTATTTTATGTATCAGATACAGGTCTTGTCTTAGATACACCATATTATCTTATTTGATTTTTAATGATTTTTCTGTTTTACTATGGATTTGTTTTAATTAATCTTTTATTGTAAAAATGAAATGTGCTATATAAATAACGTGTATTGATTTTTATGGCTACAAAAAGTTAATTGATTAATCCCAATTACAGTTTGTTGTAAACCCGGGGTACTGGGCCTTCTCTGTGGTCTTAAACCTGGAGGCAGCGACTTCTTCGAGGTCTTAAACCTGGGGTACAGTCGCTGCCCCCAGGTATAAGGCCCCGGGAAGTCTTAAACCCAGGGAACAGGACCTTCTTTGTGGTCTTAAACTCAGCGGACATGGCCTTCTCTGTGGACTAGGGCTAGGGTTAGCTGCGAGCAATCTTCAGAACTGTCACCCGCCTTGGTGATGTCTCATTAGATAGATGGATAGATAGATACTTTATTGATCCCCGTAGGATAAATTCAGGTGTCCAGTAGCAGCAGAAACACATCCACCAACACAAACAAAACAAATAAATTTATCAAACGCTAACAATAGCAATAATAAAATGCAGCAGCACTTCAGGTCGCAGCAGAGAAGGTGTAGCCTCTGGGGGTGGAGCAGGACAAGTCACAGCAGCAGAGGTGGAGTAGACGCTGGGTTTGAACCATTGATCTATAATAACTGGATAGGGTATTACTAGCTTATAGCTGTCCCACCCATGGGCACAGGTGGCGCCCGTGGGACTGCAGACTAAATTCACGTAGGCTACCCAGAAAAAAGTCCCAAAGAACTCAATGTAAATTAAAACAGCTCGACCTCAGCTGACAGAGAACTCACAGCTATCATAAAGATCGGATTTTTTGGGAAATTTAGTGCCCTTGTCATCCTAAACTGTATTTCTTCTTAAATCCTTCGGTTTTCTTTAAATCCACACTTTACTGCCACAAACTTGGCTCCTTTCCTTCCCGCTCTGACTCCGCTCTACCACTGCTCTGATCAGCAGCTCTGATTGGTCAGAGCGCGGCCGAGCCCCTCTGAGCACGTGCATGAGAGCCACACACGCGTAATCAGCTGATATTACATCTATCTAACTGTGGGGTAATGTGTGTTCATTAACATGCAGAGTCCCAACCAAATAAACAAAAAATACAACAAACAAACTTCAACAAACTTAGTAGGGAAGAGGAGGGTGACAAAAACGGTCCGCATGGTCAATCAGAGCAACCTGTCAGGTCAATCAGGCTGACCACGCCTACTCAGGAAGTAACATCAGCTGATAAATAACACTTCACCAAGGGGAGTGACAGTTCTGAAGATGGCAGCTCTGCAGCTGAAACATATTGTTACAAACCACAAAAACAACTTTTTTTAAAATTATAGTTTCAGACTGATATGTCCATTATATATATCTAATATGGCTATAAACAGTTATTAGGGGTCAATGTTTTCTCAAGAAAATGATATTTAAAATGATGTATAAGAAGGCATGTCCAACATCTACATCTGTCAATGCCAAAGTTAATAAAAAAACACATTTGACCCGCAGGACCCACACTTTCAAACCATGAACATGCTTTTACAGACCCAGAAAACAAACAAGACATTCATGATAGCTTACATAAATATTGTCAACAGCATTGGTCTTTTGAGTCAATGCCAGCCACCTACATCACACACTTCTATGAAATGGTTTCTGTGTCACAAAGCAATAAGGGTCATTGACTCGGAGCAGCCAGGCAGCACATTTTCTTTCATGATACATTGAAGAGTGGTTAAGGATGGACAAGTCAGCAGTGTGGAGCGAGCAGAACACAGGAAGCCATTAAAACACACTCATGTAAAAGTGCTGCTGACTGTGCTTATCATATTTATGAGGCAATAAGTAACCAGTGAATGTATATTTAACTTCCAAGAAAATTCCAAGTGTTGTGGCTATGTATGGCGGAGTGTTTGTGTTACTACACTCACATCAGAGGCAGGTCCTTTATCAGCTCCCGGACAGGAAAAGGTGACATATTCATGACAGCGCTTGTGGACCACAAAACAGCACACTGCAAAGACAAGAGCAGAGTCACAAAGATGAAATAACATGTCACTGTTTGGGGGAGAATGCAGCGCACAACAGGCCTTTCAGAATACGAGACCTGCATTTTGCCTGTCAGTCTATATTTAGATTTTGTTTCTTTAATCTCACAATCACACACATAATGAAACCAACAACAGAGCAAACCACAAGACAATGCAGATGATTTGTTTGTTAAGACAGACAGAGCCAGGCTGACTTATCAAGAATCCATACAGAAACTATGTACAGAAAATGTCCACAAAAATGTGAATTGGGCAAAATTGTGCACCTTGAATCATGTACCAGAATGTAAAGAGCCACGATCATTAGTTTGATTGAGCTCTTGTGCATGCTCAACCAAGTGCACAGAAGTTAATTTGACCTCAAAATGAATTACCTTGATGAAGGAACGATGTTGTAACATGGTTAAAGGCTCAAAAAAGTAGATTTGTAGAATATATCTCCTTTTAAGGATTTTTTTACTTAACAAAATCTTCCTGAAATAAGAATGGCCTGATCAGCAAAGAGTGCACTTGCATTATCTGCAAAGAGTTGAATTTGGCTTTCTTTTAGATTGTAACCTAGTGTTAATAAATGCATTATAAAGCAATCCTCAGCGATCTGTTTGACAGGTCATTTTAACTAATAATTCAATCAGTAAAGAAGGCTACAATCCAGTCTGTCATCAAGATTTGATGGTTGCAGTAAGTGTGTAGTAACTATGTCCCTTCCTGAAACCTGACTGGCAAGATTTTACAATTGCCAAAGAGTCTTGATATGTAAGTAATTTAGTAAGTAATCTTTATTTATATAACGCCTTTTCACTGCACATCGGAGTCTCAAAGCGGTTTACAATTGTGATTTTTGGGAGCAGGGGTGCCAGTACAGGAGGCACATGCCAGACCTATTGTACATATTTTTAGTGGTAGGGGAAACCGGAGCACCCGGAGGAAACCTACGCAGACACGGGGAGAACATGCAAACTCCACTCAGAAAGGCCCTGGTCCAACCGGGATTCGAACCCAGGACCTTCTTGCTGAGAGGCGAGAGTGCTATCCACTCAGCCACCGTGCCGCCCTGTAAATACATTTGCAACTAATTTCCCCAACATTTTAGATGAAAAAGGTAGTTTGTAGTAGCACTCTTTGGAGTATGATGTGTCCATTAGTGTTACAATATTCATTGATTCTTTCTTTATCTTCCCCTTTATTAGTCTTTATAATGTATTATTTCTGGGGCAATGAGAGCTGCCACCCAATACTCATAGCACCAGTCCCTCGCTGATCCTCCGGCAGGTGGTGGGGTCACAGGAAGATGGCTGCTCTGTCACTGACACAGCATTGATCTTTCAGCGCGGGCATCGGGCAACGTGGGGTTGAGTGTCTTGCCCAAGGACACAACAACAGCAGACATCAGTGGGAGCAGTTTGAGTAGCCCAAAGGCTTTACCAACTGAGCCACTGTCGCCCCGTTCCAATATTGTTTACCATAAATACAATTGTTAACTGTAGTTTATTAACCTGTATTATAAAGCCTAAGTCATGTATAATATTTCTAAAGTAAATAAATAGAGAATGTATTAAATAAGGATATTCTCTTAGGATTTTTGCCAACATTTCACAAGAAGTCCCTGGGAAACACCCTGCGACTGCCTGAGAAGATTTACAACCAGACAAAAGCTGTTAATCTCATCAGAACTGCTGCAAGACAGGTAACTGCTGTGGCAGGAACACTGACTAGATTTCCAAAGATCATTGCACAAGTAGAAGTCAAATAAAAAGGACAAAGAAGCATTCTGAGTGGACAAGAAAAGACTGAATGGTTCCAACCAAACCATGCGCAAAACAGGATTGTGTAAAACAAAACCATTTTTTGGTCAAGCAAACAAGCATTTTGACAATCTGCATGCATCCTGACAGGATTAGCAAATGTAAACTTGTGTTGCATAACTGCAGTATGTAGATCCCATCATTCATTCACACTGTTGTCTATTCTTAATCACATTTCCATCAGATTTACATGAGGCACAGCAGCACTGTGGCAACAGCGCTGCGGCACAGACTGTTTACATACTTGTGTGCAGTTATTTGTGAGGGGAAGTGGGTGGGCGACTCACACTAGCAAATACGGTACCTGCAACTAAATTCAGGTTGGTGCAGTTTAACCTCTGCTTAAAGAAATGGAACACAATCCATACAGTGTTAAGTGTGTTTACAAGTGAGTAGGTTAGATGGAATGTTTTACTGCAACACAAGTCAAAAAGAGATGGAGCAGAAGCAGAGCGACACAGACTAACGTGTGGCTATGTGTGTGTGTGTGTGGGGGGGGCACAACTGGATTGTGGAGAGTGTTGTGTTCATCTGTGAATGTGGTGTGGACCATTCACTCAAAAAACAGCAAAGAGTACAGACTCTAGTATTTCAGAAGCGTGTCTCCAGAATGTGCTCTGTCACTCATACTCACACATGCATGCACACATGTACACGCACAGTCGCACAAACACACACACACATACACACACAGGCCCAGTGACCCGCCGAGAAAGTCTCTGCTCTGTTGCATAGCAACCAGGCTGAGCCCTACGGTGGAGTCTTCTTCAAGCGCCCCATGTGCCTGACTGACAGCATTAGCAGCAAATCAGAGCAATTCACAAACACAGAGCCATCAGGAGAGCAGCAGGACAGCAGCAGGAGAATCAGCGTGCACTTCACACCAGGAGGACAGTCCTACGAGCAGCCTGATGTATAACATACAAGAAGATCCAGAGTCCACTTCATTTAGAACAAGTGTGAATGTACTGTACATACCAAAGGCCACCGCCCTAATTAAGTTCATATTTTGTACTTTATGGTTCTAATGGACAAAAGCTCTATTTACCTTTGCTATTAGCATTTCTAATCCTACAGCAAAGAGCTTAAAAAGGCAAAGTCAAGCATGAACATCATTGCTATTCTAGCCAAAAGCACAATGATTACATGTTTGTTTGCTACAAATGTGGTATTGTTTCAAGCATTATGATGTCAAATATGATTTTCTTTGCACACTCCCAAAAGGTGATTTTTTTCTCCATATTGCTCAGTCTTAATCGTACCACAAAGTAAAAGAAAATGACAAATTATGCCCTGTCCATGTGATTTTTGCATAAACAATAATATCACGTCACGTCATCATTACCTCTTTGCAGGGTAATAACAAGAATGTTCACCTGGAGAGCGCATACCCACCAACACACACACAAAGGCAATCCCATCACGTTTCTTTTTCATAGAGAACACATTTCATTTGTCCCAAGTGACAGAAAGATTCTTGTAAAAGTAACCAATATTGTGAGCAAACACAGAATAGTGTCTTTAACATTTATGGATATTTATCAACTTTCTCTATCGTCCGATACTTATGTGTTTTCTATTCTTTGTGTTTAAACTGTTTGATTCTCTGATCTGTGTTGGAAAATTCAAAGTTTTTTTTAAGTCCTCTGAGATAACTATGGTTGTGATTTAGGGCTATACAAGAATAAATTGAATTTAATTGTTTTCTATTATTAAGCATAATACATTTTACATACGCGTAAGGAAGATCCCTGAGAGTCATTATGTGATTGACTGAATGAGTGTGGTCCTCTCCTTTTTTGTATGAAAAAGCTGATCAAAAGATGTGACAGAGGCAAAGAATGCATCAATATGAAATCTTGTGATAGAAAACTGCTATAACTCTGGTTGTTCTCTGGGTGTTGTGGTGAAAATATCCGTTCTTTCACTGTCACCCCTCTCAGCCCCCCTCTGCTTCAGAGATGAGACGTCTGTGTTCAAACCATAGACTGAATATAGATGGACAATCTATAACCCCCTAACTCAATGAAGCTCTATCGGAAAAGGGAAAGCGGTAATAAAAAAAATTAAAAAAAGAGGTATAGTTCCATTCTTATTAAAAATATATATACATATTTTGGATCCAGACGGTGATCTAGATCACAAGCTCCACAGAACAGCCACAACACAACCACAAAGCACAGTGGTGGGATTAGTTCTCTTAATTACGCTTTAAAACAAGGTTATAAGTCCTGCATGATGATCTGCTCTCTTTCCTTTACACAACATCAGTGGAAAAATTATTTAGATTCAAATTTATTTTATTTGCTATTTGCAGTAAAACCACATCGGAATAAATGTGCAAAAGTCCTCAGTTTGGACCATCAGTCCAGTACATCAATAAAAGAAACAGTTGTCACAAGGAACTCAATCAACAAAAACCTGAAGCTGCATTTTAATGGCCAATATCTTCTGCCAGAGGAAAGAAGCTGGAACAAGACTTTTCCAGGGTGACCAGAAGAGTCATTGATTATTCTACGAGCTCGGTTTAAAAGTCTGGATTTAGAAAGAACCTCCAGAACAGGAAGTTCACAGCTCACAGTCCTCTTTGCAGAGCGGAGCACCTTGGCTAGAGCTTTCCTTCTTTTGGAGAACCAACAGAGAACAGAACCAACACGCAAACTTTCAATGATACCACAATAAAATGTAAGCAAAATTTCAAAGTTTGTGAAAAATTTTCTACGTTTCTTTGTATGAAGATGTATTAAGTTGAAGTGCCTGAGCAATGCAGATGAATCCTCCACAGATGACAGATTCATATAAGAGCTTCTGCAAGCAAAGTAACCAGAGGGGAATGCTGTGGCGGGCGAAAGGGGAATGTAAATTACTCAAATAACAAAGAACAACAACAATAACATAACAAAAGATGTGCAAAGTCGATTGCACAGAGGAAACAGCTGGTAAGCACACATCCACAAACACAGCGTCCCATGCACATCTTAATTGTAATAAAAACAACTTGCAATAGGGCACTGTCCGGTTTCCGAAATGTGCTAAAAATAGCTCAGATGACTGCGCATGCGCGCATGTTTCGGACAAACGTTGTGTACGACTCCGTTGAGTACTACTGTGTTCTCCACATACGCGTGTGTATTTATTTGGGCTAAATTATTGAATCA